ATGTAAAAATTATAATCGAAACACTCCAATGGTGAGCTTATTTATTAGAAGTAATGATATTTATTAAAAAAAAAAAATCGAGGTACTGTAGATGAGGGAGCAAAGCATCTTAGCTTTATATGATCACCCAATGGGCAAGTCAAAACTCTTGCGCTGGATCCAGAAAGCACTCAATTACCACATGTACCTGTATTCTTTTTCAACTAAAGGAGTTCAAGTTTTCAAAATAAAAAATAAATATATTCATATCATAATATGAAAAGTATTTGCTTGTTTTAGTATTTTAATATAAATAAAATAAATAAAACAAAAAATCAATTAAGAACAGTACTGAGGCTTCATTTAGAAAAAAATTTTATCATCATTTTCAAATATATATATATGAATAAAATCTAGTCTTTTTTTTTTTTTTTTTTTTAAAGAAATGTAATTTTGCATTAAAAGAAAGAAAGAATCGCCTAATACAAACTAGAACATAGATAAAAACTAGGGTTCCTTGATCCAACAAGGAAAGGAACTAGTCGAAGATGATCTAACTTCGAAAGCTTATTTTTTGAAAGCATATTTTAACAAATATGCTTTCAAATTAAAATATAGTCGGAGATGCTCCTATTAAGTATATTTTATAATAGTAAATTATTCTGTTAAGATAAGATTAATGACAGTTTTTAACTATTATTTTTCGTTACTTATGAGAAAATTTTGTTTAAAAATTTTATTTTAGAAATTTACTCAATATTACTATTTATATAAAATTTGTTACGCCTCAGTAAACCACAGCGCCCGTGGCCTAATGGATAAGGCGTCTGACTTCTAATCAGGCGATTGTGGGTTCGAGTCCCACCGGGCGTGCTTATGTAAGTATCAAATTTTTTATTTTTTTTTTCGATAATTGATTTTCTATGGAATTTCTCTAACTTCTTAATTATTTTTTAATTTTTAGCGAATGATTAGCTTTCGAAGTTAGAGCTTTCATATTTGAATTTGCGTTGTCCGTTCTATTCAAATGAATAAGAATGCACAGTCATGCTTAGTAGAATAGCTAACGAATTGGTTCCATCTCCATTAATTAGAATCGACAAAGGAGGTCTGATCTCATCGGACACTTTCTTTCTAAATCCCACAGATACTGATTATATGTTTTTGTCCACTTTTAAGTAAGGTCTTAATCACATAAACCAAACCCAAAGGACTTTCAAAAGGCATCAAATACAAAAGAAGATAGCGATGCAAAGTGATTTGAGAAAATCACTTTTGCTACAGTTAGTTCTTTCACAATGATTAGCGGAGGTCGTAAAGATCATAGTCTACCAACGGAGTTCGGAAGGTTCATAGTCAGCGGATGAGGTGGTCTAAAAGGCAGTTATTATGTGACGGAGGTCGAAAGGAGGAGAATCAAGGATATGTTGTGAGTGGTTTGAATGGACAGTTGATGTTGATTCCCTTGATCATGTACCGTTTAGTTCCACGATCAATTCATTCTTAATATTCCGTCACGCATCACTATTTTTAGGTCGATCATCTTTCTCCCCTTCTTCCAAGAGAGAGCTTCCCTCACCTCCAATCACTCGTAAGAATTCAATTCATCCAAACTATTATTATTTATTTGAATCGAACTCTGAAGCCTTTTTAACTCCGTCTCGTATTTAAAGTCGACGATCATTTTAGATCATACACATCAATATCTTCGTATTCCCTTCACTAACATCAATCACCATAATTTTTTTTTTTTTTTTTGGCATCGCACTAACATGTCTCCTATTTAAAAAAAAAAGGACAATGCTATTACGAAATAATATGGAACTTGAATTAATAAAAAAATTAATTATGCAATTTATTTATATTTTGAGTTGTCCCAAAGAAAATGTTTTCTCATCTATTTTTTATCATAAATAATTTTGCGTTATTAAGAGGGGCAATTTTGCAAATAAACTAACCGTAAGTACAATAATGCAAAATTTCCCTTCACTAACCTTTCAGCATGAAGCTAAGTAGTGGCTGTTGGGTCAGGCGTGAAAGGAATTTATGGCAGGGCGGGCACATCACGTGCTCCTCATCACGTTGCGGCTGAAGGCCCCACCCGCCTGCCTCCATATGGGGCCCACCACGTGATTCGGTTGATTGGACTAACCATGAGGTAAAATAGGTTGCGTGTTAACTCACCCATTGGGTCATTGTCATTTTTTTTTTACCATACAAATACTATATGTTGTAATAAATTTTTATTTTTAAAAAATTAAAAAAATATGTGCCACATCATCATTTAAGTATTTAGTAAAAATTAATGAAAATTCAAAAAATAAAGTACAACAATAAAAATATTCAAATTTTTTCTCAATGCATGGGTTATTATGAATCAAATTCTATTTTAAATTTAATAGAAAAAAAGATAATTTCTAACTAATGCTTTTCTTGGGACATCATTCTTACTGCTTCTTAAAATAATTTTTTAGTACAAAAAATAAAAATTCAATACTAAAAAGGTCATTCCAAACAAAGCCTAAGACTTTATTTGAGACAACTTTTTTATTATTTTTAAAGTAACTTTATAATACAAAAATTTTATTTTAAAAAAAATTTATGCCAAAAAAATTGCTTTAAGAATTAGTGAGAAAACATTCCCAAAAGAAATCTAAATCTTTTTAGATATTCCTGATTATCTCTTTTTTTTTTTAATATAAATTAAATTTAATACATCTACTCTCTTAATCAGTTCATTTCACGAACTTTTATTTGGTCCGGTGAACGAACGTAGAGCTATGTTCGGCTGGCACTGAGATCGCGGGCACAAAACGAGAAATACCGAGCAATATCAACAATAACGAGAAATACCATTATGTGAAGACAAAATATCGAGTAATACCGAGCAATCCCAAAAAATACCGAGTTTTTCTAGAAAGACTCAATATTTTTTGGGATTGCTCGGTATTGCTCGGTATTACTCGGTATTGGTCTTCACAGAGCGGTATTCCTCATTATTATCAAACAATACCTAGCAATACCGACCAAATACCAAGCAAAAACTGAGTAACAATCCTCTGACCGAACGTAGAGCTACGTCCGGTCAGAGGACGTAATAAAAGTTCCTTTAGAAGACCAATATTTTAAATGATAAAATCAACTTAAGAAGTGGACTCTCTAACCCTATTTAAAAAAAAAAAAACAGAGAAAAATTATAATAACTAATAGAAGAAAACTAAGCTAATAAATTAGGTGGGAGTTTGTTTGCATGGCAAGCCTTAGCTTGCAGTGGTATTAATTTAAGAATTCTATAAATAAGATTTTTTGTCCCTTTAAAAAAATTCAACATAAAATAAGCAAATTAATTATAAATATTATTGCACATTAATTAAAGCAAATTTGTCAAGGGAAGTCGGCTCTACTTATACTTGATGCCTTCCTTCACATAGGAGTTCATAAGGATTTGAGTCAACTTTGACAAAAATATTATTGCCTATCACATTATTCTGATGATAAGCTTATATATCAGCTCGAAGACAAAGTAAGATATTTAAAAAGATTTAGCATGATTCATGACACTTCAAATAATATTTCTTTTTATTAGGATTTCTTTATCAAAGCTTAATTTCTATGTATTAAATTATTTTTATAATAAATTTCATTCATTAAAATCAATTTTAAAAAATATTTTTTTATTAGATACGAATCATTATTGAGATAAATAATAATATTATTCAATTAATTTTATGTCTAAAGGCGAGCGGATTGGAACTCTTATTCCAAATTAGACTTCTTATGATCACATAAGAATAAAAAAATAATAATTTAAAAAAGACTTTTAAGGCATGTTTATCTAAATTTTAATATGCATAATTAATTTATATTAATTATGATACTAAGTGAGATTATAGTTAATTGGAAATTCTAATTATTTTTAGTCAAGCATTGGCCATTGGGTGGGCAAATTATTAGGTCCGGTCACCGGACGTGTTCGGAGCACAATGAAAATGCATCTCATCACCTCCTACTCGGTACTAATCAGTACTAAGCAGTACCGAACTCGGTACTTAGTACTTTACAGTACCAAGCTCAGTACTGCTCAGTATTGTGAATACCGTACGTAAGCTGCGATCAGGTGTCCGAACCCAATAACCATAGGGTGAGTGGACATGATTAAAAAATTGAACTATGATTTGGTGATGAAGTGAGCTCGACCATGATCTGAATGACCATAAAGTATGTCCCGGTTAAGGCTGGCTCTATTTAGCTTTACCGCAAAGAAAACGTAGGGTTAAAATTGTCAATTCCATTACTATCAACCGCTTCATAAATTCAAAGTAGATGGACCACATCTCATCATCTTTTTTTTAAGAATAAATCTGAGAATTTATAGCATTTAATTTAAAATAAATATAATATATTAATATGAATTAAACCAAAATATCATTTTCTTTCTGCACAATAGTAATTTTTTGTGAAAATTTATTAAATACAAATAATGTTTCTCAGCTATATTCTATTAAGAATAAAATTTTAATTTAGAATAAATATAAAAAATAGTATTTCTAATACTTTTAAACTTTTTCTTATTATTGTTAATATAGATCAAATTTAATGTATCTAATCTCCTAAATGAGTCATGAGAAGATCAATATTTTATGTGACCAAATCATCTAAGATGATATTTTATACCAATAAAACTTTATATTTTATATATTACAAAATAATTTAAAATTTTAAAATTTATTCATATTAAAATTTTGATGACCACCATTGTTTAGTTTGATTGGTGGGCGAATGCAGTTGGAAACCCCTCAACTCGTGTTTGATTTCCCCTGAACGACAGCTGCTCTTAAGTGGAGTCCAATCAAATGCGGGTCAAGAGGTTCTTAAAGTGGGTGCCTCTTCTGAATTAGCCGAGAATTAGTGACGCAGCTAATAACTCGTTCCAAAAATAAAATATATCATTGTATTTTAAGTCAAATTTATTTGAATTATATTATTGCACAAATTCCTCTTTTATAAAAGCATAATTTCTTGTCCTCTTCAGAGGGAGAAGCAGCACGCTCAGCAGTTTGTGTTTTTCATCAACTCTGAAGCTGAAGCTGAAGCATAAGGAGAGAAACCAATAGAGACAATGGATCTAAGCTTGGTTCCCTATGTCGAGTCGACGGCAGCCGAGAAAACTGCCGCCGCAGCCGGAGACAGCAAATATCGCGAGTGTCTGCGGAACCACGCCGCCGCGATGGGCGGGCAGGCTTACGACGGCTGCGGCGAGTTCATGGCCGGAGAGGAAGAATCTCTCAAGTGCGCCGCGTGCGGATGCCACCGCAACTTCCACCGGCGGGAAGGGTCCCCGACCCACCGCCCTTTACTGAAACATGCAATGTTGCCGGCACCGTCGCCGGTGGCCTTCTTCCCACCGCCGCCCCTTCCTTTCCACCAGATCCCGACACCGGTTTCACCCGATCCCGGAAGAGGGGCTTCGGAGACGCCGCCGAGAAGGGAAGAAGGGCCGATGAGGAAGAGATATCGAACAAAGTTCACCGCAGAGCAGAAGGAGAAGATGTGGATCTTCGCCGAGAAGCTCGGGTGGCGGATCCAGAAACACGATGACGAGAAGCTCGAGGAGTTCTGCGTCGAGATTGGTGTAAAGCGCCATGCTCTTAAGGTCTGGATGCATAATCACAAGAACAATCTCTCGACCTCTGCTATCACCACTGCCGCCGGGCACGGTCCCTCCTCCGCGGCTGCCGCCGACGCCGCCGCTCCGACTATCCGAGTCTGATCGGATTCCGGCAACATTTCCAAGCTAGTTTCGGAAATTCGCTTAATCCCTAGGGTTTTCTTTTTCCCCCTTTTTTTAATACCTTCTCCCGGAAAAAAATTAGACAGTGTATTCTGGCCGGAGTTGCGGCCGTTGGGAGAAGAATGAACGGAGCTGGATTTTTATATTATTAATATATAAGAGTTTTTATAAATGAATTTTTTTTTTGTTCTTTTATATATATTTCATCTAAATATAATATATAAATAATTATTTAAAATTTAAGAAATTTTTTTTTTTAAAAAAAGAGTTAAAATTTATTGTGTTTTTAAAATTTAGAGTGATAATATTATTTTAAAAAGTGAAAATAAACATAATTATATTTCATTATGTGTGGTATTAATTTAATAATAAATGATGGGGTTGAGGTGTAAGATATTAAATAAAAAAAGGGAAAAATATAGAATTAGTTGGGGGAATGATGGATGGCGAAGAGATAAGACGAGATCGGTGCGTTGGGATTGCTTATTAATGGCTGCGCCCCGTCAGCCCGACCGCCGTGCTCGAAAACGGGAAACGAGGAATGTGGTGGGATACCGTTTCCCAAAAGGATGCATGCGTCAAAAATACCCTTTATTATTTTTATTTTTATTATTTGCTGTACGATCATACATAGAATCCTCAATTAGATGCTCGATCAATTAAATTTTATAAGAATGGTATAGCCAAGACAAAATTTTTTTAATGGAATGTTGCCAATTTTTTTTTAAAAAAAATTCTTTGGCAATAAAATTACTAGCAAAATGACGACTATATGGAACAACTACAAAGTTTATGATTGTATAATATTGATATGTTTTCAAAAAATTAAAATTGGGACCATCCGAATTCCGATTTTAGTAAACTTATAGTCAAACTGAACGTCTCGGAAATACGAACCCAACGACACCAAATTCGACTCAATCCGAGCCCAAATGAGTCCAAAGCAAGGACCCGAAGCGTTGTTGGAAGGTTTGAACCACAATTTGGATTACCAAATGGTTTGCAAACATAACGTGCTTATAGCCGAATCGAGCGGCTCGACGAGACAAATCCAACGAACCCAATATCGCCGAATTACGACATCATTAAGAACTTCAAATGTCTAACGAACGGTCCATGATCAAGGGATTCAATATCAATCGTCCATCCAACCACTCTCCATTTTGATATCTCACCTATTTACGGGCCATGTACTCCAGAAATTTATAAATAGACACCTCATTTCTCTTGAAAGGGGGATCCAAGCAAGAAGAGAAGGAAGAAGAGAAGGAACAAGGTCCTCCTCGACCACCGCCGGACCACCACTTGAGGCCCTGACCTCCGTCGGACCATCGCCTGACCTCGTTGCTCCGTCGGACCACCACTTGAGGCCCTGACCTCCGCGGGACCACCGCCTGACGTCGTTGCTCCTCCAAACCACCACTTGAGGTCTTGACCTCCGCCGGACCACCGCCTGATGTCTTTGCTCCGCCAGATCACCACTTGAGGCCCTCACCTCCGCCGGACCACCGTCTGATGTCGTTGCTCCACCGGACCACCACTTGAGGCCCTCACCTCCGCCGGACCACCGCATGACATCGTTGCTCCGCTGGACCACCACTTGAGGCCCTCACCTCCGTCAGACCACCGTCTGACGTCGTTTCTCCACCGGAACACCACTTGAGGCTTTGTGCACCACCAGGCTACCACCTGAGGCTCGGAATTCTACCGGACCACCACTTAAGGCCCGAACTTCTGCCCGATCACCACTTGAGGCCCTATGCTCCACCAGGCCACCACTTGAGGCCCGGACTTCCACCGGACCACCACTTGAGGCCCTGAGCTCCACCAGGACACCACCTAACACCCGGAGTTCTGCCAGACCATCACCTGAGTCCTAGACTTCTGTCGGACTGCCACTTGAGGCCCGAAATTATATTGGACCACAACATGAGACTCAAACTTCCGTCGGGCCACCACTTGACGTCCGGAGTTCTGCTAGACCACCACCTTAGTCGCGGACTTCTGCCGGACCGCCACGTGAGGCCAAAAATTCTATCGGACCATAACATGAGACTTAGACTTCAATCGGGCCACCACTTGATGCTAAGAGTTCTCCCGGAGTACCACCGTCCTACTACAATATTTCGGACTCCTATCTCCTGCCGATTACAGTCCTTACAACCTCCATCACCAGACAATGGTCTTTTTGACCCCGGTCTCCTACCAACTACGATCTTTCGGACCTTTGTCTCGTGCTAACTATAGCCCTTCCAACCAAGCAAACATGTCTATGATTGTAACTCTCACCATGTAATGCGCTCTATATGACGTACATTTGTAACATCAAGCCAAGGCCCTCTCCCTAAAAAGGGCCTCATTTGTAATCGATTGCAAATACTAGTGGATTCATTCAAATTGGGCCAGGCCCCATGGTTTTTCTCCCTTTTTAATAGTTTCCACATAAAAACTCTGATGTCTCTTACGAACGCTACACACTCTCTCTTATCTGCTTGTGTGTTGGATCTTCACACAACACTAAGACGCTAAACTGTATAATTTTCTACTGCCGCGAATACTCCAGGACGCAACAAATATAATTTTATAATCATTTATATAATGCGTGATGATAAGATATAAAATTTAGTTCATTGTTTACATATATTTTTACACATAGATCTATATAATATTAACATCCTTATAATAACAAAAAAAGGCTTCTAACTTGTAATTATATGTACATCCCTCCTTGAGATTCCAAGTCAAAACTAACCATAATTCCAAGTACACTGAATCAACTTTGAATGAACCTCACAGTGCCTAGGATTCATTTGAAACGGTTTTCTTACTGTTTTTTTAAACAACTTTTTAATACAAAATTTCTTAAATTAAAAAAAAAATTATTTAAAAATTACTCTATAAAATAATTAAAAAAAAAACTATTTCAAATTATTTGACATGAAGCAACAGCATTGTACAGACATTGGCATAAATATCAATGATAAACTCGAAGTAGGTGATGAGTTCAGGGGTGTATGAGGTCGGGCTGTTCGAAGCAAGTGGAGTTGAACGAGGGCCCACGAAGGAGTTGGCCCAAATCTAACAGGCTCTATTCAGCCCAATAATGGACCCTCTAAATCAGTAGAAACCAAAGAAAAATCGCAATCATCAATAGCAGCCATTGGATTTCAATCAAATGGCTAAAAGCATCTCCCTCTCATCATGGTCAACCACTGAAACCCATAAATCCAACAACATTATCCATATACACGGCCGGTGAATATAAAAGCTCCGCGTACCTCTCAACAGTGAAGCATAGTCTGCTTCTTCTCATTCCAGAAAATTTTCTTCTTCTTTCAGGTCATAAAAACTGCAGAGCAAATGAGTCTGTGGGGCTGGCCATGGAGAACAAGCACAGGTGCCTCAGGTTTTGGCCGCTCATCCACAGCAGAAGAGGTTACTGAGGGGATCGATGCCCATGATTTCACTGCAATAGTCACAGGTTTTCTTCGTCTCTGCCATAGTCGGATTTGTTTCCATATTCTCTCTTTTGATTTCACTTACGTAGCTCCTATAAAATGGCATGGTAAAAGTTGAAGCAGAATCAGGCAATAATTATGTACAAAGATATGGTAGCAAAAGACATGGAAATGGAAAGTAATAACATAAAATCAAATGGTTTTATGCAAAGGAAAGATTGATCCTTATTCATACCCAATCTCTGCACCACACTACAACTTAACCTATGGCTTTGTGAAAGATTAAAAACAATCATCCTAACTTAGGCTTGATGGCTTTTTTTCTGCTTTTTAAAACAACTTTTTAGTTTAAAAATTAAATTTTTTTACTAGAAAGCTGCTTTAAGAAGCAGCAAGAAAGCCGTCCCAAATGAAACCTTAGTTTTCAAATTCAAAACTCTTCCAATCCATTATTCTAAACTAGTGCTCTGATGAATAAATTGTGCTGCAACAATAACTGAAAAAATTACTCCAATAAAATTAATAGTAGCCCAAAGACAGGATTTCTAATATGGGACTTCATTACCTCATAGTCCAGGTGCAACAAATGGCATCGGAAAAGAGACAGCAAGAGTTCTAGCACTGCGAGGAGCTGAAGTCATAATCCCATCAAGAACAATTGAGAGTGGCCTGCGGGTAAAAGAAAGCCTCCTTGAACAAAATCCAAGTGCAAAGCTCCATGTCATGGAGATGGATCTCAGCTCCCTTGACTCAGTCGAGACCTTCGCACGCTCATTCATTTCAACAAATAAACGCCTAAACATCCTAATGTAAGCAACATTCACCACTTCTGTAGAAAAGAAATGAGCTTCACATCACAAATAGCAACAGTAACATAAAATATTTTGTTTTTAACAGAGACAATGCAGGAATAATGGCTTGCCCCTTTCAGTTATCAAGAGATGGAATAGAGATGCAGTTTGCCACAAACCACCTGGGTAATAAAAGTTTACACTGGTTGCATTTAGATGGATGCCGCATGAAAAGGAAAATCTATCTTAATTTATGCTTTTACAAGAAACGCTGACGAGTAAAATGAAGCAAGCCTGAAAGATGCCTTCTTTTCAATTTTCATTTGAAATTGCAGGTCATTTCTTACTAACAAAACTTCTTCTGGAAAAGATGAAATCAACAGCCAAAGAAACTGGAGTTCAGGGAAGGATTATTAATGTATCATCGTCTGCTCATCGAAGAGGATATGAACTTCCATTCAGTTTGGATAAGCTAAATGACAAATCAAGGCAATTGGGACCCATTCCCTGTACAATTTCTCATTGAACTACAGAGCCTGCAAATTGGATAAAAACACTAGCCACTTCTCTTTATAGGCCATTACAGAACTAGATAAGCTGACTCTATTTTCATCTTTTGGCAGCTACAAACGTTTTACTGCATATGGCCAATCCAAGTTGGCAAATATACTTCATGCAAATGAGCTATCTAGGAAACTGCAGGTCAGAATGATAATCCCTCAATAATTTATAATATCTTCAAATGTTTTGTTTATGCTGATAGTGAAAAAAAAAAAAAAAGCACACTAATATTCATCTAATGATAACCAGGAAGAGGGTTCCAATGTCACAGCCAATTCATTGCACCCAGGACTAATACAGACAAATATAACCCGCTTCCTAGGCTTTAGTGGTATATAACACTTGTTCACTCACATTTTTCTGGGTTTTGTGTGTCAATAAGCAAAAATAAAAATAAAAAAAAATTTGTTTGTTTCTGCAGCAGCACTTGGAATTTGTTTGAAGCCATTTTTAAAGACCATCCCGCAGGTAAAATAATGTCAATTCTGTTTTATTTGGGGACAAATCAGAAAAAAAAAAATCTAAAAATGAGTAAATAATCTCTTTCATGAAAGTATTAGTTATTTGTTAGATCTGAAAAGCACTAACATCTGCAGGGTGCTGCGACAACTTGTTATCTAGCCATAAATCCAAAAGTAAAAGATGCAACTGGCAAATACTATGTCAACTGCAATGAGGAGAATCCTTTACCTGAAGCAAAGGATAATGATTTAGCCAACAAGCTGTGGGTATTTAGCGAAGAGCTTCTTAGAAAAGGTGGAAAGTAGAACTAATGCAAATGAATTCTTTCAAATGATGAAATCGGTGACCAATCCAATCTCTAACTCCCACAAGTAAAAACAAGTTAGAAATCTATGATTTTCAATTGCCTAGAGCAACAACAATTTCACCAGGCATGCCTTTTTACATTTGCTATATAGATTCTTAGTTTTCAATATTTAAATTATATGGTGCTTGTTTGAGTTTATGACTTCAGATTTTTTACTAATATCTTTTCCAATTGGGATGTTAACTTGGGATATATTTTGATTCGGTGTTAGATAGCTAGCTTTTGAGTTTAGAAAAAAAATTTCTGTTTCACGGCAATGGTTTGTTTTTGCGTCCACCCATACTATAGGAAATGTGAGCAGTTACAGTGATTTTGAACCACGAGAAAAATCTAGCTTTCAAATGCTTTTGTGACCTCATCTCCCCCACTCTTGACCATCTTCACACTTGACTCCGCCCACATCTGCCAACACAGTGATGGCTACATACAATGTGGCAAGGACCTCTAGCTTACTTATTCATCCCTTGTCGATGAAGCCCAAGACTTCCTCGCTGCCAAGTTGTCATAGGTTGTGTGGCCAGCCACGGAAGGTCCAGCATGAGATCACCAGAAAGGCAATCTTATCACTGAAGACAACAATGCACCACCTTACATGCTCAAATGTGTTCCCTAGCACATCTCAAGCAACAACAAATGTGTAGATATACCAAACCACAGCTCAATTGTAAATCTACTAAACAAAAGTCATTAATCTTTCACCATAACTTTTCTAACTACAGCTTTTCATTAGACTTTTAAAATAGCCAAAGAAAGTCTTATCATTTCGTAAAGTCACTCTATAATAGGCTATTAGGCTAATTTATTTACTTTATCACCATTCATTAAGACCTAATGATATTCGAATAGAGGTATGGAAATGCTTAGAAGATCAAAGAATTTCTTAGCTTATTAAATTTTTTAAATATTATTTTGAAGATAAAAAAGATGTCAGATGAGTGGAGAAGAAGTGTGTTGGTTGTTATTTTTAAGAAAAAAGTGTGCACAAGAGTGTAAACAAAAGTGTGCAAATTATAGAGGAATTAAATTTATGTCATAAATTAAAATTATGGGAGAGAGTAATTGAGCATAAGTTACAATGTGATACTAATATTTCTAAAAATCAATTTGGATTCATGCCGGGTAGGACTACTATAAAAACTATACATTTGTTGAGAGATTTGATGGCGAATTATATAGACAGTAAGGAGGATCTACATATAATATTTATTTATTTAGAGAAAGCATATGATAATTTTATAAAAGAAGTGCTTTGGAGAGTTCTAGAAAAGCAAGAAGTTAATAATGCCTATATTCAAGCAGTAAGGATATGTATATAGAAACTATTACTTGTATTCAAACATAAGGCGATTAGAGTATTTTCCAACTTCAGTTGGATTACATCAAGAATCAGCTTTAAGTCCATACCTTTTTGCTTTAGTTATGGATGTTCTTACCAAACATTTGCAAAAGAAAGTACCTTGGTGTATGCTATTTGTTGATGATATTCTTCATATTGATAAGACGAGAGGGAGTTGAAGGAAAACTTGAATTGTGGAGGTCAAACATAGAGTTTAAAGGTTTTCGTTTGAGTAGATTTAAAATCTAATACATGAGTATAATTTTAGTAGTAACATATCTAGTAGTGGAACTATGATATTGGATGATTAAGTTATTAAAAAGAGCACACATTTTAGATATCTCAAATCTATTGTTCAAAACAATGGTGAAATAAATGGGGATATTATTAGTAGAATTCGAGTTGGATGGTTGAAGTTGAGGAATGCATCGAGCGTGTTGTGTGATAGAAAAGTACCCCTCAAATGTAAGGGATTTTTTTATAAAATGGTGGTGAGACCTACAATGCTTTATGTCGCATAATGTTAGCCATTAAAAGAGAAGCATAAAATTAAGCTAAGTGTTACAGAGATGAGGATGCTCAAGTGGATGATTGGCTTTACACTTAGAGACAAAATATGAAACAAGTATATACATGACAAGGTTGGAGTAGCTCTGCTGGCATATAAGATTATAGAGAGCCGCCTTAGATGTTTTGTTCACATAAAACGTCGGCTTTCTGATGACCCGATTAAGAGAGTAGATGTATTATATCCTGCATATTTTAAGAAAGATAGAGGTAAGCCTAAAAAGATTTTATTAGAAAGTATTAGAAATGACCATTTTTATTATACTTAAATAAGAATTTGACTCTTAATAAGAGACAGTGCAGAAAAAAGATTCATGTAGTCAACAACACGTAGTGGGGGGATAAAGGCTTCATGTTATTGGTGCTGTTATTGTTGTTGTTTATGCCTTGGTTAGTATGGCAAGCCTTCTCAATGAAAAGTGCAGTTTTCATTCCCTGTAACATTGTTGTATACTGCTATTCCATACCAATGGAGTTACCAAAGCATAAAGCTAGTATAAAATCACCCTAGCTATATTTATCAAGATAATAAAACTAAAATAAGGAACAGAGACATAAATCATAGCCCATCTCAACAGGATTGGAACCTAGAACCAATAGCCTTTACTGATAGGATGTTCTTTTCTAGATTAACTTGCAGGTTTAAAAATAAAATAAAATTTGGTATAATTTTAATTAACTATGATTCTATCAAGCTAGCTACACCCTGAGTAGAAGACACCATACTTTTTGTTATAGAAGGATGCGGCTTAGCACCATTCAATATAGATAAAATGGTTATCCTTATAAGCAAGCCAATAGACCGAATGAATCCTTTAATCTATCAGCTCCAAAGGTCTTCATCGGAACTATTGGGCCAACCATCCAGTAATCTCTCTTAAACTCAATTGACTGACATCTAAATCGAGGCCACTTGGACTAGTTGATTAGTACTACCAACGTTTCAATTAAAAAAGCAAGCTTTTCAAAAGAATAAAAAAAAGAAATGATAATAGAACTTTGACTAATTGATCTACATCGAAGTGATACCAGAATTTAAAAAAAAAACAATAATAGGAAAGTATGAAATTGTCTTGAAAAATGCTTCAAACTGACCTAACTAGCTTTAAGGCCGTTCAGGGAGAGTTCTTTTTAAAATCTTGCATACTTCATCCATGAGCTCATTTGATAGAGTTTCAATAAATGCACACGATTCCTCAGTTTCTGCAGCTCTTGCTGCAAACCTATTACATATGTAACGCAAACTGCTACAGCACTTTCCTAGTGCAGATTTATTTTCATTATCAACTTCTATTTCATGAATGCTTCTTAGATTCACGCTCTTAGCATCCTTTCTCCACCTTTTCAATATATATTGTGGAGGAAGCTCCTTTATATTTATGATATCTAGTACTTTCAGAACATGACGGCATTGAATCCCCATAAAATCAAATTTTCTGCAACTGCAGATAATGGTATTACCTGCTGTGTCAAATCTTACAATATACTCTTTTGAGCAGTTCTCTGCTTTAACTTTGTACATGTATGTAGCCTGATCATTGTCACAATTGTATACCATCAAATCCATCGACAACTCAAACTCAATTTGGAATATCTTAAACACTGCAGGAGTGTATGCATTAGCAGCTTGCCTCAACATTTTTGAAGCAGGCATCTTTCCATAACTGTGACAAGCATGGAAATCAGCTTGCAGTTCAACATAGCGTCTCTCATTCAATTCACTCTCATAATGCTTGAAGAAGTCCAACAGTTTACACTCCAAACCCAAGTGCACTTTTAGTTTGTGGCTAATGCTTTCCCTAACAAGAGAACTTCTTATATCAGCATAAAATGCTTGGCGCCCATATGCCAAAGACCACTTCTCCCTGTCTTCAAATAACTTAGTCAGCCAAGAATTACTGCCAAGATCATACTTATCTATTAAGCTCGTCCATTCCAACACAAAATCCTCTTCATCCTCTATATCATACATACATCGGCTGAAATCCTTTGCAAATGTTGTTGAGCCTTGAAAGACAAAATTTAGATGCTTCAAGGCATCATTATGGATATGCCACACGCAAATACGATGAGTTGTATCTGGCCAGACAGCAGCTACTGCATTGCTCATGGCTTCACACCGGTCTGTGAGGACTACATTTGGTTGTTTCCCAGACATTGCAGTTTCGAACGTTTTAAATAGCCACTTGAAAGAATCTTCGGAGTCGCCATATAGCAATGCTGCACCAAAAATAATTATTTGCTTATGATTGTTCACTCCAACAAAAGGCGCAAATGGCCTGCCATAGTCTCTTGATCTGTATGTTGTGTCGAGGCACAGTACATCACCAAAGCACTCGAAATCAACCATGGACTTCGCATCGGCCCAGAAGATGCTTGCTAATTTTTCATTCTGATTCAAATGCAAAGCATAATAGAAGGATGGGTCTTCAGCTTGCTTTTCCTGCGCATATTGCATTACAGCTCCAACATCCCCTGGAAGCATCTCAGCCAAATGCTTCGATGGTTCATTATTCTTGTACCTGGTAGACAGAAAAGTTGGACTCTCATTACTTTCAGGTGCTTCATTCTTGTTATCAGATAATTCTAATGCATTCTCTTGGATATTCCCCAAAGCAATAAAATCAACTGGTGGCCCAACTAAACCCCTCCGCCATCGCCACCTGAACAAGTGGGCTTTCGAGGGAATTACCAGTGGATGGTTATGCTTTAACTCAAACTCAGTAACACGATATCTACCATTTTTCATAATCTTAATGGTCATGGATGCAGCACAACCTGTCCTTTCATATGGCTTGGGACCCCTTACAAGCTGTTGATCTCTCTTCAGCTCATTAGTTTTTCTGCTTTGACCCTCTTTATGACAAACATATGTTCTTGAATACACAATGCCTGAAGTCCTTCGTTTCACCAGATGCTTTCTGACACTAAATCCTATTCTAGCTGCATAATTTATATAAAACTCATATGCCTCCTCATCATCCTCAAATTCGATATCAACTTTGGGCACCCAATCCTCGTTATCAACATTTTCCAAAGGCACCGGATTGCTCAAACAATTAGAAGGAATATAACTCTTGTGAACAAGCCTTCCTGCAAGCTTCCCACGGAAAATTCTCTTGCGAATTTTACCATCCACTACCAATTCATTACTTGATTCCAATTGAAATTCTGGGACCTTTTCTACCAGCTCATGGTTATGCTCTGCCTCAAACTCAGTAACATGAAATTTACCATCATCCATAAGCCGAACACCAATATGTGCACCACAGCCAGTTCTTGCGTCTGGCCGCGGCTTCTTCCCTTCCTTCAAGGTCCTGCAAAATCCTTCCTTGTAACAACAAAACGTTCTCGCATACACTGTTCCATTAGAGCGACGCTTTACCAAATGCTTCCTGACACCAAAACCCATCTCTCTAGCATAGAAGCAGTAGAACTGGTAGGCCTTCTCATCGCTCTCGAAAACCATATGAAGCTTAGGAACACAGCTCTTCTCAGAGGTTCCCTCATTGGAAGTAGAGGTGGGTTGCTCCGCTGCTTGGGACATTGTTGTTGTCCCTTTTCAGGCTCAAAATAAGGTTTAGAGGACTTAAAATATGCAATCTTTTTGAAAATCCAAATTGAATCTTGGCAAAACAATGGTGAGCAATTCAGACGGAGGAGAAACTGAATCAGTAAAATCGACAACGGAAATGTCGAGTCGTGAACTCACCTGAGCAGAAACTTGCTATAGTGGCGCATATGAGAAGAAAAAAGAAATGTGGAGAGAGAGAGAGAGAGCGGGGAAGACGAAGAGGGGGATCGGACGAGGGAAAGTTCCGACCTAGGTTGTAGGGATGGGAAAGGTGAGAGCTTTGAGAGGGCGATAAGAGGAAGAGAACCGATGGCGTTCGACACCACGGGGAGCACGACACGTGTGAGTCCAAATCTTTTTATCAAAAAAATATAATTTTAAATTAATAAAATATATTTACATATATTGAGTACAATTTATTTGAAGGGAGCAAATTTAGAGTCCAAACAAATTAATTTGAAATTAAAGTTGTTTTAAACTAAAATAATTTTTTAATATTTAGATAAATTATGAACTTTATTCCATTTATGAGAGTCATAAGAGAGAGAGAGAGCGCAAACATAAATTCAAAATTCAAGAAAACAAATATAATTTTTTTAAGATTATCTTCATAAAATATTCTATCCAATTTAGATTGCTTTGATTGAAATCATACTTATTTATGAAATCAAATTGGCTTTGTGGGGATTGAATCTCAGTGATTTGAATGAGCTTGAATAATCATAAAATATGATTTTTTTTTTTCCATTTTTCTATTTGTTAAGAGTTAAAAAACTTAAAATGGTTGAGAGTACATATTTAATATATTAGTTTTATATAAAAAATTTAACATGCGCAAATAAAAATTATAAGATACACTATAATCTCTTATAGAAAAAAACCTAAAATCGCAGGGTTTATTCTACTTGAAAGAATCCATTATATAATTAAAGATATAATAATCCAATTTCTCATGGAAAAAAACCTAAAATCATAGGATTTATCCTAGATGTAATAATCCACTATATAATTAAAGATATAATAATGCATCCTTCCTTATAATTAAAGAAGAGAATACTATACACAATTAGTAATAATTGTCTTGTTCTTGTTGAAGATATTATAGAGGTTGGGTGTCCATAATCGAACAACTGAAGTCTAATAATAAAAGTTGGATATTATTAGTCAAGTGCTAAGGCATTCGATGGAGACAACGATTGTTAATTATGATCAACATAAGTAATCATGAATAATGTAATAGAATTTTTAAGCTCCCTCAACTCTTAAACCACACTTCCATGTAGAAAAACAAAGTCGTAATTATAGCTTTTTTAAGAACAACATTTGGGTCAATCTATCAGCATTCAAAAAACTACACCGAATAACACATATTGATCATCTTAATCCTACATCATTATTCAATATTTAATAATCTCAAAATTGAATGATCTTGAATGTCTTGAAAGTTGTAAATATACTTACGCTACTTGATTTGTGTTCATTTGAACTTAAATTGAATCACTTTAGGTGTCATAGATTCATCTAGTTGTGGCATTCAGATCAACTATTTGTTTGTTGAAATTTGAGTTCCAATAATTTTGAATTTAATTTTAAAAGTTATCGATTCAAATATTAACTGAAGATCATATCAATCAAGACAGGCTTTCATAGTTCGCAAACAAAGAAGTCATTGTACCAAATATCTCGTGCAAAATCATACTTCTCAAATTGATGACTCCACATATCTATCTTTATTGTTCAATTCGCCTGCAGCTGTGAAACTAAGTTTGAACTTTTTAAATTGATTTTCATGGCTCAAAAATTTTAATTCTATATATATATATATATATATATATATATACGAAGATCTAGCACACACACAGATAAAGAGAGAGGGTCTAGCATTTAGAAGACACAAAGATTTTTATGTGGGGGAAAAACCCTGGGGCCTAGCCCAGTTTAAATGAATCCACTAGTATTGTAGTTGATTACAAATGAGTCCCTTCCTTGGGAGAAGACCTTAGCTTGATGTACATTTTTATAGAGTGCATTACATAATGTGAATACAAAGAGTCACTATTGACGTGATCGTTTGGTCGGGAGGACCATAGTCTAGTGACGGAGGTCAGAAGAATCATAGTCGGCGGGCGACGGAGGTCGGAAAGACTGTAGTCGGCGGACGACGTAAGTTAGGAGGACCACAGTCGGCTGGCGTCGGAGGGTGGAAGGATTATAGTCGGTGGGTGATGTAAGTCAAAAGGATCGTAGTCGGCGGGCGATGGAGGTCAGAAAGATTGTAGTCGGCGGGCGACGTAAGTCAGGAGGACCGCGGTCGGCTGGCGACGGAGGCCGGAAGGATTGTAGTTGGTGGGCGACGTAAGTCAGAAGGACTATTGTCTGACGACGAAGGTCAGAAGGACGGCATCAGGTAGAAGTCTAACAATGGAAAGAAATCCATCTTCGGATAGATGCCCAACAAAAGTCCGATAACCAGTAGAAGTCCGGCGTCGGGTAGAAACTTGGCAATGAGTGAAGGTCTGGCATCAGGTAGAAGTCCGACGTCTGTTGGTGGCCGATGAGAACTCCGGTATCACTTGGGCAGAGTTTCGGCGTCAGGGGGTAACTCTGTTGTTACTTGGACAGAATGTTAGCATCCCGTAGAAGTCAAACAGAATTATGGCGTCCCGTGAAAGTCGGGCAAAATTCTGGCGTCATTTGGAGTTTAGGCGGAACTCCGGCGATGGTCGAGAAGGAGTCTCTTCCCTCCTACTATTCTCTTCTCCTCATTTTCTTCTTGCTTGGGTCCCCTCTCATGAGAAATGAGGGGTCTATTTATAGATTTTCTGGAGTGGCATGACCTGTAAATAGATGAGAGATTAGGGACAAATGTGGAGTGGTTCGATGGAAGACCGATATTGAATCCCTTGATCATGGATCGTTTATCAGACATTTGAAGGTCTTACTGACTTTGGAATTCGGCGATCTTGGGCTCGTTGGATTCGGCTCGTCGAGCCGCTCGATTCAACTATAAGCTCGTTAAAATCGGAGACTACTTAGTAACTCAAATTGTGGTATGAACTTTCCAATAGCGTTTAGGGTCATTGATTCGGACCCATTTGGGCTCGGATTGAGTTGAATTTGGTGTCGTTGGATTTGCATTTCCGAGACGCTCTGTTTGCCTGTAAGTTTACTGAAATCGGAGTTCAGATGCTCTCAAATTTAATTTTTTAAGCTTCAAACTTGATTTTTGCCTTGAGATTTGTGCCCGATTAAGATAATTTTTGCATGACATATGTGTGTGTCTATATATATATATAATAGTATTCATAAAATTGGATGGATATTTTTTTATATACATGTATGTCGTACCTAACCTAAATCATCCATTAAAATATTCGCAATAAATGAACTCATGAAATGAAACACTAGTGCAATTAAAAAACTAAAATGCGGACATCTTCAGTATATGCTTGATTAAATTTTCGAAGTCTTGTCTTATGATCTACTTATTATAGCTTTATCATTACTTTAGAATTAAACAATTACAATGTTATTCGACTAATTTATTTCTACTTTTAAAAAAAAGTATACTGAAAATCACTTATAATTTGAATAATTAAGGCTTCATTTGGGGCACTTTTATAACCACATTGTAAAGGAATTTTTTAATACAAAAATTCTATGAATTAAAAGTTTAAAACAAATTTTTTTATAAAAAAAATTTAAGTCTTAAGCTTCATTTGAGATACTTTTTTTATATTTTATAAAAAAAATTATTTTAAAAACAAAAAAATGAAAAGAAAATAATAATAATTATTATAAAACGTTCCAAATAAAATCTCAAGATAACTTCCTAACTGTTTTTTAAAACTAATTTTTAATTCATGAATTATTTTATAATTTAAAATATTTTTTAAAAACAATAAAAAAATCTAACCCATTAACTTCTCTCATAAGCTGGTTTACTTTCCTAAACTGCAAACAAGTGGTAGCTAATGAACTGTTTAGAGTAACTTTTTCATTGCTTTATTTTTCATATATGCTTAACTATTGCTTTCTAGCTATTTTTAAAAAATTGTGATTAAATCTTAATTTTTAGAACTAGATTTATTAATATTAAATAAAGAGATCAAACATGGTAAACCAATATTACACTTCACAGCTTTAGTAAATCGGCACTAACAAAGCACTAAGAACACAGTTCATTTGATTTGTTGGTTGGGAACTTTTAGTCTATCAACTAAGAGATCTTGTATTCGAGCCTTCTGTATGCGATGTGTGTGCGAATTTGTCTTTAACTGACCAAAATGTTCCAAAAAAAAACAAAGCACTAAGAACCTAAAGTTACCTGTTGTTCATCAACCAGCAACAGACAACTTTAGGTCCATCCAAACTTGAGCAATAAGCATAGGTCCCGCAGGCACAACAAGAAATTATTTTGTATGGACGCCGAACACAGTTTACCGTCCGGAGACTAATCAGAATGTGTCACGTCAGCTGTTCCGGCTGGTCTCTAGACGGCATACGACGTCCGTACAGAATATGAGCCCCAAAGATTGAGGCAAAAAACAAAATGAAACAAAATATCGATAATAAAAGCAGCTCATTGTTCTTAAAATCAAATTATTTTTAAATGTTTACACCTAAAAAAAAAAAAAAAAGGTAAAACCTGTCATAGAAAAATTCAGTTTCCAAGCAGAGATGTCAAAAAAGCCAGCAAAGCAACTGCGATCATGATATTAAGAAAGTAATTAGATTTAAGGGGCTTATCTGGACTGCCCCCAACGGCTTCATACTCTCTTCTGATCTTCTGCTTCATAGCCTCGGACAGTTCTCTCTGCAATCCAAAGCGTATAATACGTTTTATTCACTTTATTCTTTATATCTATAAGGTTTCCAGATTTATTTAAGTGATCAAACTGTTGAAAAGCTTCAATGATGTGTTATTAAAAGACGCAGCAGAAGGAAAGACGATTCGTTGTTTTTTTGCTAAGCCTGCAAGTCATAAAAGTAGGAAGCATAAATTTCATTTTTTATACAAACTATTCTACCATCTTATACAATCTGGGAATACCATTAAAAGATTGATAAAACTATTGACAGTGTAGCTGTATACCTTTCCAGATGAATATTTTGCTGCTTGAAATGGCTCAGGAATTGATCCCTTTCCATCATCATCTATTGAGATTCCCTGTTAAGAATCAAAAGTAAATCTTTTTTTTTTTAAATGATGAGAGCGATAGCTCAATTATTTTAAGAACAAATCATGTTGTGGTTAAAAAAAGAGCTACCAAGTTAAATGCATTTGAAGTAGTAACTCAAAATGAAGCAAAGCCAATGACATTTGAAGAGAAAAAAAGCATCATAATTTGATCAAAAACTAAGAAATCAATGGGGGGAGCTAAGAACAAGGAAGTATCTAAACTCGACATGTTACCCATTCACAACGGTGCAACACAAGTGCTACGAAAGCAATTGAGATGGGCCTTCCCAAGCCAAACAATGAGGTTTTGTTTGGGATGGATTTCTTATTGCTTCTTAAAATAGTTTTTTAGTACAAAAATTAAAAAGCTGCATTAAGAAGCTATGCCGTCCTAAATAAAACCTAAGTCTTAAGAGGCAACAATAAAGTATATAACAGATCGGTTCAGACAAAACAACATACGGCACCACAGGAGAATTAAAAATAAAAAATAAAAACAAGCTTCAGCAACAGCTTTTTTAGTCCAGTGGTAAGAAGCGTCGAGTTACCTCTGGTGGATCAAATTTTGCTCCAAGGTTACTGAGTTTAGAATGGGCTTCAGCATAGTCCTTAAAGAACGAATCCTGATCCTGAGCATATTCCTCAGAATAGATCTGTAATAATGTAATTTGTCAGATATTGTAGCAGATAACTGCGTATTGGAGTTTAGGGATGAAATTGAATAAACAGTCGAATACCTTAAAGGATGGATCATCAAATAATATGGCATCAGTAGGCAAAACTAGAAGATCCTCGTCCTTCTGCTCTTTTATATCCTGACAAGAAAAATATAATATGAATAAAATTTAAAGCAATAATTAGGAGTAATGAAGTTTATAAAAAACTGAGGCTGTTCTGAATGTGATAAATGTAGTTGAGAGAAAGAGGAGAGGAAAAGAAAGGAGAGATGAAGCATTCTGCAGTAATGACAGCCAGATTAATTTGGGGTAGGTGTTGCGGGAGGGGTAGTTTCTTACTTTGAAGTAACTATTATCAAACTTCAGCCATTGCACTGTCCATGACTGTCCTCCAGGTGCTCCAGGCCCATCTTTCTGAAAAATAATGCCGAAGGTATAAATAAGTCAATCTAAAGCCAGCCCAATATGGATAACTGGTATTTGTAGTTTCATAATTATGCAATAAACAAGATATCCATCGGATATAGAAAAAATAGCACGTTAACTACAAATGCTAAAAAGGATTTAAGGACCTACTTGCTTCAAAACACGAGTGTTTCAGGCAAAGTAATATACTTCTGAATAAATGTATGTAAATAAATTTTTTATGTAAAACATGAAGAAAACTAAGATAAGAAAAGTGCAATCTTCCATCTTAATGGAAAAACTATCCACATGAATATTTATCAGTCAAGATAGAAGCATGCAGTCGAAGGAGGTGGATCAACTAACCCAATAAATTTAGTTTTTTTTGTGTTAATATTGCTTGTTTTTAAAAACCAGACACTCGAAGTCATCAGAGAAAAGGAAAACAATATTTGATTAGGCTTTTGAATACAGGCTCAGGTCTCTCTATCCTCTCTCCCATTTATTTTTCCAACACCGCCCCAACCCCGGCAACGAGCATGGAATGTAGGGGTCCTATCTAGAGAAGGTTTTTACCATGTAACCTTTTGTGCATACAAACTTGTTCACATCATAACAGCGTGCAAGGCAAAGAGCTATCTGGTTGAGCGACTCATAATTTTAGATGTCTGATAGAAACTCTAGTAGATCTCAAGTATTTCCTATCAATCTTTGGAAAACAGTGAAAATCTTCCACAAGAATCCACACAAAACCAAGAAAACAGTAGAAAATTTGTATTATTTGATGAAATAGAAATGGAAAAAAAGCAAGATACAGTTGATCCTCAATTCGAGAGGAAGATCGATCTCTCCCAAATCTCTAGACGCCGCTAGTGCCCAAAGAAAAACCTAAATCTAGGAGATCTCAAATTTCAGCCAAATGCAAGATGCCCTAACCCTAGAAAAACAAACTATTTAATACATACAAATCAAAAGAAAATCCCTAAATAGTCCCTAAATTCAAATTTCCCTCCCAAACCCTCAGAAATCCTTCCTAATCTGCTCTATGGGATCAGGCAGTTCTGTCGGCAGCACAGAGAGGCGGAAAAACTTCAGCCTTTGTTTCGGCGAACCCTCCCAAAGATCCACCTTGTCCGCAAGGTAGAAAGACGGCACTCTACATTCCTTCTTCATCACAAATGGTAAGAACCTGAAGAGTTCGGTCCTTACACCTATGTCATGGCTTATACCTCTTATCACATCTAAAACAGAACCCCTTCGCCCTCTTCTCCAGTAATTCTGTCTCTATGAGCTTCTTGAAGCTGTCCCCAGGTCTTCCTCCTGTAGTCTTTTACTTCGAAGTCCCCCCCAGAGTATCCGGTGTTGGCTCCTTAGATTTCAATAAGGTGGTGGTCATCCTATCTGAGCCTCCTAAGTTGTTACCTCCCATCTCTCCCTCTAGGTGCCTCTGATCTTCTACCAATTGAGCTAGCTTCATAACCTCTCCCAAGTCACGAGGCCTCATTACTCTAACCGCTGCTCGAAACTCTAGTGTCAATCCCTTTATGAAGTTTCCCTCTAGCATTGTATCATAAAGGCGGTCCAATCGGATAACAAGGTACTCAAATCTCTCCTGGTACTCCGTCACTGAACCCTACTGTGTCAAGGCGAAGAACTGCTAGTAGAAGTTCCTCCCCTGCCAGTTCGAAAACGTTCTACCAAATAATCATTGAACTCTCTCCAACTCCGTATGGATCGTCGCATGTCCCTCCACTAATACCAAGACAAAGCCTTCCCTTCTAAACATAGGCCCACCGCCGTCAGTCTCTCCTCCTCTGTCAGTCCATTGACGGCAAAATATCTTTCTACCTTATAGACCCACTCGTGCGCATCCTCCCCCTCAAAGATTAGCATATTCAGTTTCATCACCATTGGGTCACACCAGTTTCCCCTAAATCCTCCATAACCTCCCATTCATCGAAACGGAGGTGTCCCCAATTGTCACGATCTTCCCTCCGATGATCATACCCAAACAACTCATTAAAATCTCCTCTTCTTCTTTCAAAATCAGCACCCCATCGATTGAAATCATCCACTCTCCTTGCAAATTCAGAACCCCTTCTTGCATAGTCAATGCTCATCTCCTCCTTAGAGAGTGATTCTAGATGAGGCATTTCGTCTTCTCTCTCAAGGATCTCCACTTCTGAATTTTCCCTTCCCCTAGACGTGTTAGAGTTCCCATCTCTTCCATGGTTGTTAGTAGTTTCCTTTGCTTCCGATGTCACCGGTTTGATTTTGACTTCAAGCAATTTCTTCAACATGTCTTCCACCACGGCGAACTTTTCCTCCATCTTTTCATTGACGGATGCAATCTGATTTTGAAAATCAGCAATCTTTTCCTCATAATCTGCTTTGAGTTGCACTAGTTCTCCCTCCAAAACTTCTATTTTCCATCCGGTCATTGGTTCCCCTTTCGATCGACGTGCTCTGATACCAATTTGATAGGAAACACTTATAAATCTCAAGTATTTCCTATCAATCTTCGGAAAACAACAAAAATCTTCCACAAGAATCCACACAAAACTAAGAAAACAGTAGAAAATTTATATTATTTGATGAAATACAAATAAAAAATAGCAAAATACAGTTGATCCTCAATTCGAGAGGAGGATTGATCTCTCCCAAATCTCTAGACGCCGCTAGAGCCCAAAGGAAAACCTAAATCGAGGAGATCTCAAATTTCAGCCAAATTCAAGATGTCACCCTAGGAAAACAAACTATTTAAAGCATACAAATCAAAAGGAAATCCCTAAACAGTCCCTACATTCAAATTTCCCTCCCAAATTCCTTAAAATTCCTTCCTAATCTGCTCTATGGGATCTGGCAGTTCTGTCGGCATCACAGAGGCAGAAAAACTTCTGCCTCTGTTACCGCGGACCAGTCCCGTGTGGATCGGCTGGAACAGTCTAACAATGTCATCTTTAATATTGAGAAGATCTCCAATCTCAGTATCTTATGGACAAGGATTTATGCTAAATTATAAGCTCAGTAACTACCAGACTAAGCATTAGAGGATTTATGCCAACCAAAGCTATGAATAGCATTAAGACAAACAAAAACAACAAATCTTTATCGCACTAAGTGGGGTCGGATATATGAATCATTTTTCTCCATTGTGTTCTATTAAGTGTCAAATTTTCTTTTAAAGCTAATAAAAAAGGTGTCAATTTTAATTAACAAAAAGACCATTTTTAATTAAAAAAATGTCATTTTTAGGATAGAAACCAGACCCAAGAACCATAACCTTGATAGCAATTATCAGCTGTTCAAATCCCTCCATGGAAAGGTGACCTCAACTAGGCCACACATTAGTGCCCTTATTCTTAAGAGATCTTTTACAATGAAAATAAAAATAGAAATTTTAAAAAGAGATAAAGAGTAAAATCCTTGTCCCATATGCTGCGAGTTCTTTCATTTTTTAACATCAATTTGATACTTCTCCATGGCGAGAATGATTCTTCTTCACTAATAAACTTTGGAAGATCTTCGGCTATCACCAAGCTTGTTGGGATATAAAGGAAAAGAGAACATTAAGCACATCACGCTTCTTCTATCTTTCCGCGTGTCATCTCTTTTAAGTGTCTCAGTTGTTGTAAATTTCACAACCATCTGAGCTTTGGATATCCAAAGAAGCTACTCAGAGACGTCCCAATCAGAATAAAAACAAGCAAAGGTTCTTGCATTTGCGTATTTATTACCTTATGAATGTTGCTTGCATGATCATCAAATGTTTCACTTGTCTTCTTTATTTCCTATTCAAGGTGGTTGTTGTAGTAATTTTCCACTTGACAAAGCTGGCCTTTATGATAAAACTTTATTATAATTGCCTTCTTAATCATTATTGATAGAATGCATTTAAAAAGCCACCCTCCCTGAGGATGCTTACTCTCCCCTTCGTGACAATTGCTATTGTTATCAATCATTTATCATCAATTTGAATATGAGGATAGAGCAGAAAAAATAGAGATCATCCCCCTTTTTTATGTACATGCATGTAAATTTCAGAAAAAGATATTGAAGGAAAGCTACTTTATTGGTGTTGACCTATAACCAGACGTCGCTCATAACCGCCCCACTCCTGTAACTTCCCTCTCTCACTCTGAATTAAATACACGCACACAGGAACCGCACACCTGACGCTCTCTTAGAGTCGAACGCAAGGAAAAAACTCACAAAACTCCCTCGTGTTCTCTACCTTCCTGTTTGTTCGCTTTAAGTCCTTCCGGTGATGCATGCAGACAAAGCAGAAGCCCTCATATGTTCGATCCACACCTCCCTCTCCCGCTCTCATCTCCTGCGCCCGACCCAACCTTGCCCTACACCCGAACCCTGACTAACCCGACGCATGACCCGCCTTCGTCTGCTAAGAACGAGTGACCCTGATCCTCCTTCACTCGCTGATTCCGCCTATCTGCACACGACCCAACTCTCATTGCTGCTCCATGCGCCAACTGCCGAAACTCCGCCCGAACCCTAGTATCTGAATCTCTTATCCCTTTCCTCATCTGTTTTATATATGAATATATATATATAATATATTATTATATAAGAAAAGAAGGAAATGGATTTTTTTAATAGGTTTATGAGTTTGACGAAGACCCTATGCCATCGATCTTAATCAGCTGAAGGAGTGCAAAATTATGCCCTCGTCATTGATCTTTGATATGGGAGAGAAGACCTTTTAAATTGAAGGCCCTATGCAGCTTATATCTTAGTTTATGACAAATGATTGCTTCGAAGACGCCCATTGATGTTGTTTTAGATCAGGACAGGTAGAACCAAGGCAAGCTGCCTTCTAACCTCCGTTCGCATCGAGAAGGGAATGCTAAGAGGGGGCTTGCCGAAATTGAAACTACATGGTCCTCAAGAATTAATTTCAAAAAAAAATTTATTCATTTTAGATGATTTATTATATATATATATATATATATATATATATAATTGTGTTATTTAATAAAAGAAAAGAGGCCACACCCATGAAACTCATATGACTGAAGCATAGGTAACACATGTAAATGCAAGATGTTAGGATGAAGATAAACCTAACAAGATTTATAATAATTCAAACAACGAGGATTTGAATGATTTCATGGACAATCATAATAATATTGGCTTAGGAGAAATGATATTCTTCATGAAGTTGCTAATTGTTCTATGAATGGACGTGTGTGTACAAATTCAATAATAGCAAGATTATCTATGGATATAGCTATTTACACAACCAATCTATAAGAGAGTTTAAAGGAAAATGGAAACCTTTCTACAATGGCTAATCTTCCATCTTATAAAGATAATCTAGTGAAAGAAATTGCAAGCTTGATGGTAGTTCACGAGAAAACCATGATAAATCAAAAAACTCGATGGTTAAATTCAAACATAATCTCAAGTCAAAGATAAGTGAAGAGCAAGAATCAAATGATCAATTTGTAACCATAACATTCAACAAGAATGAGAATGTAGTATGTCTTAAACTACTGTTACAGAAGGAGAGAGGGAGGCTCCCAATGACCTGTCAACATCAAAAATCCATAATGATATAAGGCATAATTATGAGGAATTCGTAATCTGATCACTGAAATTCTCTGTTTAGAAGGATTGTGGAGGCTAAAAAATATATATTGCAATAAGAGAGCAGGGAGAGTATGCAACACTAGTACATGTACGACTATTGGACCATGGAAATAACTAAAGCCTGGATGATCACAAAAAAGATAAAGAACTGTCTGAAATGTCAAAATACATCTATTCCAAAATAAAATTCGTCGATAATGTCACCAGATCCACAACATTTATACAAGCAGAGGTGTTCATAGGCCCTTCAAGGAAACCCACACATCTTGCAAATACTTGAAAGACGTATAAAATGCATACACATACACATAACACATTGCAGCATGTAAAATGCAATATGGAAGCATAACATATAAAAGGTATTGCGTAGCAGTAGTGCGTTACATTGGCATGCAAACCCTTCATGAACTACATAAAAAAATTGAATTATCATGCAAATGCATCATGTAGGCAAGCAGACTATTTATGTATGTATTATACGTACATATTACACAAATGCATCATATAATATGTTAAAACAGTAGGTCACTACATTGCATATCAACATATCATTCAAGTATGATTAAACAGTGCACAAATGCATATGCCAATATGCATGCATACATGCAATTAAATACATGCATGAGCCCCTATGAGCATGATATATGCACACACATGACGTCTGAGGATGTACGCGAGTTAAGAAATGAACTTAAGATCAAGTTTGATCCTTCTATGTGAGTTGATATGAGTCGACACGGCTCGAATTGTCAAATAAATATATGGTAGTAGCGCTAACCGGAATATTTGTTTTATACATTCATATTAGACATTAAAGGTCTATTACAAGAAAGATTCACTAATAAAAATATAAAGCTGACAATGAATTTGATCCTATATCGGCAAATATATATATATATATAGTCAACAAGGTTTAACTGATAAAATAAAATTGCCCATAAAAACACTGATGATGGCCGTGTTGATATAAATTTTCAATCGGAGGGGACTCCAAATATTTAAAATGTCTCCCAAATTTTTACGAAAATACAAGTAACTTTGACATACCCCGATGATAATCATGTTGATAGTAAATTTCAACCAGATGAGTCAATTCTCAAAAGCCTTTTTTTTAAACTTCAAAATCTAATCACCAAAACTTAAAACTAAAACATATCAACCATCCTCAACAATTTGTCGGGGGTGGTAAATTTGAAATTAACCTCAGCTCACAAAGAATAAATGTCATGTCGGGTGTATCACTAAGATTCTTAGATTCATCCTCAAATAGTTTCTTGCCAACAGGGACATGGCACATGCCCTCTGATCGGGTGATTTTGCCGCAAAATGACATCATTATATTACACAGCCAAAACTCATATGTTCCCTAACGGCGTCAAACTCTTGAGTAATGAATCATAGGGTATATTCGGTAGGCACAAAGCCATTTTTGTTAGCTAAGGTGCATTCAAATGTATCCCCTCAAACAAATATCATCCCAAGTCTATAAGATTTTCCTGGACAAAGCAACTCATGGTTGCTGATAAGATGTTTTCTATCAGGTTGGGTTGATTACCTCTCTGACTAAGCAGACCAGGGATCATGACAACCCGAGATAACAAAACCATGGGATCTTGATCGGGCTCGTCTTCGTTTCCCTAATCACTTGTTTTAAGTATATGGTGAAACACTTCAAAATTCAAATTCAAACTCAAACCCTAAAACTGTTGTTATAATACGCTTGGTTTGCAACCTATGCGACCCATCTTACAACTAGCCTTAATCAAAAGTTTCATATCGTTATTGGGAGGGGTAATTAACTATAGGGGCTTGCGCCTATAGGAAACAATAGCTCAAATCATAAAGTCCTCGCAAAATGAGGGTGAAATCTCTAGGTAGCGTCTTATCTAAAACCCAATCTGCCTTATGAAAACTTACCACATAATCTAAACTTGTTAAAACTCTCCTCGCCTACTTAAACAACAAAAAAGGCAGTGTAGAGAGGCCGAGGCGCGAATTTTTCGAAGCCTACAATTGACACATTAAATTTATGATAAATTTGCAAGCAATAACATGTCCCATTCAAAAATATTTGATTAAGATCAAATTCTCATCATCATTAGCCTTATCCCATCTATTTGAGGTGGGTTTTAGAACCCTTATTTTACCTTCATTTTAAAATGAGCGTTGAATGAGATGTTTACTCTAATTTATCCAAAATTAATGAATAACCAAGTTTCAAGATTTCCAGGAAAATTTTGCTAGGGTTAATAACTGCAAAGAGCAAAAGCTAAACTTATCTTGGCCTATTTTAAGTAAATATGAGCTTTTGAGAGCAAAAACTTAAGCATGTAAAGCAAAACGTGAATCTCATACTGTATACTTTGTTTCTGATTTTCCCCAACCACTACGCTCCGGTCTAGACCTTCCCAAAGTATGTGCACCAGACAATGCTACTATTTCCTGCAGCCACACCGAGTTGAAAAAATGTTTATAACAGAAAATCAACCTGCAGGTAAACGAGTTGTAGAGTACCTTGTCATTAAATCCCATTCTATAAAAAACTTCCCGCAAATGATCAGCCGGAGATGGTGGCCCAGCAGCTGATTAAGAAAGACCAAATGACAAAATTGTAATTAAACAGGTTCACATGACTCAGATAATTAAGTACTAAAAAGTGGACCATCAACAACAAAAAATGATATCAGCACACTCATTCATCAACAGTGGACTAGGAGTATTAAAGTATCATTGAATGCCAACAATTTTACTAAATTGCAATTGCTGGTGTAAACAAGCAAGCATCCATAAACCATGTTCTATAAATATTTGCAAGGTTTATATTTCAAAAACATAATCCATTTTATATTTTGTGCTTGGTACAGCAACATTTCCTTATCTTGACAGTTCATGAACTGTCAGAGTACACATTAAACTACATTACAAATTGTAATATTAAAGTGGAAAATTTTAAATGGAATAATGTCATCGAGCTTGACAATGCTGTACAATATACCTATGAAACATTGCAACTGCTATAAACTACAGAGTTCCTTGATAATGTACAACAACGCGTGGTTGAAGTTCGAAAGAATATCACTGTATAACATATCAATGTTCTTACAACTATTTGTAAAGACTTAATTATTGAAACTAGAAAATAAGATTCTGATTCATTTAATTTAAGCATTACAATTAAATTTGTTCAGCAAAACTGCATACAATGTAGGATCGATTTCAATTTAAAGTAAAAACATAAATGACTAAACTAACAAATTTTAATTACTACTAAAAAGTGGACCATCAGTAATAAAAATGGTCCACCAAACTCACTTTCACTATAAGTGGACTTGAGTTTGTTGTTATTGTTAACGCCAATTTTTCAGCTAATTGCAATTGCTGCAAGAAATTGTAGATTAATGTAGAGAAAGAGAGAGATGGAGAGAGAGCGACTTAATTATGCTTAAGCCATAGCCAATTGCTCAATGGCCAAGGGTTCCCTGCCCAAACCACAAGGATTAAGTGACTTTGCTTATATCCACTATAATTGAGTCAAGATTAACTAAGATGGCCATTAGGGTATAGGTTAATCAAGAGTCACCCAAGTCAGCCAAACTCGAGTTAAGTCAATTGAAATTCAGGTATGCTTGGCAAACAGATCAAGCTTATCTAAGAAAAAATTAGCTAGGGTGTGGGTCTAGGACATTTTTTGGGCCCATTAAACCAATGTAACATAGGCCAAGGCTAATTGAAGGTCAACTAACGCCAGAAGGGTGACTTTGATCATTTGTGGATCACCGAGTCAAAAGTTTCAGGCTGAAATTAGTGTGGGCTACAAAAGTTTAGAGAGACTTGTCAGACAGCAAAAATTTGAGGGACTAGTCTAGTCTAGACTCAAGACCCTAAGTTCAAAGAATGAGCTGAATGAGCTCAAAACCTAGAATAATAAGGGATCAAGTTATTTCTCATGGATTTTTTTAAGAAGTGATGACTTCCATATATTTAAAAGGATTTCTAAATTTAGTATGAGTTTTACTTAAGTTTTTTACTTTCATTAACATTCTTCCATCTTCAAAAAATCAAGCATGTACAGTTGCGAAATAATCTTACAAGGAAGTTTGCCTTCTTCAGGGCACAGCTCAGGTCCAATGACATCAACTCTTCCATACTTCATTGGAATTTTGGGACCACCAGCTTCCTAAGAGGTGGTATTAAAAATGCTAAAAACAACTATTCCACAAGATACAAAGAAGTGAAAAGAGAAAAGAAAACCTCCACAGCTGTAGCACTTGCTAGCTGAAATAAATCAGCATAGGTTACACCAGAGTACTTATCCTTGATAGGCTGAAGAAGCCTCAAAGCATTTACAAGACCTGGAGAAACATGTTATGATTTTAGAAGATTCTCCCTCAGTGAAAATACATTGAATATCGAAGAAAAATACCAGCATTAGCTCCATGTTTCAACTCTATATCATATCTCAAGCTTCCATTAGCTCCACCCCTTTGTGGCCACTCTTCAATGTTCTTGTCATATGTACCAGAATCATGCCATCCCAAGCGAACCTGTTAGCATACATATCATACCAAATACTTCCAGTCATGTTTCATGGCGGCGCCTAACAAAAAATATATACAAAATTATGAACATATGCTACATACTTGAAATTAACAAATTTACACAGAAAATGACAATATTTTTACGCATCATCATTTTTACTAGCAACATTTACAATCATCTATGACTACCAATAACTAAATGCAAAACAGATGAGCTCCTCTCTAATGGAAGTACACAAAGCTAATATTTTACATTACATAAAACTCTTTATGTTATTCACAATATATTATCAGATCTGTAAGATTCATGCAAACAACAAACTCTGGCAAGAGAAAACAAATTATTCACAGTTGACTGTGATTTGTTAAGATTAAATAAAACCAACACAAGGATCTAATAAATTGATAAAAAAAAAAACTACACAAGGATTTGATAGCTTAATCCAAAAAGCAATCATTGCAGTACCTTTTAAGTTCAAATACGCAAAGGGGTGACTTCAAATTTTGTTTCCATGTCATTACAGGGATATATAGTAGCAACAAAAGAGGTGAGTTTTTCCTTGTTCTAGTGTGCTACTACCAAGTACCAAACAATGAAGAAGTAGCCAAAACAATAAAAGAGAGGTTCTCCATGATTTGAGAGATGTAGATTTTACTTATTGATGCTACTAACAATGAAGTAGCCAAAACAACAAAAATGAGGATCTTTAAGGTTTGACAAACAACAAATATATATGTAAATAAGGGAATTATTGGCCATAGCTTATGTATGCAGTTGATTATATTAACCTAGTTGATTGAAATACTCAAGAAAATAAAAAGTAAAGAGCCCCAAGCAACATATTTTTAGTAACTATGACTGGTTTATAAGTAATGTTTTATGACCTCCTTATTCCTTAATACAAGGACCATCTACTATATAAGAATCTCTTCCTCTTGAAAGCTATTAAAATTTACCCACTTCAAATTTTAGGCACCCAAAATAAGAACCATTAGAACAAAATCAGCACCAAACAACAAAAAATACAGCAACCAACCAAGTGAAAACAACAACAGCATACATGAACAACACTATTAAAGCTGAAATATCAACCTTCAATAAAAAAAAACACAATATACATTTGATTCACTGTTCGAGAAGTGAATCAGCTCTCCCCCAACTCCTAGGAACAACACTCATTGTAGAAGTAAAGATCAAGTTGCTGATATTTTTATAAGTTCCTAAAATTGGCTGTGTTTTAGAAGCTAAGAAAACTACTCCGTGTTAGCAAGCTGGAAATAAAATTAATGTTTACCAATTTTTAGTTTAGGAGATGGATTTGTTATGAAATGATTATGTGGTTATTGTTTGATCAGGTCTTTAGGATTTGTTTTAAGAATTAACTAATCTAAAAGAGTTTTCAGTTTAAACTTGTTAGAACTTAGAAGATAAGTACTATTAGTGGACCATTTTAAGGTGTCTTGGTGATTCCTAGTTTTCTTCTTTTTATCGTTTATGTATTTACCTATTTAAAGGTTCTTGTTTAATGACGTGATAAGTTGAAGAGATAAGTTGTGGTGCTTATCCTGCCACAGCCGTTGCAATGATGATCTGCAGCCACCTCTTTCTGCCATTGCAGCCTAATGCTTGTACTAAGCTAATCCTAACCGTTGTTGATTAACTGCTTGATCCAACCGTTGGGATCAGTTTACACTTTGTATTTATATACCTCCTGTAGCCACAGGAAGGATATGAAAAAGAAAAGAAGCTTTCCTCCTATCTCTCGATGTTACTCTCTGTTTTCCTTTTATGTTTCTTCCTTGCAGGTCATGTGAAGCCGAAGCATTTCAATACAATTTCACATGGTATCAGAACGCTAGGTTGCTTTCCTTGATCGGCTTTGTGGTTTTCGTTGATAGGAACTAAAATGAGTTCAGCGCAATCTTCAACTAACACTTCCGGCGTTGTTTCCCAAACTCCGGTGAAAATGGCTGAAGCAGTTATTCCGCCTCAGCTGAAGTTTCTGATGCTCAACATAAAATCGGTGTTGAACACCCAGTTAAATGCAGATAATTATCTGCTCTGGAAATCACAAGTGCTGAAGCTGTTTACCGCCAACGGGTTCGATGGATACCTAGATGGAACCACTTCAAAGCCAGAGAAACATATGGTGAAGGAATCAGGTGAAGTTGTATCTAATCCTCATTATCAAACCTGGATTCTCATAAATCAAAATTTGTCTGCTGCTTTGTATTCAGCTATTTCTCCCAGTTTATTGCCCTATGTGTTAAACCTGGACACTTGTGCGGAGATTTGGAGGACTATTGAACGGCGACTTCAATCCTCAAATCGTTCAAGATTGTTACAGTTGAAAAACGAACTGCATCATATCTCGATGAAGGATCGGACAATGATGCAGTACCTCTCCGATATAAAGAGCAAGTGTGATGCTATTGCTGCTTCGGGTACTCCGTTAAATTCAGAAGATGTAATAATGTACACTCTGAATGGTGATCCAACCGTTGGGATCAGTTTACACTTTGTACTTATATACCTCCTGTAGCCACAGGAAGGATATGAAAAAGAAAAGAAGCTTTCCTCCTATCTCTCGATGTTGCTCTCTGTTTTCCTTTTATGTTTCTTCCTTGCAGGTCATGTGAAGCCGAAGCATTTCAATACAATTTCACAATAGGCATTGTAGAAAAGCATTTCATCTAAAATTCATTACCTGCCTTCATTATTTCCTCAAAACGGTAACACCTAAATAGTCTACGAGGCTAATTTTCTGCCAACGGAATGTATCATCAATCATGGACTCTTAGATTAGAAGAATCACATTTTGAAATCACAGTACTAACTGAAGGATCTATTTCTTCAAACTAATCACATTTAAAACCCTAAAGAGCAAACACCTATCTGGATCACTGCTATACTCCCATGCACATGTCTCATTCTAAACCAGTTTCGAGTAATAGAAAAAAGATAACACGAACAAAGAGCTTCAACATTCCTTACCAGTATGGGATGGCAAAACGTTGCCTTAAGGAGCTCCCGAATGTCTTCCCTTGCGCTCCTAAGCTGCACCGGATCCGAAGCCGCAGACTTCGCCGCCGCCGCGGATCCAGGAGACGAGCTTAGCGAGCGTCCGCCCGCATCCTGCGAATCCCCAAATCCCAATGCCCATCTGAAGAAACTCCGCCACCATACAAATATATGCAAACAACAAATGCATCAAACGAGACGATACGAGACGAGACGTACCTGGAAGAGGCGGATGTGGACAGGGTCGAGCGGCGACGGACGGAGAGAAGCGGCGACAGCTCGAAGGGAGGATAGCCGGCGACTAGCGAAGAGAGGGAGGGCTGATCGGATCATAGCTCGCTTGGACGCCGACCGGAGGAAGCATGCGCCGATGCAGGACAAGGAAGTGGACGGGTAGAGTCGTTCCGCCATTACTTGGTGAGCCGCCAGCACACGCCCTAAGAATCTGACAGCTGGGAGAGTTCCAGCTAACATAGTTTTGCGTTTTTTTATAGGCTCGGTATCCAATATTAAGGAAGAAATAAATAATTAGGAACCCAAAGTGGCTTCATGAGAAAAAATTATTCATCACTTGGATTAAGGGTTGTATCCTTGATGTTCCCTTCTCCTTATGTATTAATGGTGCACTTGAAGGTTTTTTCATTTCATCTTCGGGTCTGCGTCAAGATTGTCCACTCTCCCCACTTCTTTTTGCTATCATCATGGATGCTTTCACTTGTGCTTTAGATAATGACAATTTCTCTGGCATGGCTTGTGACCCTTATTATATTAGCCACCTTCTTTATGTTGATGACGTTTTGATTTTTGGACAAGCTTCCATTTGCAATGCTTTAGCCTTAAATGACACTCTCAATGTTTTTGCTGCCTCTTATGGACTTTACATTAATGAGGCTAAATGCTCTATCATTTTCTCCAAAAACACTTCGCTTTCCAACATAATTAATGACATTCTTGGCTTCACTTTGGTTGATCGCACTTTAAAGTATCTGGGCTTACCCATATCTACCAGAAATCTTTCTTCAACTCACTTCCACCCACTACTGAGTAGAATTTCTACTCTATTTGCTGGGTGGAAAGTTAAGTTTTTGTATTTTACAGGTGGGGTCCAATTCATAAAGTTTATCATTGCCAATACCTTGGCTTACTCGATCAGAGGGGCTATTTTACCTAAGCTCTGTCGGAAAATCATTAACAAACTTTGCTCAAGGTTTATTTTTCATTGAAATACGGCGGAAAAAAATCTTCGTCTCATTGCTTGGACCAAAACGTGCCTACCTACTATTTTTTGTGGTTTGGGCATACATGATCTCAACTCTCTATATCATGGTTTTGGCTTCACTTTTATTTGGAGGTTTTTTAATAATGATTCTTTAGTGGGTGATTGGTTAAGATACAAATTTCATTCCCCTTGGAAACTACCCCCAACAAAGCATCAAAATTTTGGAAATGCATTTGTTCCATTGCAGCTAATATTAAACCCAATATCCAGCTTAATGTTACGGCTTCTAACTGTAACCTTTCTCTGTTTTGGGACCCGTGGATCAATGGGGTAGCTATATCTGATTTTGCTCATATTGCTACCTCTGGTTATATGGATGTGAAGAATGTGATTTGTCAGGGTTACTGGAGACAGTGTGAAACATTCCAAATCATATTATGCCAAAAATTCTTCAGATTCAAATTTTGGATAATCAGTTGGACATTATGGCTTGGAAGGGAACTGAGAAACCTTGCTTTAAAACCTTCAAAATGTATTATTTTTCTAATCTTCACCCAATACCGTGGCATAGACTTGTTTGGCACAAAAGGTATACTCTTAGGCACTCTTCATTTACCTGGTTAGCTATTTGTGGTGGCTTAAAAACTACGGATGCGCTGTGCAAACGTAACATCCCCATTCATTCTATTTGCTCTCTTTGCTCAAGAGAATATGAAAGCTCTTCTCACCTGCTGTTTCAATGTGACTTTTCTTTTATTATTTTATCTGCTCTGCTGCCTCATATGGACGGGTTCCTATTTCGTCCATCTTTACTGTAATTATTTGATCATTTTGATGGATTGCATTCTCTATCTGCCTTAGAGAAAAATTTATGTTACTGAATTATTTGTTGTGCGGTTTATTATCTGTGGAGAGCAAGGAATGATAGGCGTTTTGCCGGAAAGTATTGTGATGCTCATGCTATATGCGGTAACATCAAGAAGGCTATTAGTGCTAAGGTTACTAGATGGAAAAATCACCACAAGCTTCTTTCCTCTTTTTCATGCTGTTTTGGAGGGAATTCAGGTTCTAAAGAGATTTTGTGTAATGGGCAATGATGAATGGAACCAACTATTTACACCCCCCTTGACGGCCAAGTTTTTTGCTGCTTCCTTTCGCCCAACACCGTATTTGGCCTGGCATTTTTTGCACCCTGTGGCTGCTGTTAATTTTTGGCGACCGGGGGTTACTCTCTACTCGAGCCGGTTTACTGCATGCTTCTATGCCTGATTCGGTTGGTTCCCTTTGAACCTGAGCCCTCGTCCATTCCATGACATTTTTGTTGTTTCTGCTTTTTAATTTTGGGTCTGGTTTCTTTTGGTTAATTCTGTTTTGGCTCCCACTGTTGGTTGAGATTTTTTGGAGTTACTTGTTCATTTTGTAACCTTCTTTACTTAATATACGGGCTATGCCCAATTTTTCCCAAAATAAAGAGAGAAAATTATCCTGTTTGAACATCATAGGATGAATCGTTCGAATTTCCTGTTGTTACTATTTTTTATTATACTTTTGAAAAAGTCATCAAATATTTTATTATGAATGTATTCTTACTACTTTATATTGTATTTTGCAAATATTTAGTAAAACATAACAAATATTTAATTATTTAGTAAATACTAAATATTTATTGTCCTTTTGTAAAAGCGCAACAAAACGATAGTAAAAACGAAACAAATTCGGACTATTCTCTTCGTTCGATGTTCGCACATAATAATTAGTCGTCAATGAGATGGTTGTGCAAATTAAGAAGCAATCCTCTCGTCTAACAGGAAGCTTTAAGAGTTTCATAGAATTTATGTAATAATAAGTTATGACCCATTAATTAGGGGAATATCATTTAAGAGGATTTGTTGGTAAATTATAAAATAGCCAATTTGAAGAGTTAGTAAAGTGATCAAATTAGGTAATTTATGAAAAGGGAGAATACAAATGGAACAAAGTCATCTAAAAATATTTCATATGTTAAAATATAGTCACAAGAAGGTCCTAAGCTTTCAAGAGGTCAAACTCTTTGGCGATAAATTTATTAGGAGATTTGTGTGGCATATGGGCAATCCAGTCAAAATCACATTTGTTTGCCAAATGATGTTGTATGATGGCTATGATGGCTCTAGTTATGATTTAGAGTTAGTTTAGGACAACTTTAGTATTATTTTTTAAATTTGTTTTCTAGTACAAAATTTTTAAATTCAAACTTTTTTTATGCTATAAAGACGTTTTAAAAAGCAAGAAAAGAGCCATTCCAAATAAAGCTTTAATGAAAGTTACTTTATGTTGACTCCTCTCAAGACTTATTTATAGCTAAGTAGAGTATATCAATATAGTGTAAAAACTAGGCATTATAGATCAATGATCCTCCCCCAAAAACTTGAATTGTAAGTAGTTTCCCATGCATGTGCTTCTAATAGGAGTTTGGAGGAGTTGAGGTTGACAACTTGCACCATACATCTATAAGTTAATGACGAGTATGATATATATATATATATATATATATATATATAGGGCAATAATGACTATATTGGAGGATTATTACATCATGTGATGACTGATGACTATATTGGGCGATGTTAGCCATTGAACTATGATGAATATCAACCAATACATAAATGGTAAATATCTTCCCCTGCCACTCAACATTCTCATTCTAAAAACTTGGTCTTCACATGACTTCTAGTTGTCCTTAATAATCATTTGGTTTTTATTTTATTATTCTCCGTTAAGGTGGGGAGATCAAGGACCAAGAAGTTTAGCATAAATATTGATGTTGATGTTGTGAGTCAGATACGATAAATGACATGCCTCAATCTTATAAGCAATCAAGTGTGTTGACATCATAAGCGACAACATGTGACAAAGTTTAAGGGCAACATTATAGTAAGGCGACATTGGTTAGAGAATTGTAGGTTAGAGAAACGTAATTAGGTGATGGTGATCATATGATCGTAGTCAGACGAAGGTGGTCGATGGACTATAATTAAGTGTTAGTAGTTGGAGAACCGTTGTCATGCGATGGAGGTCGAAAGATTGTAGTTGGACGATAGTGGTCAGAAGGATCATAATTAGACAATGGAGGTCAATAAACTTAATTGGGCGGTAATGATTAGAAGATCATATTCAGGTGATTGTAGTCATAAAATCATAGTCGAAAAATAATGGTTGAGGGATTGCAGTTAGACAACGGTGGTTAAAGGAAAATCGACGGTAGTTAGCAACCTTGATCGGAGGATCATAATTGAATCATGGTAGTTGTAAGAAACCATAGTTGAGCTACGGAGGTCAAAGGTCTGTTGCGAGGCGATGATGGAAAGGGGGTCATAGAAGGGCAATAATGTTCGAAAGATTGGAGTCGAGTGATGAAAGTTAAAAGGATCGTAATCATCTGATGGATAAAGTCAAGTGACGGTGTTCAAAGGATTGTAGTTGAACAACAAAGATGAAATTATAGTAGTTGGGTGACAGTGATCGAAAGGACCGTGGCTGTTCGATGACAATTAGGGGTGACGATAGTTCAATGACAACATGTGGCGGTAGTTCGACAATGATCGTCGATTAATGATCTTACAACATCGATGCTCGGGTGTAACTTTGAAATTCTTCAAGCTTTTGAGCCCGCTTAAATAACAAATATAGAGAGAATCAAGAACATTCCATTAGATGCCTCATATAAATTCCCTTAATTATAATGTATTCGTTTACCATTCAAATGCCTTAATATTATCAAAATTAAGCAATATTGGGCTTGTTGGATTTGTCTTGTCAAGATGATCAGTTTGATTGTAAACATGTTGTATTTGAAAAATCATTTGAGTAATGTTCAATTACTTGATTTGGACTCTAATCGAATCTCTTTTGCTATCGATAAATTTGCCTCACGAAGATATTTGATTTGATTATAAATTTGACGAAATTAAAGTTCATATGACCTTGAATTTAATTCTTTAATTTAGTGCCATAAACACCAATTTTTTATGATTGAAAAATGGCTATGGAGTATGGATTAAAAAAAAAAAAAGAAATTAGAAATCAAATTTGTTTCAAAAATATAAATGTTATTCTTGTCATATTCATCAGAGATTGAATTATTCAGCTTCTGTTGAATTCGATTTTTTTATGCAGATCTTATAAATATCTACATATAAATAATATGCGAGGATACATTTTAAATTTTTTTTTTAGGATAATTGTTTTAGTATCATATTCATAACTATATTCAATTCGCATTAGTCGGATCCGGTCGGCTTTACGCTGCAAAGCTTGGCGCCCTTGATAGCCGGCACAATGTCCGTCTCTAATTGCACTAAGGAACATCCTAGTTATCTAGTTCCAAATGATGAAACCTGTTGAATGGGAAAACGTGTCAGTTGTTGATTTGTGTTATGGTGGTCTATGCTTATTAAACTTAAGTTGCAGGAGTAGCGCAACCACCGACGTGAGGTCATTCTCCTCGCCCTCGCGGTTATTTGCTAATTATCAATAAGCAAAAGGGCTTAAAGCAAATAAAGATAATTATAGTAATATTCTTCGAAGGTTATTATTAGAAATTATAAAATCGAGAAATTTATAATTATTTTATCGTCCATTGAACTCCCTTTTTTTCTCTTAACCACTGCTAGCGGGATGCGGAGGAAGTTCCTCTGCGCTCTTTCTTAAGCTTTCGCTCCCTCTAGATCTGAAGCGATTTCCGGCGAAGACTAAGGTATAAGCTAGATTTACCTTCTGTTTATCCTGCTAGATCTTGAACTCGGCGCCTCTTTTTGAGTTCTATTTGATTTGTTTGCTTCGTAGCTTGGGCTTTTTGTTGCTGTATTGATGAATTTGGGAGCATTGGTGGCTTGTTAACGTGCGCTAGAGTCGTTTTGAGTTTGTAAATTGTTTTGGCTGGGGGACTTTTTCGCTGACATTTTGTTCCTGAGGACTGGATCTGGTTGGTTTTGAGCAAGATTTGGGATGAAATAAGCATTTAAATGTTATCGAGCTTGTGTTTAGGGTGTCATTATGTTTTTCTTCCGAATTTTGTTTAGTTTAAGGATATTTTTTATGTGTATTTGGAATATGATGAATACGAGTTGATCAGTTTGATTTTCGTTAGTGATTTTATCTGGTTGTTGTTGATGGTTCGAGTTTTGATGGGGAGATTGAATAGAACTATGGATTGCTCTTTGTGATATTTAATGTTGATATAAAATGTGGTATGGTGATTGGTTGTTTTTTTTTTCGTTTTGCTTATCATCGTTGGTAGATCCACGTAATTGACGACCAATAGTAGTTGTTCTTTCCGAAATCCTTCAGCCAAATGTTTTGCTTCCTGGGTTAAATAATAATGTTAACTACTCATATTCCCTGTTACAGGGAGAGAATGTTCATTGTTTACCAATTTGTTTCACGATTTCCAAGGTGCAAAAGAGACCTATTCTTTCCTCAGATTTAACCTAAAAACATAGACCTTTTCTAGTCTAAGCATGATTATTGTTGAGAAATAGGTGAAACATTATCATCTAGAGCGAAATAATATAAAATATTAAAGAAAGTCAACGCACAAAACAAACAAAAAATTTATTTATGATCACCCAATTGTTGTCCATGTCTTGTTTCCGACTTTATAGATTTCATTATGGGTTCATTTTGGTATTTTCTTACCACTCTAATTTCTCAAGCATAAGCATTAGGGCAGCAAAATAATAATAAAATTATTAAAAACTCCTTTAATGAATAACAAACACATATTGGATACCTTTCAACAATCAATGAAAAGAGTATAAACCTAGGTTTAATCGTCATTTGTTTATCATCTTCCGATTCATGTTTTTATTTAGTCATATAGCTTTTAATATCAGTTTTGCTAGTTTTTATTTTAGTAATTATTTGAATAAAATTAAAGTATAAATTAGTAATAGGTTGTATGGTAGCTTTTAGTTTTAACGGGAACAATATTTTCTCATAATATTACTTATTCTGGTACATGTACCTGTTTAAAGTTCACAATTCTTGGAGTTGGTGCCTTGTGGAGAGCACTGAGCATTCATGGTGGGTTTTTTTTTTTTCCTAAATTGTTTGTTGCTCTCATTTCTGAGAGCACTCATGGTTGTCTCACTTGGAGTTTGACGTCTAATTAGGTTTATCCTTTTTTTTTTTCTTTTAGGATTTGAATTTACTAGAATTAAGAGACAGAAAAGAATATAGAAAATATTGAAACCCCTTGTATGTATCATCTATTTTTCTCTCATATCGAGGAACTCCTCTCTGCGCAATGATGTTCGTAGGCTTAATTAAGGTGTGCCACATATTTTTGGTGTTTTCTTTTGTGGTGCTTGTTCTCCTTCATAGTTACTTTGTATTCATCAAATTCACTCTTATGTAAACATTGCCAAATTAGGCGTGCATTATTTCTAATAATTGGTATCATGGAGGAAGTTTGTGAGGAATATGATGAACATGAAATTTAAGATCAAGAAGCTTGGCAGTTCAAATGATTTTGGGCTTAGGAGAAGTAAGATGCATGATGATCTTGCTTGTGAAGCACTCATGTGATGTGCTACATTGTCTATGACTACAAGTTAAGAAAAGTAGACAATGATGGATGAAAAATCTCTTAGAGATTCAATTGTGTTTGGTCCATGAGGTCTTGAAGAAGCTCTTAAAGTGAAGACTTGCAGAAGTTTTTTTACTTAAGCTTGAGTCTTTGAGTCCATTTTAGGCAGTTATAGCTTTTTGTAAATGTGGTTATAAAATTGTTATTGGGGAAATAATTTTGTTGAAAGCTCCGGTGAGCATTATAAATCTTTTTTTTTTTTAAAGAGAGACAACAATTTTCTTTTATATACCACACTCTAGAAAAACTCTTTCTCAAAAAATAACTTCTGACCATATAAAATTTTGATAAACAACAAGAAATTAATAACCAAATAACCAAATGAGAGTGATAGTGGCAGGAAAATCAAACCGGTGAGATGATTGCCTCAAGCATACCCTTACTTTACTAAATACCTCTCCAATAAACTTTACCCAAAATAGATATTGTACTTCACATATTAGAAGAAGATTAATGTCATTATTGATGATGAAGTTTAAGCTTTTGCTATTGTGCTCTATTTCTTAGCAAATGTCTTAGAGGAAAAAACTGCAGAAGATTTGTTACTTAAGCTAGATTTATTTTATAGGGCCCAAAGCCTCTTTTAAAAATTTAAACAGAGGTGGAGATCTTATTTGCTTCTCATATCATAAGCCATACATATTAAATCACATTTTAATGATTTCAATTTCATCATTCAAGGTTTGAAGAATATTAATGTGAATGTTGATGATGAAGGCAAGATTTTGCTATTATATTCTATACTTTCCTCTTACAAGTATTTTCATTACACCATATTATATGGGAGATATAATCAGCTTAGTAGATGGCGGTTCACTTCTTTCTACGTAACCATTCAGTAATGCATCAAATAATATAAAAAGATAATAATCTGTACGCCTTCTTTAGAAGCAAATAATAAACACATTAATTAGTGAAGCCAAATGATGCCCTAGTGTGAGCGCTCTCCCAAATAGGGGGGCGGGGGTGGTAATTGATATTGGTACTTACACCTATAGAAAGTATCAACTCAAATTTAAATAAAACCAAAAACGTTTACCTCAATCTGCAAAAAAATTTTCCATTACATTAAGTAATATAACACGATCATAATATGTACATCGCCTGCAAACACAAACGCATGTAAAGAGTGAAGCCTAAATATGCCCTTATATGTGAGTGCTCTCAGAAATGAGAGCAACAAACAATTTAGGGGCTTGCAAATCTCAACTCAAATCTATATAAAATCATAAAAAGATTGAAATATGATTTATATAATCTATCTGCTGAAAATCAACGGATTTCTGAGACAAAAAGAGTTTGTTTTTCATAGTTCACACTTTTGATGAGGATATTATGATTTTAAATGCTTTCAAAAGTATTCCCTACACAAAGTCTGGCATTCCATTGCTCCTTACTCAGTAACTTTAATTTCTATAAGCCTTTTATGTTTCCAATTAAATTTCATGCCTTTTAATTTAATTAATTTCAACAATTACTTGTGTGAATGAACACCATCTGAGCAATATCCTTTTTCTTTTTCATTCAAACTCAGGTATACGCTTAAGGGCTTGTTATACATTTAAAAAATGGCATTGGGAAGGAATCAACGGTCTGATAGTAGGAGTTCATCTTCGTATTGCTCAACAGCAACGCTTGTTGTGTTTGTAGCTCTATGTTTGGTGGGTGTTTGGATGATGACGTCATCCACTGTTGTACCAATAGAGTTGTCCTCATCTGGCAAATCAGAAGTGACAGATGAAAATTCAGAGACAGTTGCAAAGCCCTTTGAAGATATTTCTAAGGTTTCTCCTAAAGATACAACACAACATGATATTCAATCCAAAGGAGATACAACTTCTAGCAAAACTATTTCTGAGGCTTCCAAGGATCAGAATGTTTCAGGAAATTCAGAAGACAGCACTGCTGAATCAACCAATGTCGAGAAGGATGACTCACTTGATACAACAAAACCTCAGACCTATAGCGATGAGAGTGGGACAGGTGAAGGTGGTGAAGTAGCAAAGACAGCTGAAGACATAGCCACGGAGAGTGGTGGAAATGATTCAGGAGTTCAAAAGAACGGACAAGGTAGCAACACAATAGAAACCATGAATACTGAGATAGGAGGAAACCAGGAGCAAAATTCTAATCGAGGAACAAGTTCTGAGAAAAATAATAATTCCGAACAAAGCTCTAATAGAGTTATAGGCAATGATCAACAGTCAGCTAATAAGGACAAGAATTCTGCAGAATCTCAATTAGAACAATCAGATAATGTGAACAACTCTGAGGAAACTATTGGAGATGAGCAAGAACCTGAAAGTGGGAAGAATTCCAGTGAAACAAGCAGTGATGAGCAACAACAATCTGATGATTTGAAGAATTCAGAGCAGGTGGAGAAATCTGATGATGATGATGCTAAGGTCGAGAAAGATCAGGGGTGGATAAAGGAGAAGGTGGAACAAAATCAAGATATGGAGGCTGAAAAAGCTGATGTTGAAAATAAAACTGACAGTCAGCCAAAGGACCAGGCTGTGAATGATGTCTTTCCTGATGGAGCGCAAGCAGATCTGCTTAATGAGACGAATACACAAAATGGGGCTTGGCCTACACAATCTGCAGAATCAAGGAATGAGAAAGAGGTTCAAGCATCCTCATCGACAGTGACACAATATAGCTGGAAACTTTGTAATGTCACTGCTGGGTCGGATTACATTCCATGCCTTGATAATGAGGAAGCCATCAAAAAGCTTCGATCCACAAAACACTTTGAACATCGGGAAAGGCATTGCCCTAAGGAGGGTCCAGATTGTCTTGTTCCTCTTCCAAAAGGCTACCGTAAGCCAATTGAGTGGCCTACTAGTAGAGAAAAGGTATAATACTTTTGACAACTTAACCCTAATATTGCACACAAATTTCTTGAATAAGCATACTTAATCACGCCTCAATGATTATCTGCAGATATGGTACTACAATGTCCCTCATACTCAGCTCGCAGTTGTCAAGGGACACCAAAATTGGGTGAAAGTTAGTGGAGAATATCTAATTTTCCCTGGGGGTGGAACTCAATTCAAAAATGGCGCTCTTCACTACATTGATTTCATCCAAGAGGTTTGAATCTTTATCATCTTTATGTCATTTTTATCACTAATTATTAGGTTATTCTCCTGCTTGTTATTGTTTTTGAGCAAATGTTGATCTCTATACTATTTGGATTATGCTTCTTTAGTTAATTCTTCAAAATATAAATTCCTTTATTCTGATGTTTGGGATATTTCCTATTTTGTAATATAGTCAATGCCTGATATAGCATGGGGAAAACGGAGTCGTGTCGTCTTGGATGTTGGTTGTGGAGTTGCCAGCTTTGGAGGATATCTTTTTGACAGAGATACACTAACCATGTCTTTTGCTCCAAAAGATGAGCACGAAGCTCAAGTGCAATTTGCTCTTGAAAGAGGAATTCCAGCCATATCAGCTGTTATGGGCACCACAAGGCTACCATTCCCTGGCGGGGTCTTTGATGTTATTCATTGTGCTCGTTGTAGAGTTCCATGGCACACTGAAGGTAATGCGCACTCATCCTTAAGGTTCATTTCTTTTACTGTTTCTATGCAAAATCATTGACGTTGTTGGACGCAGGTGGTATGCTTTTATTAGAGCTGAATCGGTTGCTACGTCCCGGTGGTTACTTTGTGTGGTCTGCTACTCCAGTTTACCGAAAGGTACAAGCAGATCAGGAGATATGGAATGGTATGATGTATCTTTTTTCATCATAGTTGCTTTACACAGTATTTTGGTGAAAAATGTATAGAACTGGCCATATTAGCGAATCTGATGAAGCCCCCTTTTCTTGGTTTGACTATATACACTTCACCTCAGCACCCATAACCTGTTACAAAATAATGTTACAAGTGCAGTTTGCAGCACACATAATTAATATTAATTAGTAATTAATTAGCTGGGATTCCCACATCATAACTTAAAACATTTTTTACATGTTGCTAAACCAGATGAATAATGCTTAATAATAAAAAAGTTGCTTTATGACCATTTTGAAGCTTTTTATTTAGATTTTATGTGAGGTTCAGTTTATAGGAACTCTTTATGTTTGACTTTTGCATTCATGTGGGACTTCATGATAGCCATGTCTGCATTGACAAAATCCATGTGCTGGGAAATGGTTGCCAAAAGGTGGGATGCCCTAAACGAAGTGGGTTTGGCAATCTATAGAAAACCATCAAACAACACCTGCTATGAATCAAGAAAGCAGAACAACCCCCCTATCTGCCAAGAACATGACGATCCAAATGCAGTCTGGTAAGATTATTATAAACAAAGAAAACAAGGTATTTTGGCTCTTTGATAGCATGACATTTCTCAGGTCATTTTGTTCAATGATTGTATAGGAATATTCGCCTGCAAGCGTGTATGCACAAGTTGCCTAGTGATCCTGCTGTACGTGGTACACATTGGCCTGATTATTGGCCACAAAGGTTGGAGAAAACTCCTTATTGGCTAAGCGGCTCGCAGGTTGGTGTTTATGGAAAGCCTACCCCTGAGGACTTCCAAGAAGATTATAAGCATTGGAAAAAGGTTGTTGGCAGTTCATACTTGAATGGAATGGGTATAAACTGGTCCACGGTTAGAAATGTCATGGACATGAGATCAGTATATGGCGGGTAAGTGAATTGTCTTGCTTTTGAGGCTTGTTTCTATTTGGAAACTAAAATAAAGACAATTTATTTCAATATGTTCGCAGAATTTAAGGCATCCTTGCCAAGAATTCACCAATAAAAGTTATGATGGCAGCTTAGCCCCACATCTTTTAGGGTCAGATGTAGACTATCACCCTCTTATAATGCTAATGAGAAAAAGGTCGAATTGGTCCTCCGACTTTTACTGAAGTATCAAAATAGTCCTCAATCAAACAAAAATATCAATTTGATCTCTCGACTCTTCAAATAAAGACCAAATTAGTCATTCCTTGAGATCATGTAGGTTCCTATTTTAAAAGTCAAGGAACTAAAATGAGACTTGTAAATAGTCGGGAGCCATTTGGTCATTTTTAACAAGTTAGGGGACCATTTTGGTCGTCATCTCTAATACTAATTTGTAATTTCTTTCGAACACAGTATACGTTTTACGCATACACCAGAACATTTGTTAAACAATTTGATTTCTTATGTTTGAAGATCGAATCATGGATTCATTTATCATCATATTTCCATCGGAAATTTGATTTCAAATATTATTTTGCCCTTTCTCCGGAACAATCTGTTAATGTGTGATATTAGATATTGTTTGTGGCTCTCTTATAATTATGTATCTTGCTTGATAACTAGAACTTATTCATTATATTTATGTGCGCACAACAACCCATGTCATTGAGGGATCAATTATGCACCATTCAATCAAATTGTTTACCCTAGCTGTTGTAATCCAAAATTATTTTTATGAATAGCTAAGATCATATATATTAGAATCAGTTGACATTGGTTTCCTCATGTTGTGCAGTTGTGGATGCTAAATATGCTGACTATCAAAGAAAAGTTTATTTGTAATTGAAGGGAAATCAATATAATCTTCTAAACCTGTTATTGTATTTTTAAACCTTTTTCTAACCTTTTTCTCTTGCTTTATTTGCTTTTATTGGATACTGCAGCTTGATTCTGAAAGGCTAGTTTTATTTTTTGTTTGTTGTGGCTAGGAGTAATTGTTAACAATACGTTCACTCGTTCAGCTAAAATCCATAGACGAGCTTATTATAATTCATCTGTTAATATTCACCATTTAACTGATTGATTATTGTTGTTTTTGACAGTTTTGCTGCAGCCTTGCGAGACATGAAGGTTTGGGTTATGAATGTTGTATCTATTGATTCACAAGACACACTTCCTGTCATTTATGAACGTGGGCTTTTTGGAATATATCATGATTGGTGTGAATCGTTTAGCACCTATCCTAGAACATACGATCTCCTTCATGCAGATCACATATTTTCCATGATAAAAAAGAGGTGAGTATTAGCATACGATTTCCCTAAATATCCCTTGTTCATGTCAGCAACAAATGTTCCTGATCACACCAACAACTGACCAAAAAGTGATTAAATGATATTGCATGAGCAAAGCCGAATCAATCTGGAATCTTTTTAATTTGTATCAGTGCATGATATTTTTGCTTATCTTATGCTTATGATTATCTTGCTTTTTATATATCAAATATATTATTGTGTGAATTCAATTAACTTATTGAATATCCTAAAAAAGACAATATGTTTGTTGAGTTGTTGAAAACATGTTCATGCTTCAGAAAATTTTGTTTTGGCATAAGGACATTTGGATTATTTTGAATTTTAATAGAGAGGATGTGCTATTGTTTAGCCTTGTGGAGTTACCCTCGAGCTATGCGGGGAAGATCTTTTTGGATGCTAATCAAATGATAGTGATGATGACCTTTGAACCCCAAACCATTGTATAAGGATGTTTAAGATTTTTGAGTATTTGTCCCCCAAGGAAAAATGGATGAAACCTAATTTTTAGGTATTGCTAAAGTGAGATAAATCCAGGTTGTTGGAGCTAGTTTTTTATGATGATAGTGAGATGGTATCACCTTCTTAATGAAAGTTTATCTGATTATTTGATTAGTTAATTTTATTTACTGCGTTTTGCATGCTATGACTCATATAATAATAATCTTTGTAAGGAATCTCTAGTGAGAATCTTGTCCAAGACTAGTTGCCCTTTTGGGCTTTTGATCGGATGACCCCTCCAAGTTTCTTTGGATAATAAAGCTTTTGTCCATCTTTATATGATGATGGTTCTCTTAAGGACTTTTAGATAGATAAATTTTTGTTTTCCTTTGTACTCTCCTTGGGTCTACAAATTATGGAGCCTTTGTAGGGACTTTTGAATAAATAAACATTTGTCTATCGCCATACCCACTTGGGGTCCATGCGATGATAAGCCCTCATAGGAACTTTTAAATCAATAAACCTTTGTATGTCATAGTGTCTTATAGAGCTTTGGATCGGCATTCCCTTCGAGGACTTGTTGATATTTTTGGTTGAATCTCAACTAAGCTCTCATATAATTAGTCAATATCTATCTTGATGTTTATGGTTCATGATGGAGGAATTTGAGGGAGATCACTAAGAAATTTTAATCCATTTTATGCTATCAGTAAGAGAATAAACTAATGAATTTAAGACATGTGGAAGAGATCGGGAGAACTCAATAAAAAAATTTAAGCCATCTTTGATTTTTCATTAGAGCATTACTCGATAACTTGCACTTGTGGTAAAAAAAAAATCAAATCAACTCCCCTTGAGATTGATTGAACCTTGAATTAGAGATGACAATCAATGTGTAGTTCTCTAATCAAGGGTAAAAGTTTTTCTACCTTTGAATTGTTTTGTATCCTTTCGAGACCATGGTTATGATTCCTCTCAAATAATAGTTTGGATAGGGTCCAAATGCGAATATGGGATTCTTTGTAAAGCTTTTATGAAGTTTCTTAACCTTGGTGGAGAATTGCATTGGTTAAAGGTGACAACCCATGAAAATCATGATGTGGGGGAGGGAACCTACCCAAGCCATTCCTCATGCATCAAGCATCAGAGCTCATTGTTAAGTATAGTGTGCAGGATGTTATTGATGTGAGCTGCAGATGAATTTACTGTGGCTTGGGATGTTGCAAGTGATGGATGGGTTGAATTATTTATATCATTATGATCATTATTTGTTGGAAATGCTGGAGATAAAGGAGCCCGTCTTGCAAGTGAGATGCCAGTGACCGAGAACTTTGGAATTGGTGTTTCTGATATGTAGTTGAGCTTAAGAAAGGTGGGTCATTGTGGGATCGCGTTGTGATGGTACCCATTGGCTTGTCTTGTGAAGGAAATGAAGGGTCTTGTTATAGGTTTTTTCAAGATGACTGACAATTTTTTAGTGATGATTCTTAAATATGGCTTCACCCATTGGGCAACGGCAGTGTAGTAGTTGGACCAAGAATCACCTAATTTGTGGATTGATACATTAATTGATTAGAATTCTAGCTCCAATGCTATATAGATTTCACTTGCTTCACATAGGAGATGAGCTAGCGATTTGTGATATAATACTAGGTGGGAGGTTGCTCTTACAGACCATGCTTGTTATTATATGCTAGAAAATTTAGTATAATAAAGATTGAGATTTACATTAGTTATGATGATGATGCTACACACAATAAAAATTAAAGGCAAAGCTACTAAAATCTAGAGAACAACGAGATTTTTACTTGAAAAACTTGGTGAGTTAAAATTAATTGGGTGTTGCTCATTTAGAAAAGATTTTTTTATCTTTATTTGAGGTTACAAAGGTTCACCCTTCTCTGTAGTTGGAGAAGGGAGGGAATACAATCCAAAAACTTAGTTGATGATTATATCCTAAGGTAGCAATAGGACGTAGGAATGTTGACAAAGGCAATCAGTTAGATCAACAATATGGATTAATGACGACAATTAGTATTTAGTGCAGGACATTGATGGATCTTATTCTATTGGGAAATTGGCCGATGCTGATTAACAAATGTTTTTGTTGGTGAGTGAATAACAACTAGAGTTAGGAATTTAACATTGGACAACCTTTGTCATCTTGCAATTGAAACTCTAAAATTCTCTACGATTCTTGAGTGCTCTTATTTAAGATTGTGAGAAGGTAAGGAGAACTAGGACCTATTTATAGATTTCAAAGGGATATGTCTTTATTTTGAATTATAGAATATTCTTCTTTTTTATTAATAATGGATGCATCAAATCACGTGCTCAGCTAAAACAAAAAGTTGTCTTGATTGACTTGGTCAAATCATGACCGGTTAGTCAGTTGTTCTATTGCTAATGATGAATCATCTAAACGATGAATAAAATATATTATCTCGAATCTCTTGATGTTACAAGTGCAATAGAGTTGATAGATCGAAAATTAGACAATTAGATAATCTGGAATGATAATTGGAGCTATGTTGTTCTATTGCTAATGATGAATCATCCAAACGATGAATAAAATATATCATCTCGAATCTCTTGATGTTACAAGTGCAATAGAGTTGATAGATCGAAAATGAGACAATTAGATAATCTGGAATGATAAATGGAGCATAGTTTATATTTTATCAGCAGAGGAAGATGATGACAATTGGTTCATCTCAAAAAGAGCAAAATAGTTTTGTTGATAGGTGAATATGATACTTGTTCGATTCATAATAATTCTAAGAAATGTTATGGATCAAATTTATTGCCTAAGAAAATGCCGACAAAACTTCGCCATTTTGGTGGTGAAATGTTTTTTCTTTCCAAGAGCAATCTAGTGTCGTGAATGGCTCATGATTTTGTCGCTTGTAGAGGTTTTAATAGCCTCATTAAGTTTAGATCTTCAAATCTTTCTCCAATAAACTACTCACAAATCAAAGAACCTCATCGTAATCCATTGGCCCAACGAGTCCTGCTTGCAATGAAAGCTTTTCAAAAATGGTATCATCCTAGCAATCTGTTTCGCATTGATGTAATGGTGTTCATGGCTCCTAAAGGCGGCATGAGGCGCATGTCAAGTGTGGGTTTGCCCATAAGAAAGGATAGGGTGAAGGTTTGGCCTCAAGGAAGGAGGAAGAAAGGAGCTCCTCTATTATGTTGGACTTTTTTTCTTTTTGATGCCCAAACAAATATATTCACATGATCTTCAACTTTTTGCACTCATTTCTATGAGACTTGTTTTGATTATAAGCACTTGGAAATAAGAGTTCATTAATTCTTCAATAATTTCCAAAAGTTTTATGCATACTCTTGAAATCATTTTTTAAAGTTGTTTGGACTCATATTTGGATTATTTTGATTCATAGAAACATATCATCTCCATCCTAAATTACTAGAATTAAAATCCAAATAGCTTCTAAAACAATTTTGAAAGTTTATGAATATAATATTGAGCTATTTTTTTAATCCAATGTTTGGTGAGTTTAATTTTACGAGCTATACCAATTAAACCAAATATTTTTTGCCAAAAAGAACTCCAATATTTTGTGGAAGTTACCGGTTCTTCTGTCATCATTCCTTGATAAACCTGAACTGAATCCTGTTTGCTGGTTCTTTCTTCAGGTGCAAAATACTTCCAGTGTTTGTGGAAGTTGACAGATTACTTAGACCAGAAGGTAAGCTTATAGTTAGGGATACAAAGGAAATCATCAAGGAGTTGGAGGAAATTGCAAGATCCTTAAGCTGGGAGATCAGATTGACTTTTGCTAAGGAGAGTGAGGGTCTCCTCTGTGTGCAGAAGACAAAGTGGCGGCCGAACTAAGTCGAGTCAAATACAATTTCATAGGAAAAGCAGCCAGCAAAAAGCAAGAAAATTGTTGCTGCTTTCTTTCTCTCTATTTCATTCAAAATCTATCTGGGAAATTTTAGTTTTGTAAAAGTAGAATGGAAATTGTGATTGAGAAAATGGTATTTTAAAATTCTCTTCCAGAAGAGGTAGAAAAATATCAGCTGTTCTCAGCTGGAGTGTTCCTTTTGGATCGTTGTAGTTGTTTGCAAAATTAGCGAGAAAATTGTTGTGATGGAAGTAAAATTTTTGAAATTTGTTGTTGATATGATGGAAAAATTATTATGTTCGGACACCGGACTCCGGAGTACAATGAAAATGCGCCACATCACCCAATACTGAGCAGTATTGAGCCTCGGTACTCAATACCGAATGACGCGGCACATTTTCATTGAGTTCTGTACGGAGTTCGGCATCCGCACAGAATAATTACTCGACACGAGGAGTATATTACCTCATATAAATTTTATACCAGTAAGGTTTCTACTGGTTCTGTCTGATCAAGGGTGTAATCAATTTGTTGTAAATGTTGATGCTGTGTTGGGTTCAGTCTTTGAATGCTTTTTGAATATTTGATTGAATATTTGAAGCTCTACATATCTTGGTTTGTTTTCATTGTATCTATGTTTGTTGGCTGGAGCACATGAACTGATGATGGTAAAAGCACAGCAACCAAAGCAATAAACTTCCAATTTCTAGTGGATAATATTAAGTGCCTATTAAGGCAACTATTTAGGGGCCAAGGTTTAATTGACATAGATGCTCAGTTCTATTGAACTTAGCCTAAACCACCATTATATGGTTCCTCTAATTCATTTGATGGCTCAATTAGGGGCAAATCCAATCGAGCTCACCTAGTCGAAGAAAGTTTGAACGAGTCTCCATAAAACAATCAAAATTGGCATTTCCTCAGTCAAATTGAGCTTACCTTGAGCTCCATGAATTGGGCACACAGGAGCTAAGTGATCTACAATAAACTTGATTTAAATGGGTCAGTCAGGAAAATAATTGTATGGTTAGAAGCTTAGTTAGTAGGCATCCAACTATGTTGTTTGGTTCTAAGTCAAACAACATTGCATATGATTTTCATTGTCTTATTCGAAGTTCTTGAAGAAAACTAGAGAAGAACAGCAACAGAATAGAAGAGAAAATGAGGAAGATGATGAACAGTGTTTCATGAGTCTAAAAGCCTGATTTCATTATACTCTCTCTAGGCTTTTATAAGCCAATGGAACATCATTAGAGTTCGTTAGATGTCAGATAAAGTGACATCCGTACGGTGTGAGAGAGAGGGAAGAAAAGGCAGAGTAGTGGAAATGGCCTTAGCCATGTGCAGTTTTGATATTATCTTTACATGCCCCCTCAAACTGAGCATCTAGTGTACTGATGCCCAGTTTGTTGCGCAGAGTGATGAAGCGGGTGACTGGTAGCGGCTTGGTGAGAATGTCGGCGAGCTGTTCATCTGAGGAGACGTGCGAGACAACCACGGTTTGTTTTTGAATGTGATCACGTATGAAATGATGATCCACTTCGATATGTTTCGTTCTAGCGTGGAAAACAGGGTTGTGAGCTAGAGCTAGCGCCGAGAGGTTGTCACAGAGCATCGTAGTGGGGAAATTGAGAGGAATATGGAAGTCAGATAGCAGGCGTCTTAACCAGATCACGTCGGAGAGGCAGATGACAGGCTCTTGATTCTGCTTCCAGTTGAAGATTTGGCCCACCGTAGTTTGTTTCTTCACCGTTTGACATCCAAGAGACTTAGGTTCGATCCGAAGAAAGGTGCAGAAGCCCGAAATTGATTTTTCGGTCGGTCGTCGTTAAGCTTCCAGATAGCAGTCACAATAGGTTTGTTTTAGTTAAGGCAGCTTGGAGAGGAATCGGAGTCCCAGATGTTGTGTTCCTTGATGTACTCTTAGGAGCGCTTGAAGCTTGAGGAAGTCAGTGATCGGTGGGATTGTGCATTCGATTTGGCAGATCACATTGGCAAGCGAAGAGTAGATGACAGGATGAGTGATCGTAAATAGATGGCAGTTGAGCCTGCAAGTTGTGTCTTGTAATGTTTTGGGATCATCATAGGGTTGACCACGATTAGATGATGCAGAGTGTCCAGCCTGATTGATAGTGAGTTGCTGGCTGGTTTTTACAGTTCTTTGAAAGGCCGATGCAAGTAAGATGTCCGCGCCATAATCGGGCACTTGGACTGAGAAAAGACTCGACTGGTGTAGCGATTGAATCTGCCAAGAAACAAGTTGGCTTGCCCTCATGTTGTCGAAGATTTAAATGTGGCATGTAGTGCCTATGGAGTCAGTATGCGGTCAATGGTGGGCTGGTGATTACAGTCAGGCAATAGATCATCTCACATAGTTGATTATAATTAAGCTGTGTATGGGCGTGACTGTAGACCATCATGGGGAGTCGTCGGTCTGAATACAGAACCCGAATTTTGACGAGTAAAACCTGTCAGCTTGTTGGAGACCACTATGAGAGCCTGTTTCAAGCCGTAAGTAGGCTTGTGAAGTTTGCAGACGTGATTGGGAACGAGCAGGATTCTATGAAGCCGGTGGTTTGCTTGCATATAGACTTCCTCCTTGAGGATCAACCATGGAGAAATGCATGTTGACATCAAAATTGTAAATAGAGGCCAATGTCTTTAAGAGTGTCGATGATCAACAATACTGAATTGTGGGCATTTTAGCTCACGGACTAATGTATCCTTTGTAGTTTAGCCATATTGTTGGGTATGGGGTGGGGGGGGGGTGTGGGGGGGTTGTGGCCTTGCGCCACCAGCCGGGCTTTTTATGTCTGTCGAGTGTGCCATCTGTTTTGTCTTGTTTTGTATGTCCACCGATCATCTCAAGCCATCAGGGGCGTCTCTAGAGGCGGTGTGAGTAAGTAGTCCCATGCGTGTTGGGTTGTGAAGAGCTTCTATTTCCAATACATGTGCTTTTCGTTTGCCAAGTGAGATGGATGGCAGCCCTGTGTGGACGGGGAGAGGAGATACTCATTCAACAGGGCAAGTGATCATAGATTTTCTCTATGGTCTTAGAGGGCCAATTTTTTTGGTTTTTAGATCTTGTTTTCCAATGTGGATGTGCCGACTGGGTGGGTGTGCCTCTGGAGTTCGAGGTATGAGAGGAGGTAAGGTCATGTCCTGAGGTTAGGAGGAAGATTAGGGAGAGGATGATGTAGTGGATGATAGGAGTGTTGAGGGTGGTTGTTAGCTGGTGTGGTTAGGGTGGATGTAAGGAAGAAGAAGGGATGGAGGGATGTAAGCTCTTGCTGGACTGTATGAGGAGGTGGTGAAGTTGAAGAGAAAGGGAACTGTTGTTCTAGAATTTGACGTGTCTTGATTGTAAAGTTTGTTGGTGGAAGATGAAAGCAGCGTACCCTTATGATGAGGAGAGTAACCCAGAATATGCGCTGGAAGAGATCGAGGGGCAAGTTTGTGAGTGTATAAGGTTGAAGCCAGGGAAGGCCGAGACAGCCGAGCACTTGAGGTGTTCGTAGTTGGGAGAACGACCGTGAAGAAAGAGAGTATGGGATTTGGAGTTTAGAGCAGGGTTGGGAGTTCGATTGATGTGAAGGTAATTTGATGTTTGAAGTGCTTCCGCCCAGAAACGAAAGGGAAGGTGAGCTGCGTAGAGAAGAGTGCATGTGGTTTCAATGAGGTGCCTGTGTTTCCTTTCAGAGACGCCGTTTTGTTGAGAGCGTGTGAAGGGCGCAGCTGAACTGATGCTTAATGTCGTTTGTGGTGAGGAGGTCGGTGAAAGCCGTGCTGGTGTATTCGCCGCCAGCATCTGAATCTCAGAGTTTTAATATTGGTGTTAATTGAGTTTTACCAGATTTAGGAAATGTAAAATTTTTGTTATGGTTTCATTTTTTGTGTTCATTAGGTAGAGCCAACTGAAGCGTGTGGCGTCGTCAATGAAGATAACATAGTACCGATAGCCATTGATGGAATTAATGGGAGAAGGACCCCAAACATCCGTGTGTATTAGAGTAAACGGTGTAGTTACATGATGAGCATTGCTAGGAAAGGTAAGACGGTGGCTTTTAGCCACATTACAGGAATTGCAAATGAAATTAAAATTGCTGTTGATAAGAGTAGGAATAGTCTTGGATAGAACTGCCATCGCACGGGGGTGAGCGTGACCCAAACGAGCGTGCCAGAGAAGAGCTGAACTTGATGTTGTGTGGAAAGCAGAGGTCGTTGCAGTGGTGGATGATTGAACAGGATAGATGCCGTTGCGGTTAGGGCCATGATAGAGAGTTGTGTTGTCCCGAAGATCCTTAATGACGTAGCCGCCGGGATCAAATGAGACAGAGCAGTGGTTATCAGTGACAAGTTGGGAAATAGAAAGGAGGTTGTGCGAGAGTGAAGGAACATGAAGTAGATTGGAGAGTTTGAGCTTACGGTTGGTGTCGGGAAGAGGTAGAAGACCGGAGCCACTGTGTTGGATGGGGAGGGATGATCCGCTTTCCATTGATATGGTATCTCCTCCATGGTAGGAGGATGGTTGCTGGATGTTGATGATGTCGGGTGTGAGATGAGTCGAAGCCCATGAGTCCAGTATCCAGTCAGCTGTGTTGGCGGGCTGAGACTGAGCCACATAGGCCCTAGAGGTGGAGCGATTCATAGGAGGAGGTGTTCTTGGATTCGAGTTTATGGGACTTGAATTACCTCCTCTGCCTCGGTTAGGTCTGGAAGAGTAGCTTCTGCCTCTTCCGCGAGACGAGTACATTGCTTGGACATTGCTGGTAGAAGAGAGCTCTTGTTGAATCTCTGATTGGAGATTTACCTCCTCACTGCATAACAGGGAGTATAGAGATTCAAGGGTGATGGTGTGGGGTGAGATGCATATAGCAGCTTTGAACGGGTTGTAGGATGGAGGTAATCCCTTCAAGGTGTAGAGCACTATATCCTCCGTCTCAATGTTAGATCCAGCAGCTGCGATGTTGTCAACCAAGGATTTTATCTGAGCAAGATATTGAGATATGGTTTGGTCGCGCATCTGCACATTGTGGAGTTCATTTTTGAGCTGCAGTACTCGTGATCTGTTTGATGGTTGTAGGCGAAGCTCTAATGTGGTCCAAATATCATGGCAGGTCTTAAGATGTAGGATGTATGGAAGCACTGACGGAGAAATGGTGGAGAATAGAGCTGAGATGAGATTCTGGTCAATCAGTTTCCACAGCTTCTGATCACTCGAAGATGAAGGGTAGGCTAGTTCGCCTGTTATGTATCCTTCGAAGCCGTTAGCTGAGAAGGCTTGAAAGATCTGCAACCTCCATATTGGGTAGTTTTCTACCGTGAGTTGAGTGTGAACAAGTAGTTTGAGATTGGACATTAAAAACTTGAGTGGTGGAGGAACAGTAAAATCGGCCATCGAAGCAGACAGAGTTGTTGTGCTCATTGACTGAGATGCGGAGGTTTGAGAGGATGCTCCTTGTTCCATTTCTTAGGGACAATGATCAGAATCTCATCTCAGCTCTGATACCATGAAGAAAACTAGAGAAGAACATCAACATAATAGAAGAGAAAATGAGGAAGACGATGAACAGTGTTTCATGAGTCTAAAAGCCTGATTTCATTATACTCTCTCTAGGCTTTTATAAGCCAATGGAACATCATTAGAGTTCGTTAGATGTCAGATAAAGTGACATCCGTACGGTGTGAGAGAGAGGGAAGAAAAGGCAGAGTAGTGGAAATGGCCTTAGCCATGTGCAGTTTTGATATTATCTTTACAGTTCTAATTCAGTATCATTTGGTCGTCTACATGATGAATGCACAATCTTTTGATTGGCCTAAGTCAAATCTATCATATCTATTAGGCCATACCATACTATTGAACTCCCTAACTCCCATATTGTTCTATTTGTGCTTTTTCTATGCTAAGCTCCAAAAAGTAACCTCACCTCTTGAGATTCTCTTAATCAAGGGCGTAAGTAACATCATCAGGCATTTATGCTATATTTAAAGTTGTAAGTCTCATAGATTGGGTATTTTTAATATATAGACACAATCTTTTGGCCATCTATCAAAAAATAATAATAAAAAAAAATCTACCAATTTATTACATGTTTTGATCCTCTCTAAATCTATAGCTATAAGTCTCATCTCCTAGGATTCTTTCTTAAGTATAAGAACTACCCATTGTTGCTTAGCTTGGTTGGTGGGTGAGTATGATTGGGAAACCTCAACCCGTGCTCGATTCCCCTCGAGCGGCAATGCCTCTTAAGTGGGGCCCAATCAAGTGCGGGCCAGGAGATTTTTGGGGTATGTGCTTCTTCTATATCAGTCGATGATTAGTCACGGCGTCACGCTGCCAAGCGCCCTTTCGGGAATGGCAATGGGTGGATACTCCGTTCCAATATAAACTAATCTTGATCATTGGCATGTAAAATCTAGTCTCATAGGCTTACTTTGTCCCTCTTTAACGAGATCATAAGCCCCAAGCATTTGGATTTCTTAGTCATGTCCATAATTATAATTTTCATATAAATATATTAAGTTAGATGAGTCATGTCTATGTCCCAGATGCTGATGACTAAACTCATCGGGCGTTTAGGCTAATTTTTTTAAAAGGAACATGTTAATTATCATAATTAGCAAAAACAACATATTTATTTAAAATTTTAAAAAAGAGTTAATTAGCTAAAACAATTGGCGCATTCAGAATGCACTAAGCTTTTTGGCTCATTGTGAATGGGTCAATTGTTTTGGCATGTAAAAAAAATAGAGAGAAAAAGGTGAAGAGAGATAAGAGTGAGGGAAATGTGCCAGAAATTTTAGAAAGACACAGAGAAAAAGGTGGAGAGAGAATAGCATAAGAGAGATACGTCATTCTCTCTTGCCTGCTGCCATCTTCGCTGTCATCTCCCTCTCTCTCTCCTGCTGCCATCTCTCTCGCCTCTCTCTCTCTTTTATGTGAGTAATATGTCATTTTAAATGACATATCCCCCCTCTCTCTTATGTGTGAGTAATACTCTAAATTGAATAGCTTATTTTTAGTGCATATATAAAATATGTCATTTATTTTGAGGTATTTGCTCCAATCTAAATTTTAATTAATCAATACTCTTTTTATTAATTTTGATAATAATAATGCTCTTTAAAAAATTTGCCCTGGCGTTTATATGTAGAAGTCCGAACCGTCATCCTGCGCGGCGTGTGCCGTTGTATCATCTCAGGAGTCAGGGCATGAAATCAACCGGGAGCTGGTGGCGTCAGAAGGCTGAAGTGGAGAGGAGAGAGACATGAAGATCGTGTGGAAGAAGAAGGGCGATAATGAAAAGAAGAGGTCCCGAGCCAAATTGATCTCTTCAAAACAAGGCCTCCCGTTCGAATCCGCGGAGGAAGCCGAATCTCTGAATCATAGTCATGGCGATACCCTAGCTTCTGACCCCAATTCCAAGCAGCTTGCAGAGTCCTTCGAATCTCAGGGTATCCAGCTTGCCGAGGTTGGCCGGAAAGAAGGCAATTTTTTTGGTATTTTTTTGTTCAGTTGCTGTTTCCGTGGGAGCCAGTCATACATTACTCTTTTTATTTAACTGCAGAGTGGAAAATATAGTGAGGCTCTTGCAAAGTGGGAGACGGCAATTACTCTGACGCCTGGCAAAGCAAAGTTGCATGAACAAAAGGCACAAGTGTTGCTCGAGATTGGAGATACATGGAATGCTTTAAAGGCTGCAACTCGTATGCAAATTCTTACTTTGATTTATGTTGATAATTTTTCATTTTTTTTATGATGAGAGAATGCATGGACTTGAAGTTGGTTTTCATTATGTTGTTTAATTGAGGTTGAAGTGTGGTGCAAGTAAATTTTTTGTTGCTTAATTGGCATAATTTAGCATGAATTTCCTTAAACATCATAATCTTACCTAAAAAAATTTGAAGGAAAGATCACGAGTCCAAAATCATGTGAAACCTGTCAATATCATGAAAATAGTGAGTAAAATTTCTTCTAGCCTAGTTAGGAAACTCATGTAAACTTAAAACATTGCCGATGAGTGGATTGAACAAGAAACACAATTTAAGGCAAAACTCTTAAAAATACCTAACACCTAAAGAGAAAGTGCCAATGAAAAATTTGACCATTAGCACATGAAGAGTGAAATGAGAAGCAAATCTATGAAATTTGGGCTTGATCATAGCTCTCTTTTGCCCTTCCTTTAGTCGACAAAAACATTGCTGGTGAAACCTTCTATCCTTTTTATTATATTCTCTCTCCTTGCCCTCTCCGTTTTACTGCCAATTGAGCATTCCTAACTTACTTGAGACTTAAGCACCCTTTTTTAATATTACCTCAAATGACTATCTTCCTTTTTTATTTCATCATTTTAAGTTTTCTTAAGATGGCTAAGGACTACATGAGTTTGGACTTAAAAAATCTCCTCGTCGAGAATCGTAGGCGGGGGGTGCTATTTTTTGATCCATTCTTATATGCATCAATTTTCTTAAGATGTATCATTTTAACTTCCAAAACATTCCTTATAAAATCATGTCTAACAACAATCGGTTTCAAGCAACAGTAAAATGTAGAAATCTTATAGAGGTTATTCACACTTTGTTCATTGCAATAAATTATGTATTTCTTCTGCATCAATTTCAATTTCTATAAGAACCTTCTCATTCGCAACACTTATTTACAGACTTTTATGACAACTATGTATTCAACTTTTGCAATCGACTATCTTATACACTTTTGTAACAAATACCATCATGAAACAAACTTACCTATTTTATTATCTTGTCTTTCTAGACTCCCTCCCTATTTTGCTGCCAATTGAGCATTCGTATTTTGCTTGAGAGCAAGCACCCTTTTTTCATAGTACCTCAAATGACCGTATGCCTTTTATTTTCATTCTTCTAAGTTCTCTTAAGTTGGCAAAGACTCACATGAGTTTGGACTTCAAAAATCTCCCCCTCTAGAATCATACGAGGCATCTTCAAACTTGCAATCTATCTGCACATCCTAATCTATTCTCTTATGTCCTATCAATTTTATATACATGAATTTTCTCAAGAGACACCATTCTAACTTGCAAAACAGTCCTTATCAAATGATATCTTACATCAATACGTTTCTAGTGACAATAAAATATAGAATTTTTACAGCGATTAATCACATTTTATTTGTCACGATAAATTATGTTTTTCTCTTGCATCAATCTTAATTCCTATAAAAATCTTTTAATATGCAATACTTCTTTATAGGTTTTTGTGATAACTTTATATTCAAACTTTGTAGTTGACTATGTTATACACTTATGTATTATGCTATTATGAAACCAATTTAGTTGCCACAATCTTTGTCGTCGCAAACCTTGTAACAATTAGATATTTATGGTTGAAACCTTTGTCGTTGAGACAATCACAATAACGGAGATTTGTATGGTCAATGTATATAGTCTTAAAAAACATTCAAGGTTAAGGATGTTAACATTTTTTTCTTTTTTTTTTTCTTACAAAATTGATTAGGCTTTTTTAAAATAAAATTTCTGATTATTGCTGTTTATATTACTTATATTGCGTGAAAGTCTCCCTTTTTTCCGTTAGAAAGTTGCAATAATGAAACTTGATTACGATGGCATGGATACCCAAAGCTAATAATAATGAGAATCTATAAGGTTTGAACCATTACAAAGGAATACTGCGTTGCAAAGTACTCCTTTGGAAAAGGATGGTTTGTTTGTAGGGTGGTGTAGGGAAACAAAGAAAGATGAAATGGATTGAAAGGGAGGGAGAAAGCCCTTCGGAATTCGATATTATAGAGAGGTTGCTTCATTGAATTTGAAACTTACATTGGACTAATGAGTTGAAAACATTATGAATCCTTTTTTTTTAATTGTTTTTTGCAGGGGCTACAGAATTGGAGCCTGCTTGGTCTGAGGTTTGTTAATAAGCCACGTCTCTATGCAATTCAGTCATGCAATACATAAATCCTCTACTATGCCAATCATTTTACATTATTATAACAGAGCAAAATAATGAACTTTATCCTAGATTCTTGGAAATTCCATTTCATCCATTCTTAAATACCCTGAAGACATCGCTGGCCTATCAATGCATGTTATCACCATAATTGTTGTGTACAGATGACTTAATGCATCTGTTCTTTGCCAGCTTCATAAATGTGGGTTGATTTCCTATATTTTTTTTGGAGTACCCTTAATGAATCTTTCTCAAAATACCCGGCTTGCTTTAGATGCTCTTTGTATCTTCTAGCTGCTAGTCAATTCTAATTCGACTGCTTAAGGTTTTCTTTACTTGTGTGCTACATTCAACAGCCTGCTAAGATGAAGATTCTTCTTATTTTTAATATCTTTATTTAAATTCCCTTAGATCGCCTTTGCCTATGATTAGCATGATTGCCAGGCTAGCTCAGATTTAGGCTTCGTTTGTAACGGCTTTCTTTCTGCTTCTTAAAGCAGCGTTTTAGTACAAAATTATAAATCTTTGTATTTAAAAGCTGTTTTAAGAAGCAGAAAGAAAGCCATCCCAAGCAAAGCCTTAATCTAAGCTTTAATGGATTATTCATTTAAGTCCACTAAGGGCCTTTTTTAATGTGCTATACTTCTTCAATAAAAACTAGTGCAAAACTCACTCGATTTTTTAGTTGAAATAAAATCAACTCAAATCTTTTTGAGCTAAGGTTCAAGTGTCAATTGAGAATTCCAGCTTGGAAATCGCCACCTAAAAAATAGTTATATATATTTTTATTTAATTCATAATATAAAATTAAGTGGTTTCTTAGAAATTTTTTAATAATATTTATATGAAATTTTTATTAATATCATACTCAAATATTAATTCTATTTTAACTTTGTGTCGGTGGATGGCCAATGAGTTGCATTCCTTTTTTTTCTTTAATGATAAGTGAGCTCACACATTGGTCATTATCCTCAGCCAAGGGATTAATTACGCTGCCAAGCACCTCACATGCTGAGGTGGCAGTGGGTAGATACTCCCGTTCCAAAAAAAAAAAAGCTTTAGAGGGATTTATGGGTTGACCTGGCCCACTTGATTGCTCTAATCTTTGAGCTTCTTGTTTATTCTTAGTCACCACATTTCAGTTGGCATTTTGACTCTTCTAATTTGCCTTCAACCAGTAGTAACTAGTCTTTGAGAACCTCTTAATGCACCCATTTATCTCTCTTGCGAGAATCTGCTATTGATGGAAAATTATTTATTTATGATTTTATCCTCATTGGTTTACTTTTGCATTTTTCTCAGGCTTGGATCACGCTTGGTAGGGCACAGTTAAACTTTGGAGAACCTGCCATGGCAATTGAAAGCTTTGATAAAGCTCTGGTGATCCAGGTACACACATAAGTTCTTGCAAACATAAAAAGAATTATGTTTCTTGCAATCAGCAGTGCAGATTTCGAAACCCTATTATAACTTGGAATTTATTTGGGGCATCTTTGTTGTACTTCTACTTTTTAAAAAACTTCCGCACTTCTATTTGACTTAGGATTTATTTAAGGTAGCTACAATTTTCTATAAATATAGTTGTAGAACTGTTGGCATATGAACATATTTTTTGACTAAGGATTTATTTAAGGTAGCTTTCAAAAAGTATATTTTTGACACAAATTTTACAACTACTTACAAATGCAGCTACACCAAAATCTCTCAAAATGCGAAAATTATTGCGTGCGGTGTCTGGATTCGTCCGGAGGCGAATTTAGACGCTCCACGTCACCCGGGGCCCAATGCATCCGGGTGACGTGGCGTGTCCGGATTCGCCTCTGGACGGTCCGAACACCGCACGTAATAATCTCTCCACCAAATGAATCTTCAACCAAGCTTTTCATTTCAATAATCCAATGTCAAAATTTTCATGAATTTATGTAGCCTCATAACGAGGAAGCTCAGAGCGACCGCCGAACTGCATCTCGTCTGATAAAGAGGCAGAAACAGTTACATTCATCAGGCTTGTCGATTACAGATAGTCGGTACAGGGTTGGAGATAAGGATGAATCTACTATGCCTCATAAGCCCTTGGCTCCAGAACCATATGCAGAACAATAAGAGTATCAGAAAGTTGAGGATATCACATAAAATCCTAACTTATTTAAGTTTTCAGCCCTTTAATATCAATTTCTTAGCATTCAAACACAACCTTCTGATCAGAGAAGCAAATATGGCCAGTCAAGGAGAGGTGGTAGAAGATATGGGTTCTTTTTTAACATTTTTTTTTCTTTGCCTCCAATGTGCTAAAGATGGTTCTGAATTGCTTTAAGATTATTTGTTGGATGAATAGGCTGTTCTTCAAAGAATTGTAACAGAAAGATATATTTTGTACATGGTCTACTTTTTCTGTTAAGATCTATTTAGGCTTCGTTTGAGATAGCTTTCTTATTGCTTTTTAAAATAGCTTTATAGTACAAAAAATTTAATATTTGTACTAAAAATTTGCTTTAAGAAGAAGTAAAAAACCATCCCAAATGAAATCGTGCTAAACATGAGTTGAGACATGAATATGAAGCATAATAGAAGGATCTCTCTCCCTCTCTAATTTTTAAATAACTCATGAAAATACTGTTGAGGTGCTTTAAGTGTTTCAAAATATAATCGTCATCACCAACTACTGTCAATACAAAATTTATCATGCAAGTGTTGACCTCCTTGAAGGATTTGTTGGATTGGAATCCAAATTTTATCATGTCATATGGACCATGTTGATGGAATATTAGAAAGGAGACATGAAAGCCACCAGCATGCTCCAAAACCCAATCACATATTGGTCAACCCAACCTAATTGTGGTTCAGGTCGCCTGATCAGGTTGATTTGCTACTCCCATTCAAAATTATAAATATGAATCTTATGGAGCTTATGAAGCATATAAAATTATGGAGTTCCAAGTAGTTTTAAAGCCTCCAAATGTCCACTCAAATGCTCCTAGATCAAATAGATGTTCATACTAACAGTATCCGATCTCTATAGTCAAACAACATCCACGAACAACATATCTATTGCTTGCTAACCTTTGATATTTGATGGCTACTAATTATGCCACCCAATTTTCAGTCCTATAAAGAGTGTCTAAGTGGACAACTTTATAGTACCTTTTCGTAGTTCTAGACTTTTTCAAGTCCTTGATGTTATTTAAGGTTTCGTTTGGGACGACTTTCTTACTGCTTCTTAAAGTAGTTTTTTAGTACAAAAATTATTATTATTATTTATTAAAAAACTGTTTTAAGAAACAGAAAGAAAGTCGTCCCAAATGAAGTCTATGTTGACTTATTGTTTGGCTTACCTCACATATTAGAGAAATTATTATGTTTGGAGTTCAAACGTTGCATCCAAATATGTGAGTGTATGCACAAAAATAAAAATACACAGTCTGTATGCACACTTTGTACGCTCACAGTCCGAACACAACTCTACATCCAAATTCCACACAGAACAATTTATTCACATATTGGCCATATTGTATTTTCTCATTATCTACCACCATGGAGGATTTATTATCTGATTCACCCAATCTAATAAACTAAATAAAAAAAAAACCAGGCCTTAGTCACTTAACTGGCCCAGTTAGTCTCACGACCCGAGAGTGAGCCCAATAAGCCAGCTGAGCGGTCGTTTGTGTCGAGCTTTAAAACTCGTGCTTCTGCCCCTTTGCCGATATTCTTCACCGATTGGATTTCCTTAACGCTTGCTGTGATGCTCCTACGCCTTCGGCCAATGGGAGCGACTACAGTCGCCTTCCCCCGCTTCACTTCTCTTCTCGCTGGTTCCTACCCCTCTTATCGCAGAATCCTCGCCCCGTCTCCAAAAACAAAGCATTGGCCTACCCTTGTAAGCTTCGCATTGAGATGGATGCCTCGCCGGAAATTCGCCACAGCGATGGCATCTTCCGGTAGAATAGGTATATAATTTTTGTGTTTGCTTATAGGTTAGGGGCGTTGAGCTTTTAGCTAACAAAATAAGTGGTCGATTTATATGCTAAAGGTTAAAAGGAAACTGATGGCGGCTTGAAATGTAGCCAGGGGTAACTTGAACGTGGGGGCTTGTGTAGTCTATATCTTCAGGTTCATAAGAAGAAGCTTGTGAGCTATAGATACGAAAGGCATCAGATGCGTTGGTATTTTTAGCTGTGGTGCATCTCAATTTTTGGTTTATTTTTGTGTTTGAGGATCTTAATTTAGGGTTTAGGGGTGAAAAAACTATCAAAGCTTTGCAAGATAAAAATTGGAATGGTTGGATAACGTAGAAAATGATGCAAATTTATAAGCTTGACACCGATGATTCAGTAGTTAACTGATCTTAGAGAGTTTTGTGAGAAATAGATTTGATATCTCTGATGGTCTGCTACACATATTGGAAGATGTTTATGTTTCTTGTTTTCCAAATCCTTAATTTTTTATTTTTCTAAGTGAAAATGCCCCATGAAAATATCATTATTGGCAAAACAGGCCCGTGGATTTTATTCTTTGAGTTGTTTTTAATAAATGACTTTCTTAGTTGCTGAAATATGTATTTAATGTTTTGGAGTTCAGATCCTCATTTATACAACAACAACAAAACATGAAGCCTCTATCCCACTACATGGAATCGGCTACATGAATCATTTTTCTACATTGTGTTATGTTAAGAGTTAAATTCTCATTTAAATCTAATAAAAAAATGTCATTTCTAATATTTTCTAACTAAGTCTTTTTAGGTTTATCTCTACCTCTCTTAATATAGCCCAAATCTAAAACATCTACTCTCCTAACAGGGTCATCAAAAGGTCGACGTTTTATGTGACCAAACCATCTAAGGCGACTCTCTCTAATCTTATCTACCATTAGAGCTAAGCCAGCCTTTTCAAGTATATGCTTGTTTCGCATTCTATCTCTAAGAGTAAGGCCACTCATCTGCTGAGCATCCTCATCTCGACAACACTTAACTTAATTGTATGCTTTTCTTTTAATGGCCAACATTCTGCACCATAAAGCATTCCAAGTCTCACCACTGTCTTATAGAATTTTCCCTTAAGTTTGAGGGGTACTTTTCTATCACACAACAGGCCAGATGCATTCCTCAACTTCAACCATCATACTTGAATTCTACTAATAATATCACCATCTATTTCATCATCACTATGGACAATAGATCCAAGATATCTAAAACTAGTACTCTTATTAATGACTTGATCGCCCAAAGCCACAATCCCCTTCACTAGATCTATTACTACTAAAATTACACTTCATGTATTTGATTTTAGATCTACTCAAACGAGCACCTTTAGATTCTAAGTTTGACCTCCATAATTCAAGTTTACCTTTAATTTCCTCTCTAGTCTTATCAACAAGAAGAATACCATCAACACTAAGATTTAGCTTAATTTCATATGGACAGAATTTGGAGACTTCAAATCCCAAGATTTTGATAAAATATGTTTCAGTGTCATTATTTGTGAAATCTAGGGTTTATTAAATCCCACAATTCATATAATTTAATGGATTTAAGTATTTCCTCTTCTCACAAATTTTAGTCATAAGATCAATAGCCAAATAATTTATTAGGATTTAATAAGATTTAACGGTTGTTATGTGAAATAGTTTTCAGGTTTTAGTCCTGTCAAGCTTTACTAAATCTGGATTTATAAGATTTATCAAATCTTATATATAGCTAAATAGCACATTAATGCCTTTATTCTGTGAAGGTTTCAACATCTGGTACACTTTATTCTGCTAAGAGCAGTTCAAAGCTCAATAATTTTTATGGATTCTTTTATTTTTCCAATGAAATTGGGCAAAACTCAAAATTTCATTAATTAACTAACATATCTTTCTTTTTTTTTTTTCTCAGTTGTATCTGGAAATGCTGATTACAGTTGTATATATATTAATTTTATCCTATATCGCTATGTTTTGTCTTTATTTGTTTTTTAGTGTTTTGTGTTAAGATAGAAATTGCATTTATACTTATTAGAAAATAAGTAACATTGGCTTGCTTCCTTTCATTCCTCAGGAAAACTTGGTTCTTTTTTAAAATATTGGTTTCTGATTAAACTTAAATTTTTTATGAACGCAGACTCAAAAGTTCATGTTGAAGCTTCCGAAGAGAGATATGATGTTATTGTTGTTGGAGGGGGCCATGCAGGCTGTGAAGCTGCACTTGCATCTGCTCGTCTTGGTGCACGAACGCTTCTTTTGACACTTAACATTGATCGGATTGCATGGCAGGTCACTTTTTGTCTTTTCATCTTTTATTAGCCACTAGACAGAATGGTTCTTCTATTATGTAAGCCCCTCAGTGATTGTATGATTGAGGAATGGTTGATGTAAGCAAATTTACTCCTTCTAAGGGAATTTGTTTTAGGATTTTATATCTATTTCTCCTTGTCACAGTAGCCACATGCTAACCATTACATTCAAGACCGTGCTCCTTGGCTATTCGCGCCACTCGATTCATTATAAGCCTGATATATAGAAAATGCTTTCTTTTTGTTTTGTCTTCTGGCATTTTTTGACAGTTTCTTTGATGGATCTATGGTTAATTCGTAAGAAAAAAAATGCATAATAAAGAGCTGCAAAGTAAAGAAGAAATGACTCTCATAAGCTTTATGCTTTATACTTGTACAAAAATGAACCAATACATCATACTAGGGAATACTATAATGGTGGGAAAATTAAAAGTAATTTGAAACAAAGAAGATAAAAATTCATATTATTGAGGAAATGTGATTAAAAAAATAAAATACTCAATATAATAGTGAAACAAATAAACCATCAGATAAACTATGTTTTTATTCATAAAATGGAATAGCCAAAGTACTTCTACCAAAGATTGTTACATAAAGAAGAAGAAAGGAGGCGACAGTGGAGAAGAGGACAAGCTGAAGGATGAATATGTAGAGGATTAGTAAAAGTAAGTATAATGAGGATACTAAGAATTAAACTTTATTCCTTATTAAATTTTTTTTTCTTTGAATATCCCTACTTCATAAAAAATGATTATAATTGGGTTCATTTGATAAAAAAAAACAGATATGGGATTTTAATTATGCCTTTTGAAGTGAGCTGATTCTAATTTCATAGAGAACCAAAAAAAAAAAAAAAAATCTGTGCTATGTTATCTCAATCTGAAGGAAGGAAGAGGGAAACTATGTTGTGACACAATCACACAACTCTGCCAATGACTGCCCATTTTGGATAGAAAAAATGTTTTACTTATTTTCATGTTGAAGTACATTGTTTTTTATTTTTTTCATTTTTTTTTATTTTGATACTTTGATTCTAGGGGGACTATAATTTTGCTTTAAGGCTAGATGGAAGCTAGCAATTAAATTTTTTTGATAGATGGTTATTAAAAAGAAGCTAAAAATTGCTCTTACTAAAATAGTAGTTATATAGAGCTGCATCGCACCATCATGCTATAAGAGCAGCGACATGGAAACTATATTTTTTTAGCACCCGTAGATGTTTTCCATCATAAACCGTATTGTTCGTTTAAGGTAAATAACATTTTTTTCTTTAGTTTTCTCATTATTTACTCCTCTTTCAACTTTGAAATGCACTTCTGCCACCGGACAATTCGGATTGGTCTTCATTGACCCTATTTCTTTTGCACCTTTGATCACCAATTTTTAGCTTATCATTTACTGCTATTTTTTATTTGAATTGTCTCTTTAGACTGTAAACATCAGTTCAGAAATTAGAAGCTTTTTTTTTCACGACTATAGTGCATATATTTGATTTTCATAATTATGTTGTCTGATTTCAAGAATAATTATGTGGAAAAATGATAGCATTTTTAGTGTTTTCGTTGTAAACAGCCTTGCAATCCAGCAGTTGGGGGCCCTGCCAAATCTCAGCTGGTACATGAAGTTGACGCCCTTGGTGGGGAGATTGGGAAAATTGCTGATAAGTAGGTGAAAAACTTGAAATAACTCGTACTGATATTATCCATGTGCTTCTAACGTCTGGTTAAAGCATTTATAAAATGTTACGTTGATAACATTTTATGTGCGTTGTGATGCTTCAGGTTCTGATTTTGTTTGCCTCTCATTCTTCTTGTTTTTGAGGTTGTTGGTGTTGCTTAAATTTGTTAAATATTCCTTTTTTTGTGAATTATTGTTTGCATACTTGATTATCTGAACACATTATTAGTAGTTGATTTATTTGCATGTATTCGAAAGCATTTTTCGAAAATTGGGCTGCCTTCTTTCCCCAAGAAATTGTGTGGAGAGGAATTACCTTCACTCTCAATTTTTTAAAATTTTCTTTCTATTCTTTTTTCTGCAACGTAACATAGCTTGTTATGAGAATTTGTTATTGGTAATCACATTGTGGTTTAAAATTCTGAGATCCACAGTTCCACACTATATGTATATCAAAATGAAAGCCACTAAATGAAAAAAAAAAAAACATTTTTTACTAAAACCATAATAAGCGGTTTGGGGGAGGACGTCAAAGCGGGAAGACTCATCTTGATGCAAAGGTTTTGTGATGACTTGAGGATATTGATAGATCCTTGTATGAATGTTGCTTGAGTGATAAGAGAAGATATGATTGCATTAGAGGACCTATAAGATGGGTAGGAGAAGAGGAATCATTCAAACTTCAAAGGAAGAGATAGAGAGAGCAATTATCCTCTATGTATGAAGATGATTTCTACACCAAAGAAAATATTAATAAGTAAATCGAAAGCAAATAAAATGAATCATGATGGATCTTTCAAAAAAGATTTTTTTTTGAAGAATCTTAAAGTATTATGTTGATTCCATCAATACGACTATTATTAATTCAAAGGAGATAGATGAAGACATCATTAAATAAGATAGGTGATGATGCGTCCAAATATGCTAATTGATGGGATGTCGGCTCTAAAAATTAGTCATATAATTTGGTATTGCATCAACTCCTTTGTGGTGCGAAAAACTTATCCTCAATGAGTTGGATGATTTGGTACCACAAAGACAAATATGGTGGAGCAATCTCATTTAACTCTTTCAATGAACCAAAAAGCAAACAAGCACTATAATTTATGAATGTTCTTAGGTCAATAACTATCATAAAGGACCTATATAATTAGAGAGAACCTGCAACGAATGGATGATATTGCAACTTTGGAGCAAGATGTCTCCATTCATCGTGCCATTGTGTATGATCACCCAACTGATCAAAAAATATATGATTGTCTTGTGGTGACTGCAGTGATATGGTGAAGCCAACTTGTGTAAATAGTGATGATGTAGGCAATTATATATAAAATTGTGAAATAACTCATATCTAGTGGCATTATTGAGATTGCATAAATGCTATTGCATTATGAATGTGTTTTGATTAATGGAAAGAACTGAATTTTTATTTCTTGGAAAATAGTTTGAAATTCTTGCACCACTGACCGACATTTGAGCATGCATACCCAAGTGGCCCTAGAATAATCATCATCGAATATGACATGCCAGAATCCTAGGTGAGCAAGAATAAGGCTAGGATCAAATATTCGAGTGGACAAGCTCAAAAAGAATATTTTGATGACTACTAGAATAAGGAAATGATATGTGACGGTGTTTACCTAAGTCACAAGTAAGTTATAGTCAAACCGGAGAGAGGAGAGTAGAGAAAAATTTAAACTTGAAGTTTGCTTGGAAGAGGATGGCCCAATTGCCACTATCATTACTACGACGTAGCGCTTGAAGAGAAAGTTGAAGGATCATCAAGAAGTAGACTTTACTTGCTTTAACACCTCCACCAATTGCCTTCTTTGAGTCTGTATACCGAAATATGATGAGAAGGATAAAAAAATTTGCTGAACAAGTATGAGTCTTCATAAAGCAGTGAATAGATAATAGGTTGGTAAGAAATTGTTGGAAATAGAAAATATTTTAAAGATATAATATTTCAAGGTAATATAGTGCCATTTTTAGAAAAGGGGGAGTAGTAACCATCAATGATAATGAAAGGTAGAGAGAGAGAGAGAGAGAGAGAGAGAGATTACACATTCTTCAAGGAAAGATGCATACCAGTGATATGTTTGACACTCATTTTTCTTAAAACAAACAATTTGGTTAGTAGTGAATGGGTGGTACTAAAATAACTCGTCTCATTTATATCTTAAAGTGTTGTAATATTTTAGATCTATGTACGAGAAAAAATCTCAAAGTAAAGAGTGTACAAAGTACAAACGATAAATATCACTTTTCTATAAGTATGTGAAGTGAAGGAAGTTCAACATCTTCTTGTCTAAACCTTTAAACATTGAAGTTAAGGCAATTGAAGATTTAAGACTATTGAGCAACTAGATAAGAACAATGTAGTTAGACACTTGCCATTTGAAAACTTATTAGTGTCACTACTATGTGAGAGAGACAGTAAGATGATGGAATCTGTTGTGAGAACCAAAAAGGATGTGAAAGACACTTAATCATATGAGATGATTAGACAATAGAATTTGATTGTTCTACTGATAGTGGAGGAGGTTTCTGAGTCATTGATAAGAGATTAAGAAGTGATAAGATTGTGTAAAAGAGACTCATAGAATTTTGAGGGTTAAATTAAATATTTTAATAGAGGAGATACATGAAGTGGTCACTTTCTAAGCAGGGGTTGAGCGTCAGTGAGGGTAGTAGATGCTTGTATCAAAGGGCATCATGCACATGGTAGATGCTGGGGATTGATTTTACGTTGGTGAGCATGAATACAAGCATGAGGGGATTCACATTATAGATCTAGAGAGTGAGAGTACAATAGTGAGCGTGAATGAATGCATGGGGTGGGTTGCAAGTATAGAGTAGGTTGTAGGCGTGGGACGAGTCTCCAAAGTGGGGTGGGTCATGGGTGAGCGGGAACATGGGGTGGACAGTGGGCGTGCCACGAGTAACAAGTGTGGGTTGCAAGTTTGAGGGGAAGCCTAAGTGTGAGTGAGATCATGTGGGTTAAGATCGAGGCAGATGGGGGGTGGGTAGGTGGAATCCAGAAGGGATTTTGGGATTTAGGAGGAGGTTTTGATGTAGGCAAGGGGGGTCAAAATATTTTGTGTTTTAATTTTGGTGAGTTTGTTTTCCCTCTACTAAAAATCAGCTCATAAATGCTTAGCCTCTACCTTTTAAGCTCATAAATTGAGTATTTATGTTGATTCATTTCCTCTCTCTAAAGACTCTTTGGTTTCCCCACCTATTCCCCTCTCCAAGGCTGCCTTTCCCTTTCCCCTTCTGTGTCTCTTTGGTTTTCCCCTTATGTTGTTCCCGTGACTTATTGCTGGATGCTGGTTCCAGTCTTCTATATTGGCTTTTCAGGTTCCTCCCTGACTGCTTTCCCGTGGCTTCTCTTGCCCGATTTCCGTGTTGGCTTTTCGGGTTCCTCCCTGGCTGTGTTCCCGTGGCTTCTCCTACCCGGTTTCTGTGCTATCTTTTGGGAATTGTTTTGTATTGTCTGCTCCTTTCCGGTGGCTGTTGTGCTGCCTTTTCAGCTGATGTTCTGGACTGATTTTGGTTGTTGTTTCGAGACAAATTTCTGACTGTTTCAGGACAGAAATCTGGACTGAATTTTTGGCCTTTCAATTGCTCCTTTTAATTGATTTAATAAGAGATTATGGTGACTGTTTGGCTGCATTTTTTCCTATAAATAGATGTTTTGTAATGAAAAAGATGTTGATATAATGTGATTTTTGGAGCCAAAAACCTGAGAGGTTTTTCTTCTTTCTTGGAAAGGCTTGCGAGCTTGTTCCACCTCTTCGTCTCCCTCTAGGAAAGCTTGCGAGCTTGTCCTTTCTTCGTCTTGGTCTTCTGGCCCCTTTCTTCTCTCCGCAAGATCGACGTCGCTTGTATCCTTCTTCTCAATTCAAGAAAGCAACTTTAGGTGTATTTTTATGTTTGTGTCAAAGTTTGTAAGTCTTTTATCTTATAAAAAATTGTAGTTTGTCATATTTTTGAGAATTTATGTAAATTTTTTTATCCTAGGAAGTTTCTCTCTTGCTTGCAAAAAAATAGATTTTTTTCTAATTTTTGCTTGCATCAACCATTAGGTTTCCTCTCTTTTATATCTTGTTGAGGAGGGTTTTGTGTGTCATATTCATTAGAGATCCCATCTATTGATAATGGAGGAACAAATATAGCATCCTTGTTGGCGCCCAAATAAACTTTCGTCAGTCTCTAAATATAAAGAATTTTTTTATTTTTAATATTTTCTTATATTGATAACCCGTAGAGTGGGCTTTGGATTTTAATGCATGCATTTTTTACAGATTGAACTCAATTATGCATGTATGATTGCTTAATTTTAATTCACCTTAAATGTGAAAGCTTTCATATTTGTTGTCATTCAAACAAAAGGTTTGGAGTTTTTGGTTAATCCTCCTTTTCTTGGAACTGTATTTTATTTGGTTATACGTTCCAAGCTTTTCATATTATAAAGTGCACAATTTCTTAAATTATTACTATTTTTTTGGTGTATGATACAGTTTAACTGTGAGGTGATTTTTTTTTTTTCATTTAGAAATTCTTTGTGATTTAAATGAGAATTTGACTTTTAATAGGACACAATGGAGAAAAAGGATTCATGTAGCCGACCCCCACGTAGTCGGATAAAGGCTTGATGTTGTTGTTGTTGTTGTTGTAAATTCTTTGTGATAAGGTTTCTATGCCTTATGGAATCCCATATACATAGTTTCTTAACTGTTCTTTGAACCGAAGTTTAAGCAAGTAATTCACAGCATGCGCATAAAGCATAACTTTAAGATCGCAAAATGGTTATTTAGATTTTAAACTTTTTTGGCACTTGTAATGTTGGCTATGCTCTTCTTTGCAGGTGCTACATACAAAAGAGGGTTTTGAACCGTTCAAAAGGCCCTGCTGTGAGGGCACTACGCGCTCAGACAGATAAGAGAGAGTATGCCATGGAAATGAAAAGAGTCGTTGAGAGGTTGGTGCATTTTAGAAATGTTATATGCATACTTTTTTCATATATACACACACACACACGTATGGAATGTTTTTCGGGTTGTAGTCTACTTAAACATTCGATTCTTTTAAGAATTTTTTTTTGGGTGGGGTGGGCTGGGGTGGGGGGGCGCGGTGGTGTTGTTCTTCATAGCATATATAAATTTTAATTTCAGGTGATTCTATGAAAAAACATTTTTTATTTCAGATTTTTATCTTGGGCCATTTGTGAAGCTTCCCATATAGAATTTACCAAGCTTCTAGCTCTTGGTTGATCATTAATCATATGATAAGCTCACCACTTTGTCACCAATATTTTCCCTGTATGTTTGTCAAAGAATATAATTTACAAAGCCTCTAGCGCTTGGTTGATCATTAATTATATGATAAGCTCGCCACTTTGTCACCAATATTTTCCCTGTATGTTTGTCAAAGAATCTGCTTAATGCGGATTCTTAACACCTTGCTAATAATGACTCACCTCTTGTACAAGTGCTGACGTTGTCACAGTTAGCTGGCTTTTGATCAATCTTATTTTCAATCAGGATAAAACCTTATTGAAAGGCCTTTCCAATTTTTGCTAGTTTAATGAAGAAGTAATGTACTGTACTGTTGTGTTGGTTGGATTGAGGATCTTTGAATCATTTTTCAAGGTTTCCTATTGTAAAGACCCACCCTCTATAAACCCTAAAGTTCAAAACAATTTAGGTGGTTCCGTTTCCAAAGCTATTCGAGGCTTTAATAAACTTGAAATAGCTATGACTAGCCTAAACATTTATGCGTGTATTAATCTGATGTGGAATCTAAAAACATAGCTAGAAAAACCCATTGTTTTTTAATACTAGAAAAGTTTTTTATATGAATAAGGTAAAGAAGACAAATAAAATTCCATATTTCATTTCATTCCATGAGTTTAATTTATTTCGTTAATATGGCACCGCATTTTTTTCTTCTTAAATTTTATTTTATTCCTTGCTTGACAGTCAGAGATGCATATTCACATGTAAATGAGTACGACTTCAATGTTTTGGGAGGCTTTTTAGGTTGTTATATTGGTCAGTTTTTTTACCAATCCATGGTGATTCACATTCCATCCTTTTTGTAACTGTATGTAATACCTTCGGCACTTTTTCCTTGTAGTGTTATAGTCAACCTACAAGTTTCAATGCCAGATATTTAGAGATGTTGATTGCGCGCATAAGTTTATCCGAATATTTTCTAGTGCTGAAAATTCTCTTTGTTCTTGTATGGTTGCCATGATATTTTAGCATGGTGATATATATATATATATATATATATTTTGGTGTGGTATAAGTTGTTATATAGATACACGAAGATTTTTTCCTTTAGTTATATATATAAACTAACAAGATTTCAGTCCAGAGTTATATTAATTGTTGTTTGAGAACAGAAAGCTATTCAAATGTTTTTTTTTTTTTTTTTGCAAACAACTTTCTTTGATGTTTGCATGTTGCTTTGGATTTGAACATATTCTTATTAGAATAAAAATTATATCAGTATATCCTAATATAGATTGTATCAGGATGAGCTTAAAAACTATTAAATTTGCTTTGTGCTTGATAGACTAAAGAGAGAATTGAAGAAAAACTTGAATTATGGACGTCAATCGTCTAAAGGTTTTTGCCAAGTAGATCTAAAAATGAATACATGTAGTGTAATTTTAGTTGTAATAGTTCTAATGTGGGTTTGTGATTTTGGGTAATCAAGTTAAAAAGAGCATGCCTTCTAGATATCTTGGGAAATAGATGGTAATATTATTAGTAGAATTTAAGTTGGATGGTTGAAGTGGAAGAATCTTTCGGGCCTGTCATCTAATAGAAAAGTATTGCTCAAACTTAATGGAAAATTTTATAAGATAGTGGTGAGACCTGCAATATGCTTTATGGCACAAAATATTGGTCGTTAAAAGAGAAGCATAAAATTAAGTGATGCATAGATAAGGATGCTTAGGTGGATGAATGACTTTATACTTAGAGATTGAATCTGAAACAAGTATATACGTGATAAGGCTGGAGTAGCTCCAGTGGTATATAAGATTAGAAGGAATCGCCTTAGATGGTTTGATCACCTTAAGTGTCAGCCTTCCGTTGACTCTGTTAGGAGTACATGTATTAGATACGGCCTATGTTAAGAAAGGTAAAGGTAGACCTAAAAATATTTGGTTAGAAAGTATTAAAAATAATTTTTTTAAATTAGATTTCAATGAGAATTTGACTTTTAATAGGAAACAGTGGAGAAAAAAAAAACTAATGTAACCGACCCCTTGTAGTGGGATAAAAGGCTTGATGTTGTTGTTGTTTAGACCCCATGTAGTGGGATAAAAGGCTTGATGTTGTTGTTGTTATTGTTGTTGAGATTAGTACAATACAAATTCTTCATATGCAACATTGATCTCAAAGCAAATATAACGACTTTCAACCTTATATTAGTATAATTTGTACGAGAATATCTTGACACAAAAATTTCCTTCATATTATTTCTTTTGCATGATCAATTTTGTGAACCTCCTGCAGCACCCCGAATCTTTTCATCAGAGAGGCTATGGTAACAGAGGTCTTGGTTGGCAAGAACGACCATGTGGAAGGTGTTCATACCTTTTTTGGAATGAACTTTTATGCTCCCTCTGTTGTACTCACCACTGGCACCTTTATGAGTGGAAAGATATGGGTCGGAAGGACGGCAATGCTTGCTGGGCGAGCCGGAGAATCAGCCTCTATTGGGCTTACTGAAAACCTGCAGAATTTGGGTTTTGAAACTGACAGGCTTAAAACTGGAACTCCAGCACGTGTTGATTACCGTACTGTTGAATTTTCTCAATTAGAGCCGCAACATGGTGATGAAGAGGTACTACCATAAGTCATGAACTGGAATTGTTTATGGGCATAAAGTATGATGCATTTTTTTTTTCTTCCTGAAATTGTGGCGTTAGGATTCCACTTTGTTATATTTTTCTTTATTATTTTTTATGTTTTATTTCTTTTTCTTTTTTTAATTTATAACTCTATTCTTCCTCCCTTCTGGAAACTCACCCCTCTCCAATACAAACACCAGTACACAACAAATAATCACTTCATAAAAAGACAAAAATACTGTGTATAAAGTGCCACCGAAAGTGCTTTTTGTTATTAATTTTGGAATGCTGATGATTTGATCTGGTTACATTAATAAAAAGAGAATGCAAGCTAGATCAAAATCATAAAGCAACAAATTTTCAAATTAAAAAACCAATTGTCTCTTACAGATAGGGTGCAAGACAAATTGTTGGCAAGCCCATCATAATGTCTTTTTAGTTTAACTTTTAATTGTCTTATTTACGTACTAGTTAGGAATTTGGAGCACTTTGGATGTAAGGATCAAGAAGTTTATGTCTACATGTGTTTTGCCCAGATGTTTCAAGGTGCCATTTTTCGGAGGTTAAGATCAAAATCATTGGTCTTACTTCTACTAGTTAGGTTCAATTTTGGAGTCTTTCTTTAACTTTTATTTAGTGTTTCATGCATTTTTAACTTTAATTTATACAATTGTTTATTCACGATTTCATGACAATCTACCTTTTGATGGAGATTTGAGGAAAACTTCAAAAAATAAATCTTGTATGCTACGATGAGCAAATTAGCAAATTGCTACGATGAGCAAATTGATTATCAAGGATTGTTTATTTTATTTGTTAACCTTGTTTGGGCATGTACCTCTGTCCCGTTCTTTTAATCGTGAGAAGTTTACTTTCTATCCTGTTAAGGGATGAATAATAAAATAATTAAAACTTTTAACAGATTATGGTTTAATGGATCCCATTTTAAGAAATTCTTTGTGAGACAGAAGATAGCCATCACAATTTTTTTCATGTCTGACCAGTGGTTTTGTTAGAGCAGGTGAGCTGGTTTAGTTTTGATTCTGAATACCACATAGAAAAGCCGCAAATGTGCTGCTATTTGACAAGAACAACAAAAGATACCCATCAGCTTATTAGAGATAACTTGCATGAAACGCCAACTTATGGTGGTTGGGTGGAAGCAAAGGGACCGAGATATTGTCCATCAATTGAAGATAAGGTACATCATATGGTTTGTTTGGTATCTTAATCATATTTATCTTGTGATTCATCATTATCCATCATTTAGCTAATAAATAGCATAAAAATTGGCAAGCTACTATCAATTTAATGCTAGTCACTTGTCATCAATCACCTCCAAGCAAACTATGCCCCTCAGTACACAAACCAAACCGCCAAATCACCCACACCACTGCTGTATCCCGCAAGGAAAGATGGGAAAAAAGTGATTGTAAAATATATGCACGTTTTCCTTGTAGAATGTTGTTTGCTTCAATGCTTTGAAGCATCATGTTTATAAGGTTGAATTAATGTTTTTCTTATATTCCCATATATAGATGCTTCCAACAATTTCAATTAGGTTTGACATGAACAATACCTCCAATTGGTTCATGCACACATCATATAACAATATATATCATCAGCTATATGCAGGCTGCAAAATATTTTTGAGAAAAAATTCTGTCATGGCAGTCATGTAGATAGGGACTCTCCGGGCAATATATAGGTTTGTAATATGTTCTTGAATATTTTTTTGGACTTTCCTAAGATTTAGCTTTCTTGCAGATTGTAAGGTTCCAGGACAAAGAGTCCCATCAGATTTTTCTTGAGCCTGAGGGCAGAAATGTTCCCGAGCTCTATGTGCAGGTAACCAGTTTCTTTTAGAGATATATTATTTTTTAATTTTTAGCCTATGATTCATCTTCTTTTTTTCTCCAAAGAAATGCCAGGTTTTACATAAAACGATTAGCCTTATAGAAGCATTAGTTCTTCTTCCCTTCATATAACCAAATTTCAGTCAAAGATTATTTGTCTAGTGCTCACTTTTTTATTTCTTTTACTTGCAAGGATAAGTTCATGCATCTGTATGTTGAAGCTTTTGACTGTTTTTCTTTGTTTTCATTTATTTTGGTTTGTTTTGAATAATCCTTCTTGCATAGTGTGTAAGTTCTACAAATGTTTTCATTCAGAAGCTCCAGTTAGCGTGTTTGTATTTTCATGATTACCGCAAAAAACATCCATCCGGTTGTGATTATGATGGAAGATTTTTATGTTTTTAAACTAAAGATAAAATTGTTTTTAACTAGGGGTTTTCAACAGGTCTACCTGAGAGATTGCAATTAGCACTTCTGAGAACATTACCTGGACTAGAAAATTGTTTGATGCTCAGGCCTGCATATGCTGTAGAATATGACTATTTGCCTGCTCACCAGTGCTCCAGATCCCTTATGACCAAGAAGTTTGAAGGACTCTTCTTTTCAGGTCAGATAAATGGTACAACAGGCTACGAGGAAGCTGCGGCTCAGGTCCTTTTATCTCCACATTGCATGCACTAAAAAACTGTTTGGTTTGCAAAACCCCTGAAAAACCAACTTTCATTTATAGATATTACCTCCTTCATGAAATTGAATATTGCTATTTTCTATGTCATTTCTTCTTGTTGTTTTTATAAATTCTAAATATCTGTAAATGCAGGGTCTTATCTCTGGAATCAATGCTGCAAGGCATTCATCTAGCAAATCTCTCATGAATCTTGAGAGAGAAAGCAGTTTTATTGGCACTCTCATTGATGATCTTGTCACTAAAGATCTGAGGGAGCCATATCGCATGTTAACAAGGTATCATCATCTTTCCATATTTATGGGCATGGTTTAAGTTCAACCTTGAACATTCTTGTAATCAACTTAATTTAGCAGAAACTTCTTATCCATGGTAAACCTGAGACTTATTCAGTACATGTCTGGTAATAAACTGTAAGATTTTTATTTTTTTTTATCTTGCTTCGATTTTGTTACAAGGTGCATGTGGAAAGCGACAAAAAATGGGTTCATGAACTAAGGAGGCATAGTAGATCAGTTCTACATCCCAGCTATTGTGTTACCTGACAAGTATCTGGACAAACATATAGTAAAGTTCTTAGAAGTTTTTGGACCTGAGTAGAGATTCCATGGAATTTTTCATACATTATTTAGCAGGCTGTAGAAGATGTCTTGGAAGTTATCATTATAGTAGTTAAAAGTGTGTTGCATTTCTAACATTGTATCATTTAAATATTTTCCGTAGGTCTCCAAGCATTTTTAAACTTTTATTCATGATATATGGGGTTCACCATCCTCTTTCATTCCAATTTGGCATTATAACTCTTGGTTGTTCCTGTGGAACATATGCCTCAAACTTGTCTGCTGCTTTTTGATGATTGCGTCATACACTAAACTAGTTTTTGTAGTAAGAAGAACTGCTGCAGGTGATAAATCGTATCCTTACTGGATTATGATGATTACTAAACAGACCGCTGCCCCTTCCAGGAGTAAACCAAGCTCGGCCCACTAGGGGGCCGGTTGTAATGGGACTGGTCCCTAGTGGACTGGTCTAATAAAATGTTGGTGCAAATCAACGCCCAGCGAACAGGAACATTCAGCCTTTTCTAGAATGCTGTCTTACAGCACAAGCCAACCTGCAGCAGTTCTTCTTGCACTAAGAGTTAAATCCAAATCCCTTGGAGGGATAGGAGGGGGTGGCAAGGGCTGTTTAATAATTTGGGTTTGATTAATTAGTGATATGCTTTAAGTGGGAGGAAATTAGGGTTAGGGTTATGCATGATTTGAGTTGTTCTCTTGGAGTCTTTCTTAGTGCCTTGGGCTCTAGATCTATAATCTAGAGATTGGGAGAGACGATACTCCTCTCGAATTGAGGATCAATTGTATCTTGCTTGGAGTTTGTTTTGCTTTGATTCTACTATTGCAATCTATCGTTTTTAGATTGATTTCATCCAGATTTTCTTGTTTTTCTTGCTGTTTTGACCCATTATTGCTAGGGTTGTTTGTGAACTCAAGTATTTCCTCACACATTTTATATCATATTAACTTGTAATATTATTTTTGTTTGCTTGATTTTTATAATATACGTCCTTCTTGAACCGATGGGTTAGGAGTTTCGAAAATATCCTAGGCAGTTTTATCTATACAAATTGTTGCAGACTAGCCTCTCCTTTTTTGAGGTCATATGTTACATGTCATATCTGGTTCTAGCATGCTTCTCAGTGTCTATTCTGGTATTTAACATATTCTTTATATGTCATTTCTCTTTCTTTTTTTAAGCCGCTCAGAGCACAGGTTACTTCTTCGTGCTGACAATGCAGATAGCCGTTTAACACCTCTAGGCCGAGAAATTGGTTTGATAGATGACAGACGTTGGAATCTGTACAAGTCCAAGCAATCTTTGATATCCGAAGAAAAACAACGGCTAAAGACAGTCCATATCTCAGGTTAACATTTTCATTTGCATTCTTTATATGCAACATGGTATTACTTGGAAATATGTTTCCTATTAAGTGGGTCTTCACGTGGCTTCCAACTTTGTGTATGTATGATAGCTGCTTATATCTGGTTAATACATGCTTTAGTGTATATATTCATGTTCCTGAGATTATAAAATTGTTTTACAGCGAAAGATGATTTGGCTTCTGAAGTTAGTCGGTTGTCAGGACAACCTGTGAAAGATTCCACACTAGAAAACTTTCTGAAAAAGCCACATGTGCACTACGAGGTTTTTGATAGATATGGCTATGGGAACATGCTTCTTTCCAGGATTGAGAAAGAGTGTGTTGAAATTGACATTAAATATGAAGGCTTTGTTCTGCGCCAGCAGAGCCAGCTTCACCAGGTGAGCAGGTTAACTTCATTTTCTTTACCCCAGAGGGGCCACGATATAGCATTCAATCTTTGCTCGACCAAGTTTCTCCTTAATTCAGGACATGTTGTATCTAAACCCACTCCATGTTTTTTCACCACTCTTACCCTGACAGATAGAGATTGACAAAGCACAGTGATCTAAACTCAAGTCTGGGGAGGCTTACTTATTGATGTAGAACTAAATGCGTATGTTGATGTTTTGCATTTGAAATTATATGTCGTTGAAAGAGCAAGAGTAATTAGTTAACCTTTCTTCATTTAAATGGTGATTGAAAATAATAAAATAATGATTCAGATCAAGCAATAGACTTGAACAGTTGAACATGGTTAGCCACAGCCAGATTGTTCTCAGTTAACCCAAGTGTCCAATTTAGTTAGTAGTGAAATGCTGATATTAAATTGGGTAATGCGGTACAAAAAATAGAATACAAATCTTACCTTTGAAAACCCAAGTTCTTTTGATATCTAGATCCTTCGTTTTATGAAAAATATTTCAATCCACTTTAGGGTTCACAGCATCTTTGTCCTGTTTTGTAGAGACACTGTTATTCCTTCCTATTTCAATATCTTTATCAAATTGCTTTGAATATCACTTGTTTGATGTTTCGTATCATTCATAGACTTAGGCTTCATTTTGGACAGTTTTGTTCATGCTTCTTAAAGCGACTTTTTAGTACAAAAATTTTAATTTTTTATTAAAAAGTTGCTTTAAGAAGCAATAAGAAAGTCATCCCAAATGAAGCCTTAGTCATAATCATAACTGTAGCAATGATTTGTTTACCATAGATTTTGTAGATTTACTTGTGATATTGCTTCTTTGGCTGTAAATCACTTGCTATTTGGTCTTAAAATTAGTTGCCCATTCATTTTTATTGTTGTTTTTCAGATGGTCAATCAGCAACACAGAAAACTTCCTGATGATTTGGATTACCATTCGATGACAACTTTATCCCTTGAAGCACGTGAGAAACTTTCGAAGGTATTAACAGCCTGTGAATGTTAGCTTGGAAAAAAGAGTTTTAGAGAATAATTATTTCGTAAGACTATATTACTTTTTACCTTTGTTTATGCCAACCCTGTGATTTTCTTGTGATGATTAGGGTTAATTCCTTACTATAATAACATGATTGCATGAGAGAGTACTCTTCTCATGTGGCGATCACCATCATCTTAAATGTCAATTAAAATTGAATTTTCTTGAAGCACAACCTCATTTTGTTTTGTTTTAGGCATAAAATTTTTAGAAACAGAATATATATTTATTGATATATGCGCTTCCGGTTATTTTTGGGCGTTTCTATGAGTAGAGTCTTTCAAACACTTGTTTAAACAAAAATCATGATATTATAGTTAAGGAATTAACCCTAAACAAGGATTGAAAATCTATTTGTTTTGCTGAATTGTATTTTTGCCTGAAGATCATAATCAAAGACTGGGCTTGAATTGCATGCAGTTCAAACCACAAACAATTGGTCAAGCAAGCCGAGTTGGTGGGGTGAACCCTGCAGACATATTTGCCCTTCTCATTTTCCTTGAGGCTAATCGCAGGAAAGTGAATTCCATGAAAAGACAGGAACTGCTAAGATCTATTGCTGTTGATGATGATGAGTCCAGTTCTACCTTAGCTACTGCTTCAGAGGTGGTTAATTCCTAGTTGTTGGTTTTGCTTTGGTTTCCTCTGTGAGTGCTTCAATCTCAAGCTGGATAGACCTGAAACCCACTGTTTGGGCCAAATTTCATTGGTTAGTCTGCTTGAGATGTATTTTGGTTTCTTTCTTTTTCCTTTAAATAGTTTTACCTGTAATTTATGCATATTTTCTTTGTTAATGTAAATACTTTGTACTTGCTGCTTAGTTTATTTTTTTGTTACTAATTTATGAATTCTCCATTTTGAATCAATTATATATATATATATATTTTGGTGTTAGATCCAAAATTCTTTTTAGGTGACATTCTGACCCTGCTAACAATATTTGTTAGAGTAACTAAGAGAGTAAAGAAAAGAGAGATGGATAAGGAAAAGAATTCTGGAATTTCATTACTTTTTGTTAGCATAGTGTTCAAAAAAATGTTTATCAATCCTATATTTATAAGAATTGAAAGTTACATAATATTTTGAAATAATTAATGATTATTCTCATGCTGAGAGGAGATGTACGCAAATTAATGAAAAAAATGATTAAAATTTCATGATTTTATTATATTTATATACTCGAATTTAAATAGCTGGAGAAAAATGATTTGTTTATATTTTAAATCAGAACTTTAATAACATGGGTAATCATATCTGATGCCGGTAATTATTTTTTTTATGATGACACATGTAAGTATGGTATATGAAATTATATATACATTTATGTAACATTTTATTAAATTCAAGCTTTTTAAAGAATTCTGTCAAAAAAAATTTCATGGTTGAATTTACCTTAAATAAATTTGAAATTTCATTATCATATTCTTCTTTATTCCCATGTTACTTTGCTTTTTGATTTACGTTTTTATCTTACGAGATTCACTTGTTTTTTAGTTGCTTGACTTCATTTTTAAAATTAAGATAACTAATAACAAAATATAAATTTCAAAAATATTTTCTACTTCCAAAAAACTTGGTACTAAGCAGAAATGATGACTTTTGCTTGTTTTTTTTTTCTTTCAATAGCTTGTGAAGCCAATGAGTATAAGCACATTTGGGGTGAACAAATTTCGAATGCCGAGGCGGTAATGGACACTGCACACCATAACTACAAAATTAGAAAAAAATTATTACGCACGGAGTGTAGACATTGTCCGTACTTCAATCAGGTGAAGACAACTGGAGTTTTCTTTTTTTTTTTCTCTATTGTTATACAAAAGAGAGTCTAAATGTCTTCACCTGATTGAAATCTGGACGAAAAACAACATCCAAACTCTGCACGTAATAATTTCTTCAAAATTAGATAGGATTGGGTGGATCACATAATTACACAGCTAACAAGTTTTACGCTTTTCAAAATCATGAATATTAAGTCAAAAAAGTTTTATAAACAATTTTGGAATAGTTATTGAACAAGCAGCAAATTACATATTAAATAGGATATGGGCTGCAAGGTGATTGATGTGATGATATATTCATTAATTCAAAAAGAATAAAAATAGATGCATCTCTGAATCCATTGCTTCAGCCATCAGTGGGATGAGAAAGAGCCCAAGTTGAACGTTTATGAAGCTTTAAAGGAGGGATGCTTCTATTCTTCTACAGCCCTCAGGTCTCAAAAAACAATCATACAGAGCAAGCAAAACTTCCATCTTAACAGCAGCAAGTCCTGAAATGCAGCTCAATCAGATTTTCAGTATGAGAATGATGGAGAAAATATGGATTTGAATACTCTGATCAAAGTTAATTTGGAATAAATTTTAAAATCTTTAGATTTACTTTGAGATGAGTGCAATACAAGATAATAAGTCAACATTTTCATCAATAACTAAATTTTGCTAAGAATATTCGCATCCTTTTTTTTCAAATAAAGGCTGGCACATACCCAGATGAGCATCATATTACATACCATGCATTTTCTTACACAAATGGGCGAGTAAATTTGGATTAAAAATTGGTGAGTGTAGAAACCTTTTCATTGCAAATCTCAGAGCCTACGTGAAAGGCATGTTCTCCCCGAAATTAGTGGACAAGGTGGCAATGATTTCATCTGCAAATGCTCTCCAAATTTTCAAGTATTCAAAGAATAAGATCATTACAGCAGAACTCTAAAGACTGCAAATGATTCATTTTCTGTTATCCAGACCGTCCGAGAAATCAGTTCACTGAAATAACAAAAACCTTTTCAAGCAGTTACTACTGACCTCACATCTGGCGTCAATGTCAAGCTCTGTGATCGAACTCTCTCAATTATTTTCTGCCTGCCTGACAAGTCTTCCTCATACCCAACTACCTGAACAGATAGAATCACCACTGCCATTAACACGTTCAAATATGTACAAATAAATCCAATTTATGCAATTTACAAACCTGTGATTCTGTTTGTGTTTCAGTAAAAGCATCATATGCGCCAGACTTTCTTGCTTGGTTTGTTGGATGGGAAATGCTTCCTTGTTTCTGCTCCCTGTGATTATACCAGAACTGAACTGGATCATTTCAGGAAACAGCAGAAACAAAGTTCATAATTATAAAAGGCTTCATTTGGAATGGCTTTCTTACTGCTTCTTAAAGCAGTTTTCTAGTTAAAAATTTTTAATTGTTATACTTAAAAGCTAATTTAAGAAGCAATAAGAAAGCCGTACCAAACACAACCTAAGTCTTCGAGACAGATTATTTGCTTTAGTAAAAGCAACTCGTTTGGAAAATCATATTTTAAGGCGGAAATTGGACATGTAAAAATGAAATGGAGCACGGGAGAAAATGTTGTAGAATATATTATAGAAAACATGCATGATATAAGTGCTACATGTGGATAAAAGAAAAGTCGCAACTCACCGGACTATCCAATTGTTTGATATTCCAGAAGCAGTATTTGAATTTCCATGATTTTGATCAATAATAGGAGGATCAGGCGCAAATATCTGTAACTAGGTGATGAGGGAAAAGCAAGTACGACCCAAAGGAAAGCTAAGCATGAAAGGATAAATTAGAGGATACATTACTTCCATAAAACATGCATGATGTAAGTGCTACATGTATAGGCGACTGAGTAGTCCTTGAATAAGAGAAAAGGAGCAACTCACCGGATTATCCAATTGTTTGATATTCCAGAAGCAGTATTTGAATTTCCATGATTTTGATCAATAATAGGAGGATCAGGCGCAAATATCTGTAACTAGGTGATGAGGGAAAAGCAAGTACGACCCAAAGGAAAGCTAAGCATGAAAGGATAAATTAGAGGATACATTACTTCCATTACCAGACGTCCCAGGCGATTTTAGGTCTTGAATCTTAGACAGAAACCAGATGCAAGATAAGCAACTGCTAACAAAATGATAATTTTTTGCATAATAATGCAATTATGTACCTTGTCTGACTGCGCTAACAGATCCTCTATGGCTTCGGCCACATCAGGACCAGTTTTGCGATTTTCCCCAAGAATTTCTTTTACTTTTTTTCTTTTAGATGCACGAGTATTTCTATCCAATTCCGATAAGTTCAACCTTTTTCCATCAGAACTTGAACCTTATAGTTTTATGGAGTTAATAGCTATTGCTGCATATTCCACATGCTTTATAAAAGGAAAAATAGAAAAAAAAAATGTAAAGAAAAGACATTCATCGCTAGAAAATTAACTACCAACGTTCATTCTTGAGTTTTGCATCAGTCCTTGGGGTTGACTAGGTGATTGTGATGGGAAGGAAATCATGCGAACTGCCTGTGTTGGATGCTGACTCACAGTACATAAACCTGCCTCTTTATCCTGTGAAGTTACTGGCCTTGGCTGAAATAAATCAGGTGGAACCAATTTATCCTGGAAAATATAAAAGTGTCTCATTACTGTCAAAAAGAAATTGCAAATCCCAAGATTACAGGAAGTATAAATTGAAAAATGATAGGATCTATACCTGCGAGACGCATTCAGTGATCCACTCAGCAGTAACTGTTTGAATGCCCTTTCTACAAGCAGCTGTGTATTTTGGACCATTAGTGAACTTGCATAATAAATGAGTAACTTTCTTGGTTAGCTTCTCGGTGAATTTTGCTCCCAAGACAAAGCATAAATTCCTTAATAATATTCTCTCTTTCCCTTCATATTGGGAAACACAGAATCGGAGGTCTTCAAATCCAGGTAACGGAATATGGCAGTTCAATGGAGAGTAAAGTATGTGGCTTGCAACATCTTGCATGCAGCACTCCTTGAACAAATGAATATAGTAGGCATTATTTTGAAAAAGTGCTTCACAACAATCGACAGAGCATTTCAAAGTAGAGCAAGGAATGATATAGATGCTATCAATGCTACTTTGAAATAAGGATATTTTATGCCGAAAGTAAAAGCTTATTGTAAAAGCTTCTTCAATGCATCTAAGATAAGCTGTTTTTGGTATAAATATTTAGTTAATAATCATCATGATACCCATATTTTTACAAATGCAGACAATAACAATATCATTTGCGCTGCACTTAACCATAGCATAATGAGCATTGACTTTACAACAGCAGGTGCTCCAAAGTCGAAGGTATTATCTACAGAATAGTGATGAATTCAACCTGACATGCATTCCCTTAAAGCTTGTTGGTAGGGAGAAGCTGGCAGGAGGCAGCAGGCTTGATTATAAAAGCAGCTACAAATATCTAGCTAGTGCATACGAGAAGAGTTAAAACAGTAACGGAGACATTCATCACTTTATGAACTTTATCCTATCTACTCAAATATTATAAATCTTCATCTTCAATTCATTTTGACATTTTAAGTTTTAACCCAATTTCCCTTCAATCTCTTTACCCAACTAAACTTGATATATGTTTAATGATTTCACAACATAAATTTTATCTAATTGTATTATTAATACATCTTCTACCTCGTTTTATGTGTGCAAAAAACACCAAAGTTTATTTTTCATTGCTTTATCTTTGATAGATGTCATTCCCACCATATCTCTATTATTATTTTTCAACAAATTCTTTTTAGTTTTTGCAAACATAAATCTTAACACACTAATTTCTATCATATTAAACTACTATCAATAGCTTCATAATTACTCAAAACTCAATCATATAGCATAGGTAATCTAATTATAATTTAAAAAATTTTCCTTCAAGCCATTATAATATTCTCTCCTCACAGTACTCTTGAGGCACTTCTTTGTTCTACGAACGTAGGTTTAATCATAGAAGTTATATCTCTTTTCTTCTTCATTTTACCAACATCACTTGATCTTTTTAGCAAGATTAACTAACAATTATCAATTTCACAGCTACTAATTGATATTATCAATTTCACACCCATTAAATCTTCTAGCAATAAAGACATTAAAGCCATGGAATTAGATGGTTTATGACAGAAAAATGATTGATGCAAACTCCTGTTGAAAGTTGTCAGCATTCATACTTACCCATTAAAGAGACGTATAGTTCCATAATTTGATTTCTTTACTTGATTCTACTTGATTGAACAAAAAAGGAAGAAAAGCTTATATGGTACAACAAACTGAAAGTGTGAGATAAGGCATTGTAAACTATAAGGAAATGTCTTAAAAATATATATATAAAAAAATACAAAGAAATGTCTTGAACCATCTCTAGAAATAGCTAGAGGGTCAAGCATGGGTGTTAGCCTTAGTTAAGTGCACGTGACTTAGATTAGGCATGGTTAACTCAGCCTAGCATAAAAAACAACTTGAACTAAAAAGGTCCAAATATCAAGTGGCATTTGATATGCTTCAAATTTTGATGCCAATGGTCATCGTCTTGGCTAGCTATGAATTTGATAAAAAAGACATGCTAAATAATTTTTTTGTTGAATAATTTAAAATGAAGTATTTGGAATACCTCAGATTTGTTTCTTGCAAAAAGGAAGATCAAAGAATGATATTATGAAGTCTCAAAAGAAGTATATTTTGAATCTTCTTAATGAAATTGGAATGGATGGACATAGACATGTTAACACACCTATTGATCCACGCATAAACCTAGAGAAATAATGATGGAGAACTTATTGATGTTTGACAAAAAAAGTGGGGGAAAAACTAATTTATTTATTCCATAAAAGATCTGATATAGCCTTCATTATAAACCTAGTCAGTTAATTTATGCACTAATCACAAAAAGAACATCCAAAGGCTGCATACAAAATCATGAAGTATTTAAAAAATTGCCCTTAAAATGATGAACTTTTCAAGAAAAGCATTAAGCACAATATTGAAGTTTACCAAACGTAGATTGGTAGTTTCTACTATTGACAGAATATCCATAAGTTATTTTATTTCTTTATATGAGGCAACTTTATCACATCGAAGAGTAAGAAACTTAATATAGTAGCTCGGAGTATTATTGAAGTTGAACATATGGCCATGTCCAATGAGGGTTGAACTATAAAAAATTATAGATTTTGCAATGAAACTATATTATGGCAACAAAGCATCATAAAGTAAAGCCCACAATCCTATGCAATACAATAGAACCAAGCGTGGGTATTGGGGAGGCAATCGCCATTTATAAAGAAAAAGTTGAAGTGGGAATTATTTGCATGCATTTTATTCCTATATCCTAGTAAACCATAGAGATCCTTACAAAGGATTGTTCAAATTCAATTTTGATTTTCTCATTAGTAAGTTGGGATTGATTGATATCTATTCACCAACTTGAGCGGGAGTAAAAATAGGAAATGGAAAAATAAGATCCAAGGGGAAGCCAATTGGATTATGAGAAAAAGAAAAGTGTTCATTGCATTTGGAAGTTTCACTACAAGAAAACAAATGAATGAAATGTTGGCTAAATTAATCGAAAGACATTTTTTTATTTGAATTTCAAATTTGTATGGTGTTTTCTTTTTAAAGTTATTATTTAAGATTAAATATGTAAGGATGCCAAATATCCTATAAATGTTGTACTGTTGTTCTTCATTAATAAGTCTAGATTTTTATCAAAACGTACACATAAACTTTGCATCGTTTTATGGAATCTGTCTAATTCTTCCATCAACCAAATATCTACAAACTTAATATCTCAATAAAGAAACAAAAATAATCAGTGGACTTGACAAAAGATCATAAAATTACCCATGAGTGGACATCTTTGCCAAAAGGTTAAGGTCTGTTTGCCATGAATCTCATTTTCTTATCCAGGAAAATGAAGCATGCTTGACAACACTTCCACCATAATCAAGTTTTAGATTTAAATATAAAATAAAGAACAAAAACTTTGTGAAGCTGGACAACAAGAACCTGCAGAAATCCCTTGCACAAATAGTATATTTGACATTTCAATGTTGGATTTTTTTTAATTGAAAAATGAAAATGGCATTGACCAAAAGTGCAGGTGCAGTATGTCCGTAGCATGTAATATATAGCATCAGTATGAAACTAGTCACACCACACGATAGAATATAACTATTTTTTAGCCAACAAACCACTAAACAAATTAGCACTATATATATACCTCAATAGAGGCGCGTATCCAATGCGTGGAAACAGAAGTAGATTGAAAAATACTAGCACACAAACTCTGTGAAAGACCATGAGACTCGATGATGAAATCAGCATTTGTTGCTTGGTCATCCAACAAAGTCCCTCCTCCTCCTCCTTTAACCCATTCAATAACTTCAGCCCGCTGATCAAACAAAATGAGCTAAAAGTTAGATGCAATAATATCAAGCTGTGTGGTCGCCAACATGAATCTTTTTCTCCATTATGTCCTACTAGAGTCAAATTATTATTTAACTAATAAAAAAATGACATTTCTAATACTTTCTAACTAGGTCTTTTTAGGTCTACCTCTACCTTTCTTAAAATAGGTCAAATCTTATACATCTACTCTCCTAACTAGATCATGAGAAGGTTGACATCTTATGTGACCAAATAATTTAAAGCGACTCTCTCTAATCTTATTTGCCACTGGAGCTACAAGCTAGATGATTAAAAAAAAAATTCTTGTAATACCACTAAATGAACGAAGAATTACAGAACTGAAGAAATATAAACTCAAACTATGGTTTAAAAAAAACAGCCAATCCAATTGGTTTTGCAATTTTTGTATTCATTTCCGCTGGGTTGTAAGACGAAATTGCACGTGCTTTATTTTTTTCAATTTCTGGTACGGACTTAAAAAAATTTAAATTTTCTCTTCCACACCTCCTTTATAGGTTTCAAACCAATCCCTCGCAGCAATTTATCCAACCCAATACCACCAAGCCACAGAGATAACCCCTGACAATAGGCTAACTATTTAATCTGAATAATAAATAAATAAAAACAGAATGTCACAACAACACGTCTTGACTAGGTCTTCCGTTAAATTGTTTTAACCTAAAGAGTCTTAACATATTTTAGTGATTCTATGGAACCTTATGATAATTTAAATATAAAACTATGATAAATTTATCTTGAACATTACTTTTTATTTTGAAGTTAAAATGCATAATTATAGAAAAAATTATAATTTTATTAAAAGTGCAGCCAATAGAAATCAAATCTAAGCACTGGAACTGTCAAAACCACCTAACTACTGAAACTGAAACTGAAACTGAAACAAATTGGTTCGACAGAAACAGATTGTGGTTTTCAAGACATTCACTTCAACAACTAACACAATTTTAAGCAATGGTATGACTCCAGATAAATCCATAAGAAAGCTGATAGCTGCCGAGTATTTTTAGAACCTATAAGGCGTATTCACAATAAATTAAAGCTCTCGTCAATTTAGACAGCAAACAGGACCCATAGAAACTTCATGGAATTGTCAACATTTAGTAAGACGTGATAGTTTATTCAAGCAATAGATAACAACACCGCAGCATGATAACTAGAGCGCATGAAAATACTTACAGGTTCTACCGGAAATGAGCTTGAAAAACAAAATGACTTCCCCTTGAAAACTGCTTTACTATTCGAAGAATCCCCCCTGGCAGAAACCATATGCAATTTGCTTTCATGTGTCTGATTAACTTTCATAATGGAATGCTGGCGTGATGCTTCACACTTAGTGACTACTTCTGTGAAGCCATTAACGATTGGGCAGCTCTCATTGGTTCCTTGCTTTTCATTAGATAACGGCTTGGATACAAGAACTTTATCCTCTGTAACAGGACTAGTTGTTGCAAAAGAAAAAACACGAATATTTTCAACCTTCTTGACACCTTGATCAACAACAGATGGCTCCATACAAGAATATGTTGAATCTATATATCAGGATAACGAACGTAATAAAAAAAAAAATCAGGCTGATTCTTTAGATAATAAAGTATCCTACAAAATTCAAGATGTTTGAATGGATGAAATGTTCTCAAAGGAAGACAACAAACCCTTTGAAATCATTAAGGCGGAAAAAATGTGCCTGGATGATACAGGAAGCTCTCTCTTTGCCTGATCAGATTCCTCAAGCCAGGTGGCATTAACCACATTAATGACGCCCGAAACAGCCAAGCGTCTTATTTCTTTCTTTTCTCTGGGAAAAAAATATCAATAGTTTCCGAATCAAGATTCATTAAACAATGTTATGACAACCCCTAAATGGCAGTTCAAATAAAAACTTACGACTCTGAAGGTGTGCCTAAAATTATGTGTGACAGCTTTTCACTCAATAACATATGCCGAGTGCCTCCACCTCTTCGTATCATATTAACTAACTTTCTCAATTCCTTCTCCTCAAAGCCAGCCAGAAAGATTCTGCAACTTGATAAATAAAGATCATCATCTTCTTCTGAATCTTGAGCCACTCGGCAATCAAATTTAACTTTGTCTTCCACATGTTCAGAATTTGTTTCAACATTTTTGTCTTCCATCTTCCCAGGATATGCTTCTGCAACTGCAACCTCACTTTTAATGGTAGAGGTTTCTGAAATAGAGATGTTCTGTGATGAAGCTGCTTCTAGGTCCTCAATATTGGTTGGTGGCAGAAGCTGTGAGGTTACATTACTGGGTTCTTGGAAATATTGCTCCTTATGCAAAACTTTTGCATCATTACCAGAAAGAGAAATTTCAAGAACAGGATACAGCCGCTCATCCAGACAGGCTACATATTAGATAAGCATAAATAATGAATTCAGTAGTCAGTATTACATGCAAAAGGTGGCAGGCAAACTACTAAAAACCAAGTATGCAATCATTGCTACTAGGTGAAAACGATGTACATCTTAGTGCAAACTTGTCTAGATATCTGAAAGAGAGAAAAAAGGAAGGAGATCAGCAACCATTACCTCGTCTTGAAATGGATTGATCAATCCATTTGCGGCTAACAATATGTATATGACCCCATCTTTGTGCAACAACATACTTGTCTCCAGCTGGAGCTTTTGGAACGTCAAGGTCAGAATTTGTAATATCTGATGAGGACCCCTAAAATATGGGAACTAAAAAACAAAAAGTGCTATATTGCAACTACAAATTAAACTAAAGAATGAATGAATTCTAGAAATGAATGACCGTAAAAACAAATGAAAGAAACACCAGCAATAAGTATCTAATAATTCTAACGAGATAGACTATTGAAAAATGCAAGAATAATGCAATGGGAAAGGTCTTTAGTACTATAGATGAAAACCATTCCAACTATAACAGAATAGGAAATTTTCAGACATCGAATAAGCTTAGGTTAATAATCAGCGAACATCATCTTACGTTGATGATTATCAACATTTGCTCATCACTGTCCTTTGGGAGAATTTCACATTTTTCAAGTATGAATCAATGGCATCCATTGGAGGAGTTAAACTTGAGTTCTTGCGACTCGTACTGATGCTGCTTACTGGTTTGCACCTCACAATATCTGAACATTAGGCCTTAACTAGATCGGAAGCTTTGGACAGTTATATGAGTTCAATTATGTACAATACAGCAAAAACATGATGCCTTGAGCATAAACCATCTGGAAAAACGTCCTCTGCAGTATTCTTTTTTCTGAGTGAGCTTAAAAATGAATCTATTGCACTGCCAATCATGTTGCTTTTTATTTTTAACTTGCTCTATAGTTTAAACTTCAACATTAGGTTCATATGAGATATCATGGACCATGGTCAAAGTTTAAAATGTATATTTTTCTTCTTTAAAATAATGCCATGATTTCTCTATTTTCTAAAAGATTGTTTGGTTAGATATTTTCAAAATGCAAAACACCTGGAATGCATACATTTAAAAAATGTAAGGTTGTTTAGTTGGATGCAAGTTAAAAACATAAAAAAAGAATTATGTCTATTTAAATATATTTCAAACACTCTCTCACTCTTTCTCTCTCTTATTTGTAAACTCATAAGGAAAGCAAGTGGCAAGGCGTAAGGAGATGGCAGACTCGGGAGGCAATGAGTAAAGTGGTAAGGGGTATGGTGAGGAATGAAGCGGCACAAACTACCTAGAGGTTGATGCAGCTTCGGATTTGAAAATCACCTGATTCAAGTAATTTTCAAATGCATGAAAAATAGGGGTTTGAGGTTATTCAAATCTCTCAAATTTTTATCTTATTTTTCTTCAGTTTCATACCAAACACTAAAAAACATGAAATGCAAAAAAAAAAAAAAATACAATCAATACTAATACTTCTGATCAAACCACCCCTAAGTTGAATATCCATTATTACGCTTTGGCATCAATCATCTTAAAGAAGGTGAAGATCCTTGTAGTTGTAGCTGCTTTGGGTTTTGTTTCCATGTATTGTGCAGGCTCAGATGACCGAACAACCCACAAAAACCTCATGGTCATGGCCAACATTTCTGTTCATGAACAGCTATGCATCCTTTATAGTTGACACTTGACCATAATACAATACGGAGATAATAAATTAGGCATGAAAGATCCAACCATCATGAAGTAGTGAAAAGGAAAACTAGAACCAAAGATCAACGAAGGCCTTACTCAAACTTTTGTTACTTATGTTAAGTTCTGAAGTTTAATTTTTTTCCCTACATAGAAAATGTGATACATGACATAGTCACATGTAGCTTTCCTGTGTTTGTATCCGAGAATTAGCATTGTAATTCTCCACAATCAAGTCATAGTGTCATAGTGATATATATAGCAACAAAAATATAATGTAGACATCAATTGGATGGGTGAACATAATTAAATTCTTTGTATGTTTTTGTGCACCAATAATATTGCTTGCATTCTGTTAGGCGGACCCCTCCGATCCTTACTTACTCTAGGCGGGCCCCACATGGAGTTAATTCAAGGGTTGGAGGATAAATTTGAATGGAAAGGGGGGCAAATTTGAATAGAAGGGCTGTTTAGGGATTTTGTATGGGGATGAGAGTTAAAGAGGGGGAAAGGGGGGAATTAGGTCCTCATCTTGAATTTGAATGAAAAGTTTGAGATCTCATTATGTGCTTGGGCTCTAGGGTTTGCTAGAGACTTGTGGAGAGTTGTTCTTCCTCTTAAATCGAAGGACGTTGTATCTTTCTTTGTTTTCTTGCATCTACTAGTGGAAACCTTGTTTCTTTTCCTTATTTTTCTCTGTTTGGGTGCATTTCCTGCTGCGGAGCTGCTGTAAAACTTGCTCACTGTTTTAGGCTGATTTTGACTAGGGTTGCTTGCGAACTCAAGTATTACCTTAGGGTTACTTGCGAACTCAAGTATTTCCTATCACATTCCTTTTTGCTCTTGTGTTTGAATGAGGTTTTGCCTATTTCCCAATAATTTCATTTTAACTGAAGTTGTATATAAGAAAGGATTGAAGCCACTAATATAAATGAGCTATATCGATTAGATAAATTACATTAATTATGTCAAGCATCTAAAGGATAGTACAGATACAAGATCCATGCAAACAAGTTCAACGCAATTGGAAAAGTAGTTATGAGGAATTACGAGATATAGTTTCAAATTGAAGGACATTGAGACAGCATGCTTGAGGTAAAACTTTGCGTAGTGCAATTCATCAAAATAATAGCTAGAAGTTCAAACTTGTCTCCTCATGTTGAAATAGTTAATTGAATGGGCACTATATGAATCCAAACCAATAGCGCATTGGCAATAACAATAACAGAACTAAGAAACTCTGGAAAGTTCGCATCTGTAAGGAAACTAAAAAAAAAAAAAGAATACTAAGGGCATCAATGAAAAGGATATATCTGAAACTAAATGGGAGCATTTTTTGGTCAGATCAGCAGAATACTGGCCACCATTCTGTATGATCAGCCTTTCAATCTCCTTCCGTTCATCTGGAAACATAAAATCGCTCACTAAAAATAGTCCAAATTAAAACATAGAAGCAAAAATTAGATTCAATAGTTGAGTTTGCAACAAATTTTGTGAAAACCGAATCATAGTATCATTGTTAAATGCAAATACGCTTACACCTTTATAATTCAAGGATAGATTACCAACAAAAGGACATCTTTGAGAAAAATACTGTCACTAGTTTAAACTCTGTGGTGTACATAGGCGTTGTAAAGAAAATATCAATGAAAATAGAGATGATCAATGTTTATTTGTTGGTTATTAGTCAATCCTGCGATACAGACCTGCAGGAATTCTGGTAACACAGATTGTCAACCCCATAAAAGGAAGAATCCTGTAAGGCTCTTGGGGCACTACTCGATGCTCAATCCAACATTGGCATAACCAGCTCATGTTAACGATGGGTTTCTTAAGAACATGTAAAGCCCACTGCAAACAGAAAGAAGTTACAATTAACCAATGAAAGACACATAACAGATGCATATTTGACTGGTATGTCAGGATGATTTGTGAAAAGGTCAACGCTGTCATATTAAATGTCTTTTACAATAGCTCAATAAAAATTATACTAGAGATGCATAACATTTATGTTAAGTAGTACATGAGCATGTTGCCAGCTTATCCGGAGATTAGCATCTAACAAAGTGCAGTAAGATGCCCACAATTCCATCAATTTACAACCAAACTAATAAAGTTCAAGTAGGCTTATAAAAGCTTGTTTTTATGATGGTATGCTTTAACTAGATAAATAACTAAGCAATATTAGAAATTTAAAATAAGGGTACAACCAAGTTGAGTTTATGAGCTATATGCTAGTTCAGCGCAGTTTTTTATCAACCAACAAAACACAATCTCATTCCAGGCTTGACCTCAATAAAGTAAAAAACAAATGGTTCAAGAGCAGCCTTTTTGCTATCAAATGTAATAAAACAATGATGAGAGACAAAACACTGGTTATGAGATAGATAGAGAGCATATGAGAAAAGAAAATTTAAGAGGAAAAGAATGGGGCATGTGGAGCGTTACAGTTAAGCCATTTGAGTTTTCTGTAATATGATCTTTGATTTAATTGGTTGTTCTTTTTTCTGCAGATTTTTACTGATATTTCGTCCTTTATCTTTTGTTAATTATTATTCATTAATATTTCCATTTATTATTATTATTGGGAGTTAAAAAATATTAAGAGCACTAAAACGCCAAAATGAGACACTAATCACAGTCTATCTTCCACTCCAAGGGTCCACTATTATCCATGAAAGTATTAGAGACCTAGCAAAATGTTTTTTATTGCCTCTATCATGACGTTTTGAGTAAAGTTCATTAAAATAGCTTGCACCACAAGATGATTTATGGTTGCCAATGCAACTTCTCTCTTTAGTGTTACTCCTTCATATTTAGTTATGCTTGCAATGAGGCTATGCCCTTTATTCTAGACCATTAACAACTCCCAACAACTTGCAATCGTTTTGATCTACTTCTTTTAATTGTTTCAATACATATTTTTTATATTTATGCAATTAATATATTAGATAACCTCAAAGAAGTACATGACTTAGATCCACCAAAACCTCCACTATAGTCTACGTTTGCCAATCCTTCAAAAAAGAGTATACTCAACCCAAGGAGAATTGAAATAAGAAATTAATTAGATTATTTTTACTTCATTGTTTTAATATTTAAGTGAAAAAGGGAAGTTGTAACATTTATTCACTCGTAGACCTCATTTCAAACTCTAACCACTGCTTCCTACTTCCACTTCTTACTATCAAATCCAGCTACCTCCATCACACCTCCCACTACAAACTTGGGAGAAGGTCATGAAGGGCTCCCACCTCACATTTTGAACACCAGTCACCACTAAAACACTAACTGGAGATCAATAAATCCCAATCACCTCTTAGAGGACCCTAAGGTTACTAACATGGGCAGCCACCCTTCTTTCGTGAACCCATTATAAAAACATACCCATGTTTTTTTGCCTCTAGTTATATAGTGGGATTTCTTGAAGATAAAAAATGCATATTTAACAAATTTTAACTGTTGAAATCTCTAAAAAATGAAAATGATCAAAGAGAAAAGGTTTTACCTTTCAAATCTCAAAAAAAAACAGTGAAAATATGGTAGAAATCAACTTGAACAGCAAGGAGGGTCAGAGAGGCCGAGAACTTCGTTCAATACAGAAAAAAACATGAAATGGGAGAGGGGAATGATTTGGCACGAAATAGGGCTTTTTCTGGCGATATTTCTGATATATTTTTCTGTCAAAATTTAAGAAATGCTTTTGAAGAAATAATCTGCCAGAAAATCCATCAGGGTCATAATTACCGATGGAATTTGTGGTGGAATTTTTCCATAAGAAATTCCATCGATATTGAGCATTTTCCCTATTGTGACTCCAAAATCACAAGTGTCTCTCTCTCCTCTAAATAAGTATATATCTCTCTTCAACTTATTATCCCTCACCTCTCTCTCTCTCTCTCTCTCTCTCTCTCTCTCTCTCTTCATGGTAGGCGCAATTCCCAAGATTTTGGCACAAAAATTCTCTACTAGCGAGAATCTCCTAGGAATCAATAAGAAAAAGGTAATCAACGAAAAATTCAAAAGCAAGAAAAAAGGACCAAAGTTTTAGAGAACACCGATAGAGGTCCACCATAAAATTAGCATGAAACAATTTTTCTTCCAGGTCAACGGCAGCTCTAAATTCCAATATTTGAGATCAATTATTCAATTTAACAACTCGGATAATGTGTATCTACACCTTTAATTGTTAACCCAAATATCATTACAAATACAAACCAACTAAATATTTGTAGAACTCCAACACAATGGACATTAATTTGCCCAAGTTATAGTTGCACTGTAGAGCAATTCCTAACAGAATAATTGACTCATATTTATGATCATGCATTCAAGATGATACACTTAGCTTGCACCATGCATAAAATTTATACTAATGATGGAAATGTAAGCATTAAAAATACAAAGCACTACATGACAAACTTACATTAGACATAACAAAAAAAATTTAGAATCATGGATAATTGATAATTCAGTGCCATCTTCAAATCAGTGAATGGAAGGAGCTTTTTCGGTAAATAATCAGAGACAACAAGATAAATTACCTATGTTCAATAATTCATTAAATAATATTATGGTAAAAACGTATAAGTGCATCTACAAATATATACGTATTATTATAAATTAACCAACTTACCTTATACTTAGCAGCCAAAACATTCTTCACAATGACAAAGTTCACATCCATTGCTGCCTTGGCCTGCAAAACTCCACCCATAGCAGTGACTAGCTTTTCAATCATGGCCTGCAAACAAAGTTGGCAAGACAACATAGTCACGTAACAGAAAAATAATGCTCAAAATGAGCTTCTAATGAAGATGATGATGAAGCATGTACCATTTGAAACCGAACTTCAGAAAGAAAGAAAAACCGTTGCTGAAATAAATGTTTTTATCATTTGCTATATTTAGACCAGTTCCAAACAATGAATTTATGGTCGCATGTGCATTGGACGGCAAGCTGACCTCCCTAGATGGCAATTCTTGCAATGTTGGCTTAGATGGCATTCTTGAAGGATTCAACCGGGATGGCAAGCGAGCAACCCTTTATGGCATTTCCTGCAGTTTGTTCCCAATTGCCACCTTGCAGTTTGAGCTTATATTGTGCGGGTCAGAATTGGAGAAATCTTGTGGCTGATTTCTAGGGATCCTATCTATTGTATTTAGTAATTTTTATGTCAAAAACTATTGCATTATTTAGATTTTCTTTATAACTAGGATATGTTTATTTATTCCATGTTTTTGAGTTTTTCAACCTAACAAATCTCTACATATTAGGCTAGATTTTGAGTTTTAACCAATATATGCATGGAGAATTATACCACTATTTCTCCCTATCGCTGAGACAAGGATCATTAGAATTAACCAATGTTGCACCGATACAACTATTTATGAAGGTGTGTTGTATCCGATACACTGATACACGGATACGCCTCCGATACGACACCAATAAGTGTCGGATACGGCAAAGCCGTATCCAATTAAAATACTATTTAATTTCAAAAGGGCACGTGTATCAGATATGCGTGTATGTTCAAAAACAAAAAAAAATTCAAAAAAAAACACGCGTATCCGATAGTTAAAACTTCATGTGCTAGACAATTTATGTTTATGTTTTTGTTGTTGTACTAGACATTTAATGCTTACTTTTATTTTGATATTATAAGCTACTAGGCTACAAATGATGTTGATTTTATTTTATTTTATTTTATTTTATTTTATTTTATTTGTAATTTCAAATACTTTGTTTTGATTGTTTTCATAATTTTTATGTATGATTTATAAATTATAATGACGTGTCCGCGCCGTATCCATATCCCGTATTTTTAAGAATTGACATGTCCCTTATCCGTAACATGTCGTATCTATGTCACCGTATTTGTATCCGTGCAATATAGGAATTAACTCTAAGCTTTGCTAAATTTTGTTTTAAATATACCAAAGCTTTCTTGTAAGCTCTTATATGTAAGCAAGATAGCAACTACAAAATCGCATTCATATCAAAATATTGTGAATTTTAGGACCAAAGAGTAGAGAAGATTGACAATGCTAAAGATGTTAGAGGTCTGTACTACTTTGATGAGAATTCAAAAAAGTGTAACCATGTCATTGCTATCAACAAAATAATTTTCCTCTTGCTAAAAAAATGAACATGTAACGTTATGGTACAATAGGTTAGGCCATTATAATTTTTCAAGTCATAAAAACTTATTTCCTCCTTTGTTTGAAATAAAGATATTTTCAATGTGAAATATATCAATTTACCAAACACCAACAAGCTGCTTTTATGCCTAAGCCTTAGAAAACTATGAAACATTTTTCTCTTATGCATGGTGATATTTTGGGCCCATCCAAATCCAAAATCTTTATTCTAAATGGTGATTCATTACTTTTATTGAAGATCATACTCGTGTATGTTAGTTATACTTGTTGAATGATAAATCTCAAAGGGAACAAACTTTCAAAAATTTCCACAAATGTGGTTGAAATGTATTAAACATAATAAAAATAACCAAAGTAATGCCTTTTAATGGATCGCCATTCTTACATAACCAAAAAACTAATAAAAATAAACTTGATCTTAGAGCCTTAAAATATATCTTTCTTGAATATGGGGTAAATCAAAAAGGGTATAAATGTTATTTCCCTAAAAAAAGAAAATATTTATATCTATAGAAGTTAACTTCTTGGAAAATAAACCCTTCTTCCAAAAACATTCACTTTAGGGGAGATTAAGACTTAAGAGAATATTTTTAATATTATTTGCATCTAAAATCCTCTAACCTATAAATGCCAGGAATATTAAATCTTATTAGACCTGATGAAATTGAGAATATTGAAACTCCTATTTCAAATAATGATATTATCACGCAACAGTCCCTGTAAAATCATGTTTATTTCTACAAATATGGGATATTACTCAAGAATTGCTTATTACTCTAATAAAAGAATCTCATACATGTACTCAACATCTTATGGCAAATATGATGAAATATTAACAGTTGCTCTACTCAATGAGAAAGTTGTCTCCAACTTGGTAGAAAAAAAACATTGGAAGACATTCAACAACCTAAGAATGTCATTACTGCATAATGAAAATGGGTCTCAACTATTAAATATCAATCTGATGGATTCATTGAGAGATACACAGCTTCACTAGTTGCAAAAGGATTCACCAAACATACATGATCAACTTTTATGAAACATCTGCTCTGGTTGCTAAATTTAACACTATTCAAGTTATTCTCTCAATGACAATCAAACTAAACCAGAAAATTCACCAACTAGATGTTAAGAATACACTATTGAATGATAACTTAAACAAAGTCAACATAGATCTTCCTCTAGGGATCACTAAATTGGAAAGATATGCTTAATATGGAAATCAAAAATATCTATTTATGAGTTCAAACGATCACTTAAAGCTTAGTTAGAAAAGTTCAACAAAACAAAATCACATCAACAATGATTTAAACAGGCTTACTCTTATCACAATCTAATCTACAGATACCTAAAGGGAACCTTGAAAGGGGGTTTTTCTTCAAGAAAGAGGAATCCAAAATTATAAAATCCTATATCAATGCTAATTAGGCAGTTCCATAGTTGATTGAATATTTACATTAAGGTATTGCGCCTATATGTAAGGTAACCTTGTAACATGAAAAAAAAGTAAAACTTTGTGCAAAGGAGTGGGCTAAAGCTGAACTCAGAAACTTGTCCAGTGAGATTAGTGCACTAATCTGACTAAAGTTGCTCCCAAAAAACTTCAAATAATTATCAAAACTCCCTAAGATTACTATCATTAAAGCACACAACCCTATCTATCTATGATCAGACCAAATATGTGGAAGTAAATACACATCAAAAGAAAATTTCAAAATAAAGATCCCCGTGTTTCAAATATTTCATTTTCTAAGCTGACTATTGAGATCTTCACTTAAGGACTGATGATATCGTTATTTGAAAATAAGATTGACAAACTTAATTAACATGATGTTTACAACCTAGTTTGGCAGAGTTTTGAAATGTGTTGTAGCTCCTATCAAAAGAAAGTGAATATATTTTTTATCATATGCTATATTTATAGCAACCAAGAACAAGGAATTTCTGCTCACAATGGAATTGGACAGCATGTAGACCTCCTTAAAAGGCCATTCCTACAATTTGGAGTTGTAGGTTTCTCTCCCCAAATGAAATGCTTGCTGAATTGAGTAAGGACAGTCGATGTGTGTCCCTGTCAGCTATTTCCTATAGTCCTTTCCTCCTTGCCACATTGTGATTTGGGCTTGAATGATTGGCGACTTTAAAGCAATCTTGAGGCTAAATTTAGGAATTCTACCTATTATATTTAATACTTTTCATATAAAAATCTGTTGTATTGTTTAGCTTTCATTTATTGCTAGGATATTTATATATCTTCCATGTTTTACACTTTATAAATCTGTATATATTGAACCAAATTTTGATCAATACCAGTACGAAGTATTCTACCATTCTTTCAAACTTATTCTCCTCTGCCTCCTTTCTTTGAAACAACGAAGCCTTTCTCCATTATTTCATGGTGCCAATGGGATAATCAACATGTCAACGTAAAAGAACACCAGGTATTCTTTAGTAGACCATAACTAGCATATTTCTGTGTAATTTTATTTTTTATTTTTTTTTTTGAAATTGTTAAATGCTAAAACAAAACAAAATTGGAAGTTATATATTCGTGAAATCATGCCATGCCACTGCAAAAAGGCAAGAAATGGAAATAAGATAAGACAAATGGACTTTTGGGTTGGGCGGGAGGGAATGGGGGTGGTTTAGAAGTAGAATAGTTCCAAAAACGAAAATGAATACAAAGAAGTCATCAAGTAGTGGCGTTTACATATCAAATTACCTTTTCATCCCTCTCAAATCCAGAAGCAAGAACTTTTACTCCATCCATTGCAAGGCAGCAGGTATAGCCATGCTTGGGCAACATCCTGTACTCTTTCGCACATGAGAAAATACATTGTGGACCTAGAAGCAAGCATTCAAATAGAAACAAGATTATCAAAAATAATGCCTAAAAATGTTTTAAACAACTTCATAGGGAAATTGTATGCCATCTGGTATCAGGAATCAATAATTATTTTATAGTATAAACAATTATAAGCTATCTTATTTTTTCCTTGCGAGAAAATTCTATAAGATGGTGGTGAAAACTACAATGCTTTATGCTGCAGAATGTTGGTCATTAAAAGAGAAATATAATATTAAGTTAAGTGTTGCAGATATGAGGATGATCAAGTAGATGAGTGCTTTAAACTTAGAGTTAGGATATGAAATGACCATATACGTGAAAAGGTTGGAGTGGCTCCAGTGAAAGATAAGATTAGATATAGTCTAATTAGATGGTTTGGTCACATAAAATGGCGGGCCTTTCGATGACCTAGTTAGGAAAGTAGATGTATTAGATTTGGCTAATGTTAAGAAAGGTAGAGGTAGACCTAAAAAGACTTGATTAGAAAATATTAGAAATAACATTTCTTTATTAGATTTAAATGAGAATTTGACTCTTAACAAGGCACAATGGAGAAAAAGGATTCATCATTCAAGTAGCAAACCCCAAATAGCAGGATAAAAGCTTGATATTGTTGTTGTTGTATACAAATTTTGAATGTTAACAACCTTCTCTATTGAGAACATATGACTTCACTGAAAAAAGTGGGCTTTCAAGGTCCATTGTAAGCATTACAATATAAAGGTATTCGCATTCAATTTATATAAACAATAGTGATGAGGTTTAAACAATCAATTTCAATACCATTCAAAACAAATGGGATAAGTCATGACTTTGATAGGAATTACTTAGTTCACAAGTAATTCTAATCCAAACCAATAAATTTACAGCAGCAAACTGCTGTCCACAGCAGGAAAACAGGGAAATCTGAGAGAAAACGTAAGAAACGACTTGTATTTCACTAGCAATGAAAGCAAAACAAAGAAAGATATAACGTTCTTCGATTCGAGAGGAAGAATAACTCTCCACAAGTCTCTAGCAAACCCTAGAGCCCAAGAACACCAAGAGATCTCAAACTTCTCCTTCAAATTCAAGATGATCCTAATTTCCCCCCCAATCTCCTAATTAAACACAAAATAATCATAAAGGACAATAATGGATTTCCTAAAACAGCCCCCTCATTCAAATTTCTCCCTCCCAAATCAAAATTAATCCCACGTGGGGTCCACAGGAAGCTCCGCCTCTTGCTGCCGTTTCCGCCCAGCCCGTCTCGCGTAGCAGTGGACCGGTCTCTGTTGGACCGGTCCAACCGGCCCATCTTGGGCCGGTCTAACAGACTTCTTATAATGTTACTTAAGTCATCACTATGTGAAAAGCCTAGTCTTGCAGGGAAAATATTCCATTTTAAAAGATGCAACCTCGTGAACTTCAACCATGGCCCATTAGAATATTTAAATTTAAGAAGTCAATATTTCTTTTGTGAATTATGAGGCCTGAAAATTCATGATTTATCTGAACATAGCGAGACTTTAAAAATAAGAATGTAAGTGATTCCTTATTTCCCCGCCATTCATCCAAGTTCTTCCTCTAAAAACCAAGTAAACCAAGTGATAAATAAATAAATATTTTAGAGCAATTCTTCATCGATAGTTTACCTGGCAGTTCAGACACTGCCTAAATTTTCAAGTGTCACCATCATCATCACCATTAACCTTATCCTAAACTTTTGAGGGTAAGATTTATGAACCTTGTTCTCAATTTGTTTTATTAAGTGCTCCACAAAGCAATAAACTAATTTTGCACAAATCATTTTACACAACTATAATGTTACATATGTTGAGTCCTTTTGCAATTTTATAAAAACTACAATTAAATATCCATAATATTCCCTTAGTACAATACTCCTCATGCACTTCACCTTAACTAAGCAGCCTTAATTTTTGAATTAGTATCTATTGATCTATATAATGAATAAATGAACACATCACACGTCACTTCATATTCTAGTAATATTGGGTTAAAATTATTGATATCACATTCATTAAAAATTGTATATCATATATTCAATCTTTGTTCTATCAATTCTAAATTCTTTATATTTTTTTAATATCTGTTCTATTTTCAACTAGCTTCAATAGAGATTCACCAATTGAAACAATCTTATGATGTTATTATTCAATCACCAAACTTCCAGCTTCAAAATCATGCACACTACTGTCAAAGGCCAAATACCTTCAAACCTCAAGTACCAACAAGTAGCTATAATACAAACTAGACAAGCATGCACACATTCTTTACACCGGCACATTAATGCTGAATTTTCATCTGAAATATTAAACAAAACGGTCGCTTGTGCACCTAGAACCTTCAACAGATCAAAAGGCAATATTCAAGTTACTCTTTCCCAGCACCAGTAAACATAAAACATAACCATTATAAAAACTCAAAATCAGACCAGCAAAACAAGATGGAATGGTACATAAGGAACCTACCTACAAGATTGCAGCCCTTTGCCTTAAGATCCTCAAACTTTTCCTGCAATTCAAGAAAAAAAGGGGGAAAACAAATGACATATTGGCCATTAGATTAGATCATTAGAACGAAAGGAAAACTAGCGAGATAGATCTCACGTGATCCGGAGAAGAAATGACGTGGTAATCGTTGGGGGCCGTCCGGGAGGCATCGCAGCATAGGAAGACCTGAGCGCCGTTCAGTCGGAGGGCATCGTGGATGGCGTCAAAAACCTCGGGCGGGACCAGGTTTCTGGAGAGGAAGACATTCGTACCGCTAAATGTGCCACTCCTCGCAGACATTGGGGGCGTCTTTTTACTCCCTCGCCGACTCTGGCTTGCTCTATAGCAGGAGAGGGAGCCCTCGCTTGCAATCTATTCAAGGAAATGCTTGAGTGCGAAAAAAATAAAATAGGCGGGAAGACAAAATGGTCAATAGGGCAAACAAAATCTCGTCACTACGTCCAAACTGCAGTTCACGCGAAGCACCGAAGCGGAAGCGGAAGCAGCAGCGAAGAAGTGCCGACGAGTTTTTGGTCCATTGGCTTCCTCGGTTAAAGCGGGTATCTCACCCTTCGGGTGTGACGCCCCAGGCATCCATAGTGAAAGGATTCGTCTGACATTCTGATCGAACTCCATTCCAGTTGCCTTGCTCGGATCTGAAATTGTTAACCACATATAATGAGCTTTACAAAGCCCAGCAGATCACCAAAGCCTACAACTGAAATCAAAGCACGGTACTGCTATCAATATGCATGTCAGTCAATCAAATCCATAACAGTCAATGGTCAAATTTCTTCAGTTCGTCCAGTACTAAACCCAGTTCGTACAGACGAACTGCACTAAAAAAATCAGCTTTTTGAAGGGTTTTACATCGGGGCTGTTTGGTATGCGGATTTAGCCGGATTTAAGGCCGGATTTGGCGAAATCCATCCAAACGCCTAAAATGCAAATCCAAATCTCACGGTAAATGGAATCCGCGGTTGACGGAAAAAGAGCACTTCTCGCGGTAAATCCCGCATTTCGCAAATCCACCGGCGGATTTACGGGATTTGGCAGAAGAAGCGCGCGAAAGGGAGAAAGTTACCTTCACCGAGCTCCAGTTATTACTTCAGATCAAAAAAATGTCGTAACTTCCGATCCAAAAGGTAATGTCGTCGAAGGAGCAAAGTCGAACGGCTACGATGAAGAACTCGTAACTGTGATTCGGCCGTGTCGATACATGCTCTTCCACACTTGATCCGGAGGGGAACCTGGGAATGCTATGTTCGAATTTTTTTTGATATTGCTCAGTATTGTTTTGCAAAAATCGAGAAATACCGCTCTGTGAATATCAAAACTATACAAATACCGAGTTGTACCGAGTTTTTCTACAACTCGGTACAGAAAAACTCGATACAACTCGGTATTTGCTCAGGATTTGCTCGGTATTGCTAGGGATTTGTTCGGTATTGCTAGGTATTTGCTCGGTATCGTTAGAAAAAACTAGGTACAACTCAGTATTTGCTCAGGATTTTCTCGGTATTGCTAAGGATATGCTCGGTATTGCTAGGTATTTGCTCGGTATTGCTAGAAAAAACTAGGTACAACTCGATACAACTCAGTATTGCTCGGTATTTGCTCGGGTATGTGCAAGGATTTTCTCCTGGTATTGCTTAGTATTTGCTCGTATTGCAGAAAGAACTCGGTACAACTCGGTACAGACTCAGTATTTGCCAGGGATTTGCTTCGGTATTGCTAGGGATTTGCTCGGTATTGGCTTAGGTATTGCTAGAAAAAACTAGGTACAAACTGGTATTTGCTTATGTGTTTTGAAATATATCGAAAGGTGATGGGATGTTGTTCGGCGTCGTCAAGGATTTAAAAAAATGCAGCGACTAGAACCCAAAAAACAGCGGGTCGGGTCGGGACTTTTTCTTCATGGCTCCGTGCTCGCTAAATATTGGTGGCCGAACGTAGAAGGAGTCGTACGTTCACTACGGACCAACAAAAAGTTCTAACCCTGCGAGCGACTTTATTAAGTAATTATTAGTTATTAAAATTAATCAAAATATAATAGACTTAATAAATAATTAGTATTAAAATTAATATAATTTTCTCATTAAATATAATTGATATAAGAAATGTATTAAATCATAATAATTAAGTGTACAATAATAATTAATAATTAGTAGACTAATTAGAGTGATTATAAGATAATTAATAATGTAAATTTAATAATACCTTTAAATAACTAATAACATTATTTAGTATGAGTATTAGTTAAATAATAAGTTATTTCAAAAAAAATAACCTAATTAAATAGATTCAAATACTTATTAAATTAATAAATAAATAAGTAATTTGATAATTATAATTATAAATTTGATATAATTATTATAAATTAATATAAATAATAATAATAATAAGTTAGTATTAATAAAGTTTTGTTATATTGTATTTAACTTTCCTGTCATGGACTTTAAATATTATCCTAATATGTATGTCAACTTTTTTAACCGCCACTTAATCTGAATTGAACCAGTCAAAACAGTCACACAGGATTTAACTGGATTTATCATGAATGTTACCAAACAGTTTTCAGGATTTAACCTCCCAGGATTTTGTAAATCCGGATTTGGAAGATTTACGAAATCCTACTTAAATGAAATCCTAGATTCTATATGCTGGAAGTTTCGGATAGTTCGATTGGGCGAGTATCTTCTCGTCGAGCTTCCTCAAAAGTTTCCGGCTCCTTCCAACATTTTCAGAAGACGATCTCCATAAGGTCTCTCGCTTGAGAAATTATTGTGTACTCAGGCTTCGTTTGGGACGGCTTTTTTATTGCTTTTTAAAACGGAGTTTTAGTACAAAAATAAAAAAAATTGTACTAAAACTCCGTTTTAGAAAGCAATAAAAAAGCTGTCCCAAACGAAGCCTAAATCTGAACTTACAATAAGGACGGATGCTCCGAATTTACTGTTTATTTTACTGTGTATTTTTATATATATAATTTTTATACGTATTTTTTTGTGTATTTGTTATGTATTTAAGTATTATTTATTTGATACTTATTTGCCAAAAAAAATTATGTATAAAAAATACGGAGTAAAATAAGTAATAAATACGCAACAATCCGAACCTTATTCTGCGTTCGGACTGCGTACACAATAATTTCTCCTCTCGCTTTAACTGTGGCAGGCTATTCTTTAGATAAAGGACTTTTTGGGAGTAATTTTGTGTCCGGACATGGAAAGCTTCCAGAGACCAATAACAAAGCGTCGCGTCACTTGGGCGCTCGATAATGTGCTTGGTACAGCACTCGGTATCGCTATTCGTCCTAATTTTTTATTTTTGTCCGGACGTAGTAATTTTTCCTTTCTTAGAGGCTCTTTGCTCTATTATGACTAAAGTCTTGAAGCTAAAAGAGTAAAAGGTTTGTTAACAATTTTATTTTAAATGATAGTTTCTTTTCCATGGAATTCTCTTGTCTTGAAGATTATCATGTTATCTGGATTGGAGGACCTTGATTTTTCTTTGGCTTACCATTTATTGTTCAAAAATGGTCTCCTCTGTTTAGACCTAAACGAGGGAATTTACCTCAATTCCTCTTTGGATTAAAATGGTATATATTCCTTTAGTTTGTTGGACCGATAAAGGAATTTCTAAAATTAATGGGTTAATCAAGGTTCTGATTGCTGATTCGCTTACCGCAAAACTGCGGCAGCTGACTTTTGCCAAGGTCTATGTTTTGGTGAACAAAGATTCTGGTCTTCCTGATGAGTTTAATGTTTCAATTGTTGGTATTATTATTTGCTTAAAATTAGTTTATGACTGGAAATTGACTCTGTGTTTGAATTGTGGCTCGATTGTTCACCCTTCTTTTCTGTGTCCTTCTTAGTCTAAGGTTTAACTTGAGAATATTGACAAAATTATTTTAGATAAGGGAAAACAGTTTGATCAACCTAGAGGTAGAAGTAGAAGTATGGTTTCTTGGAAATCTTCTTCTAATTTCTGGGTAGAAAATAAAATAAAAAGGAATAGAAGTATAAGTTGGGTGGCTAAGCAAGATATTTTCAGTCTTCTTGATGATTCTGATTCTAATTTTTGAAATAAACTTATTATGCCAATTCTGATGGATCAGCTTCTTTTGATGTTCCAGCTTTAGCGAGTGAAATGGTTAATACTGTTATTCTGAATTTGAATTCTCATACTAATTCTTCACTTGATGAGATTTTACCTTCAAATTTTTCTGTTGTTGGTAATGTTTCTAGCAATAATAATTTTGATTTGGATGCTAACATTAAGTTTATTGTTTTGCAATCTGAAGAATTAAAAAACTTTTTAAATCTTGTTAATGATCCGCAATTTTCTTCTTTAAAAGATAGCTTGCATAAAGCTTTAAAAGAATCGGATTCTAATAATAAGACATCTTCAAAACAATCCATATATTTGGGTAAAATCTATAGAATTAAAAATTTCAGGAAGGCGTCTCATTCTTCTGCTAAATAATTATGATTTTTCAAAATATTGTGTCCTGAAATATATGAGGCTTCAATAGCCTCGATAAAACTATTTCGTGCAAAGATCTTGTGAATTCTTTTAATATTGATCTGATCATTATCCTTGAATCTAAAATTAATTTTGCTCTTATTGAGGATCATTTGTTTTCTGTGAAACATTGGATTTTATATAATGAAGATAGCTGCAATAATTTTAATTTTTCTGATTCATGTAGAATATTGATTAAGTGGAATGTTTATTGCGTTTCTTTTTATCTTATTTTTTTCTTCTGATCAGCTTATTCATGTTAGTTTAAATGTGGGCTCTAGTTTCTATTTTTATCTTACTGCGATTTATGCTTCTAATAATCCAATAGATCGGTAGTCTTTGTGGAAAGATCTGATTAATTTGTCTTCTAATATTTCTTCTCACTATTTTCTGATGATTTTAATTGTTGTAGATTTGTCAATGAAAAGAATGTATATAATTTGCTTTCTAATAATAAGTTATGTGATTTTAATAATCTCATTTTTAATATTGGGGTGCAAGATCTTTCTTATGTTGGGTATTTTTATACTTGGTCTAATCAAAAAAATTATTATCCTATTTATATTAAGCTTAACCGTATTTCAGGTTAATAAATTTTGGTTGGATAATTTTTTTTGCTTCTTACTATATTGTTGATAAGCTAAGGTGCTCGGATCATAGCCCTTTGATTATTCTTAATAATAAATTGGTGAATCAGAATATCGTTTTATTTTAAAAAATTATTGGTGTTCTAATTCCAATTTTATGGGATTTACTGATTGAAGCTTTTGCTTTGTCACTTATTGTAGTCTGATTTATGATCTTTAGAATCATCTTAATAAGCTCAAAGGTTTTATCAAAAGTCAGCATTGGGTTTCGGCTAATCTTATTTCTAGCAAAGTTATTGATTTACATTTAGAAAAGAATCGACTTTTGCAAGACATTCAGAATAATGTATTGGATTATAAGTTAAATTCTGAATTAAATGAGGTTAATACTCTTCAGATTCATTACCAATCTTTATAGACTTCTTGGCTTATTTAGATATCTAAAGCTAGATGGATGGTTAATGGTGAAGTTGATTTGAATTTTTTTTATAGAAAGATTCGTAACATACATAATAGAAATGCTGTTAAAGCTATTTCTACTTATGAGGGTTTGATTTTTATTATATGGACATTTCAGATGCTTTTGTTTTGCATTTTAAAAAGTTTTTTTAACTCTCCTAAATCTTCTTTACCCTATATTTTTGTTATTCAGTTTAGAAACTATATTCTTTCTTTGGCTATTTCTAGTCTTATATCTCCTATTTCTATGGAAAAGGAGGTTTTCTCATATACCTTTGAATTTTTTTAAAAACATTGGGACATTGTTAGTCCTATTTTCACTAAAGCAATATTGCATTAATTTTCTTCTGGAAGTATGACTAGAGCTGCCAAAGCTAATGCTGATGTTTTAATTCCAAAATGCTCTCATGCTTCTCAAATTTCAGATTTTAGGCCTATTTCTTTATTTAATTTTTTTATAAAATTGTGACTAAAATTCTAGCAAATGGAATGCAATTTGTTATGCCTTATATTATTCAATCTAGTCATTCAGGGTTAATTAAGAAAAGAATATTTATGTATAATATTTTATTAGCTTCAAAATTTCAGAGGGATTTTAATTTTGACAAAGTTAAATATTTTAATGCTAAATGGGATATTCAAAAACCTTTTAATATAGTTTCTAAAGATTTTCTTTTGAACAAAATGACTCAAAAAGGTTTCCTAATAAATTTATTAGTTGGATCAAATGTTGTATTGAAGATACTTTCTTCTCTATCGTTCTTAATGGTTCTTTGGTAGGAATTTTTAATTCTTCCTCTGGTCTTCGGTAGGGATGTCCTTTATCTCTTTATTTATTATGTATTGTGATGGATGATTTATCAAATATGTTGGATAACAATTTTTTTGGATATTAGTTTGAAGGCCTCAAAGTGGGTAATATTCAAACATCTCATTTACTTTATGCAGATAATGTTATTGTTTTTGGTAAAGCAAAGGTTATTAATGCCATGCAGTTACAAGAGATTTTGGATTATTTCTCTGTGTTCGAGGCTTCATGTTAATTACTATAAAAGTCTGGCTATGTTCTCTAAAGATGCTTATGCGAAGGAAAGGATTTATCAAGTTTTAAATGTTTCTTTAACTAAAAAATATTTGAAAATTTTAGGCCTTCCTATTTCTATTAAAAGGTTTTGTGGTGCGTATTTGCAACCTTTATTTAACATGGTCACTGATCTACTTTCGGGTTGGAAGGCAAAATTCTTTCTTTTGCTAGTAGAGTACAATATATTAAATTTTATATCCCTAACTATATTGCTTATTAGATTAAAGGGATGATTATTCCAAAATTATTTCTTAAATTCATTAGAAAAGCTTGTTCCAATTTTCTTTTTCATGCAATATGAATTCTAAGAAAATGCACGTTATTGTTTGGAAAGATGTTTGTAAGCCCAAGTGATTTGGAGATCTTGGTATTCCGATCTTAATGCTATTTATTATGCTTTTAATTATTCTCTTATTTGGAGAATTTTAAATGGGAAATGTTTTCCAGCCGATTTGGTGAAGAAAAAATATACCTCTTTATAGAAAGCCACCCTCTTCTAAGACTTCTATTTTCTGGAAAAGTCACCATTAGTTGGCTGAAAGTATTATGGAGAAAATTAAATTTAGTATCACTTTTGATAGTTTACTTTCATTTTATTGGGATCCTTGGATTGATGGCCGGTCTCTTTATGAATTAGTTCCTAATATTAATCCTTAGTGGCACTCTATTTTGGTGAAGGATATTATTTTGAGTAGTAATTGGTCTTTATCTTTTTTCATTAAGCAATTATCTTATGCTAATATTTCAAGTATTCTTCAACTTCTTGCATTAGGTGGAATGAGGTGCTGCTTCCTAGGTTTAAATTTTTTTTGTTAGTCTTATTCAGGAAATGCTATGGTTTATTTTTATTATTTTATTTGACATAAACTTTGAGATATTCTTATTATGTTTGAATGGTCTAAAATATTAAATTATGATCAGACTATCCTAAAATTATGTCGAAAAAGAATCAAAATCCATCTTTTTGTAAGATAACTGACTCAAATAAAATAAACTTTGAAAAATGTAAACCATCCCCTGCGGCTTGATCTCAACAAATCTGATTTTCTACGAGAGGAAAAATTATTAAGTGTCAATAAAAAAGAATAGAAATATACACCCAGCCAATTAAGAGTCTTTAAATAACTATATTCTAATGCTAATGTATATAAATCTATCACAAATCAACTCCTCCTGATTGATTTTCCTCACTACTGGAATCAATCAATCAATCAATGGAAGCCTGCAGATCCTCTAGACTGATAAAGCTCCAACCTTCCCTTGGCCTCTGGTAAAAGAAACTCCAATTCAGGATCTTGAATTACAAAACCCTGCTTCGAAGCCCATTCGAGCACTGAGAGAACCTCAGCTATTGCCAACTCCTCGCTCTCGGGAACATGGAGGGCTATGTAGCTCAGAAGGATTAAAGCTGCAATCTGCACCATCTGTTCACCAAAATAGACGAGTTGGACGAGGTGTTTGGCTCCTCCGGCGTTGATAATGGCTTTGGAATGGTCGAGGTGGAGGTAATTATCAGTACAGGCGAACTTAGTGAGAGCAATGGCTGCTTCACGCATGACAACCCCTTCTTTGTCGTCCAGCAGCCGAACTAATGGCCCAATGATCCGTTTCTCGGTGGCTCTGAATGTTCTGGACAAGCAGCCGATGGCGGTGATGCAGGGTACCAGAAGGTCATTAAAGTCTGCCTTCTCGATGATGCGGAGGAGTTGGTCGACGATGGAACGAGCGGTGGGGGATGTTGGTTTGAAGGCGGAATGGCGGAGAACGGCGTCGTCCTCGGCGACGCGGGCGATTTCCATAAGAGCCATGGCGGAATTGTACTGGACATCGTTTTCCCCCTTTTCTAGAAGGACGACGAAGCAGAGGAGGGCTTTTGATTCCGTGATGCCCTTACATATGGTGGAATTTCCCCGGGCGAGCTGCCATAACGCGCGGGCGGCCATTGCTTTCATGTAGGATTTGGTCGCCGGATCTTCGAATTCTCTTCCCTTGACAATAAGCGGCTGCCGGACGTTGACGGAATGGTGATCGGATGGGTTTTTTTTGCCGGTCACGGTGTACTGGACGACGTCGTGCATCTGGTTCTTCCGAGCTTGGCTGTGGATGGGCTGGCGAAGCAGGGGTTGCTCCGACGAGTCCATGGACGGATCGGCGGTAATATTCGCCATGACGACGGTATGAATTGAGGTGACCTTAGGAGGAATCGTGTACTTTGAATGCTCTTCTACGGTCTCGAAGGCGAGATGGCCGACGAGGAGGCGGACGACGTTGTTCTGAGCGAAGATGTCCTGACATTCAGGGTGATTAGCAGCAAGCTCGGAGACGGCCCAGGCTACCATGGCCTGAACTTTCATGGGACTTTCCTTAAGGACCTTTGAAAACACAGAACAGACGCCTGCGATAACCATCCGTTCAACACTCTCCGGATCTCGGCCGAGGAGACCTAGGGCACGAGCGGCGTTCTCCTGTCCCTCAACCCGCCCCTCCTTGACAAGCCGGAGAAGATGGCCGACACCGTCTTCTTCAATAATGAGCGTGCCGTACCTTTTGTCTCGGGCGAGGGAAACGAGGCTAGCAGCGGCATCGGCGCGAGCGTCGAGGTTACCGGTATGCAGTGTTGCGATCTGCTCCCAGATTAGAAACAGGATGGGTTCGTTCTGGGCGATAGGGGGAAGACCTAGGTGCATATCGCCGTCCTCGTCGCCAGCGGCGGATACCCTAAGAAGCCAAGATACGTTGCCGATGGAGTTGTCAAGGCCGATCAACATCTTGCGGAAGGCGCCAGCGGGGATGATGGTGAACATGCGTTTCATGATTCCGTTGGCGCGGCATTTGGCGATTAGAGAGAGGGCTTTGTCGAGGAGTTGTTCAGTGTCGTCCATGATCCGACGAGCCGGGCGCTCGTAGAGCTCCGCCCTCGCAGCTTGTCGGAGAAGAGCGGCGAGGCGGTCTGTCTTCGACTTGAGTTCCTGGCACTCAGCCCTGAAGGAGTGGACGTCGTCGGCCAGCTTAGTCACCTGGTCGGCGAGCTGGATTGGCTTTGCTAGTATTTGCATAACACCATCGCCCATCTTCTTCCCTGTTGTCTTGCGCTCTTGCTTCCTGGTGTCTGAGTTGCCAATCAAAGAAAGGACTTTGGGGAAGAAGATTGCTGGCTTGGATCGGGGTGAAAATGGTTATTGATCGAAGAAAGGATTATTTTTTTCTTATATTCTTTTTCAGGTAGAGACGCTGTTTGAATTGTATCAATCTCATTTGCAGAATGAGAATTTTTGTGGTGTTGGCGTAGAAATTTCGCGCAATTTCGTTCACCGTTTTTAAATGAATCTGAGGTTTGAAGTTTGAAGAAGCAGATTCTCAGTCAATGAAAGCTGTGAATATTTTTTTTTTTTGGGAAAATTAAAGCTTTGAATATTAATAAACGAAGGTATTGTCCGACGACTTTTAATGATGTAATAATAGCAAAAACTTTTTTTTTTGGGACATTTAGATCATTTAAGTCAAATTCATACACACAACGCATACACATAGACTCGAACCCTGGACCTCTTAGTTGGAAGCCTAAGCTCTCAACCAATAGGTCAAAGAGAGTTGTGTATAATAGCAAAAACTTGACCAGTGATTTTAAGGTGGAAATTTCTCTATAGTTCAATATTTAGCTCACAAATACTCCACTAATTTAATTCTAATTTAAAACATAATAATATTTAAATTAAATTTAATTTTTTTAATTAATTTGAAATAAAAATTATTGTTAAATTAAGTATATTACAAATTTTTTTATAAATTGACAAACTTATTTATAAATATAGTTTATCTTATATTAATAATTATAAAATGTAAAATTTATTTAGCTATAAATTAACCCAAAAAAATCACGATTACTATTGATCCAAGAAAGGATTTTTTTTTCACATATAATATATTTTAATTATTACACTTATATATAATAATAATAATATAATTCCGTTTTATACGGCTGTACGCTGTTTTGCATAGTACAGCCGAGCCCTTGAACAAGCTGGCGGCGGCGAGAACGGCAACGTGGTTCAGTAGATGGCGAGGTCGACACAGCCGAGCACCGCTATTAAGCATTTTATTTTGGCATCAAACTGATTTTCAACAAGAGTTTTGAAATTATAGAAAATAATTAGAACATCAGATTTTGCTTTAAGTGGATACAACCAACAAAAACGGTAGAAATCATCAATGATAACATAATATTTAAAGCCTTGCAAAGATACTTTGGGAGAAGGTCCCCAGACATCATTGTGTATTAACTGAAGAGGAGAAGTAGAACGAGAAAGAGACTGAGAAAAGGGAAGCTTGTGGCTTTTTGAAATAGCACAAGCTTTACATTCTAGAGAAGACAAGACAGTAGACTTAGAAGATAGAATAAACTTTTGTAGCTTGAGTAAAACTTTGGAGGAGGGATGTCCCAAGCGACGATGCCAAAGCGTAGTGGATGACGAACTTGCAACAAGAGCCAGCTGAGCAGACGGAACGCTGGAGTCAGTAGGAATTGGGTACAGACCGTGACGAGAGGGGCCGCGAAGGAGGATATGATTGTTCTTCGGATCCTTTATAGTAAAGCCATGAGCATCAAATAGAACAGAACAGGAGTTATCAGTAGTGAGTTTATTGATAGAGAGAAGATTATGACGAAGCTTTGGAACAAGATGCAATGAATTAAGGTGGAGCTTACGCGTAGGAGTAGGTAACAAGCCTTTACCAGTATGAGTAATTGGTAGAAGTTCTCCATTGCCGATTAGAAGTTTACCAGTATGAGTAATTGGTTGAAGTTCAAAAACTGTAAACAGTTTTTGAATCTGAGATTTCCATAGAGGAAAGTTATCTATAGTGAGTTGAAGATTGAGAATAGACTTGACGTTTGTCATGAGGAACTTCAGTTGGGACGGAATGGTGATGTCCGCCATTTTGACCACAGAAGATGGATTTGGATTTGAGGTAGAAGATGATGCCGCCGACGCCATACACGAAGCAGATTAGCACCGATCAAGCCGTAAGGCAGAAAAAATGCTCTGATATCATGTTGAAGCTCTGTCTCTGATACCTGTAAACATAGACAAGAAGAACAAAGCAGAGCAACGAGGAAGAAGACATTGCAGAAGCTAAGGAAAATAGAAAATCCTCTGTTGTGTACTTTGCATTTACTGTAGCAACATACATATACTCAGTAAAGATGAGGAGAGAAAATGACATGAGCGGATATGATGAAACCGTTAGCCATCAACGGTTTAGATAAGACGTCAGACTGCAGCACATGCCAATACAGAGGATAGTGGAATAGAGGATTACATCCAGTAATCATATTTAGTAATTATGAATTACTTAGTCTCAATATTTTTAATCTCCATGAATTTGAATTTGAGTAGGATAAATGCATGAAATTAATGCGGGTAAGTGGAGATGGTGGTTTTATTCATAAATTTGAGTAGCTTGCTTGACAAAACCCAACTATTTTCAAGAAAATATTGATTAATTATAACAAGGATAAGTATGAAGAATTTCGTTGAAGTATACGAGGAATGTAGATTCAGGTATGAATAAAAATGTTTTTTTTTATCGGTTGATGTGATCAACTTGTTCCCTTGCCAGAAAATTTTGAAGATATTTCCCCTTTCCTTAATAATAGTTCGTAGAAACTTTTTTGTTAGTGTTGAGTGTATGGTGTTAGTAAATTTCTATTCGTAACTTACTTTGTACTAACTTTTCTATATATTTTGAAGATCTGGCAATTGTCGGGATTAAAAAATATTGGAAGAATGTCTAGAGGCAAGTTTGTTTCTAAATTCGTTTTTTTCTAAATAAAATTTCTTCAGCTTTATTATTATAGTTTTCAGGATTTTATTTCATTCTGTAAGTGTTGTTATATAATCAGGTGGGAATTGTAGTCTGCTTTCTATTAAAAGGAGCAGGAGCTCTCATCTTCAATTCAGTGTAAGACAATTGCTAGCATCCTGCTGCCATTCTACTTCTGAAGTCAAACAGAAAAATGAAAGTAAATCTTTGGTCCAGTTTTTAAGAGATAAGAAGATTGTTCCTGATTCAAAACCTCCGAACATGATAGACTTGAACCGTCTATATCAATTTTTTGATAGGAGGTATGGTTAAAGATGCCACATGCGGTCAATAACCCATTGATCAAGAAGCAGATGAAACATAGGCTTCATTTGGGACAGTGCTTCTTAAAGCAGCTTTCTAGTACAAAATATTAAATTTTTATACTAGAAAGTTATTTTAAGAAGCAGTAAGAAAGCCATCCCAAACGAAGCCATAAACTTAGGTTACTTCTTCCATTGTTGTTTGCTATAGTATTTAAGCAATATGGATTTATCAATAACCAATTCCTTCAGCCGCAAGCTTATGGTATTGACTGGAGCAGGACTAAGCACTGAATCTGGAATTCCTGATTACAGGAGGTATGCAAATGTTTCTTATGTAATGTGTAGATATAACCATTTTAGAATGCCAAGATTGACTTCAGTTTTGTTCTTTTATGTGCTAACTTGAATAAAAAGTTCTTTTGCAGCCCAAATGGAGCGTATAGCTCTGGTTTTAAACCAATTACTCATCAGGTAAGTGTCTTTCTTTTATGAACATGTTTTGCCAAAATATGTGATAGTGAGAAATATAGGTTTAAGAAATGGAAAGTGAATGTTAGTCTTATGACATACATCATTTTCTTTTGTTATGAATTATTGGGAGGAAGCTTGAGCTTCTTGGAAGAGAGAGAGAGAGAGAGGGAGGGGAGGTGAGGGAAGGAACTATAGGAATCCCAAAATTCCAAATTCCTTTAATTCAATGGGCTCTTCAGGCATCCTGATACATTGACATCTATTTATAGAGATTTACATTGATGTGATAACTTGAGAATCAACATAACTTAAAACATGACCTATTTCTAACAATTTTAAAAAAATGATTAGATCCTCTTGAAAAGTTGCAAAAATTACAAAATAGGTGGTCTTGGCTTGGCATGAGGACTCTTTAGTGTATTTCGCTGAAATTTTCTCTATGCTTAGGCATTTGAGGGCATGCTCTCTGGAAATAAACATAAATACAAATTTTCAATGACTAGCATTTTGTGAGAATATGTAGATGGGTGCTGATCAACAACTGGCTGCTGTAATTGACCTGGTATTTCAAAAGTTCTTGCTATTAAAAATGATGTGGTTCTGTTTCTGCTAAACAGGAGTTTGTCCGCTCCAGTCGTGCCCGCAGGAGATATTGGGCTAGGAGTTATGCTGGATGGAGAAGGTTTATTGCTGCACAGCCAAGTCAAGGCCATATTTCACTCGCAACCTTGGAAAAAGCTGGTAGAGTTAATTTCATGATTACCCAAAATGTTGACAGGTTGAACTATTACTTTTATAGCCTAATCAATCATCAATAGAAAATAGACCTTGATTGTTATTATCTCGTTCTATTATATGTCAGGCTGCATCATCGTGCTGGCAGCGAACCTCTTGAGCTTCATGGTACTGTTTATACTGTAGTGTGTTTAAATTGTGCTATTTCTGTTGACCGAAATTCATTTCAAGATCAAGTAAAGGCCCTCAACCCAAAGGTATGACCTTTGATATATAGCAGGATTGCCCAAAATGCTGAATTTTCATGCTATGCAATATTAACTGCTTAATCTTATGATCATGCAATGCTAGTTGGAATATTAATCACTCTGTTGCTGATGCAGCAAATTTTGTTTGCAACTTTTCAAATTTCCATGTTTTAATGATAAAAAAATTATAGGGAAATTATATTGTCATTGGATTAATTAATATTTTCCATAAAAGTACCCAAAACCAAGTTCAAGCAGGATATGGTGATGTGGTGTTGTCTATGACATGAGTTTCCGAATGTGTTTAGAGAATGTTTGAGAGAAACATTGATGCAGGGAATATAAAGAGAGTTTAGTATATTTTTTGGATACAAATTTTTTCGTGGATGACACTCGACCCTGTTAGCATGTTGGGGTAGAAAACTAAGTGAAGGAATTTACTATTTAGTGAATATGGATGGTCAATAGAAAGTTCTATTATCTCAGAGAATGTCCTAACAACACCAAAATTTTTTAAATATTACTCTTCACTCTTAATTTATAGGGATACAAGAAAGGCTACATATAGAATAAAATATTAAAAATAATACATTATGTGACTGTTATAAACTGATACTGACATGCGAACTAACTGAATGATGTACATGTGGAACCTTATTTTTGACGCGGCCTCCTCTCTAGGCAAGTTTGTTGGGCCAATGAATTGAACAAGCCTTTGAAAGTTGTGTCATAGTGCAAGTCTGCACTTGTGGGTAATGGTAGCGATGGAGTAACTTAAATAATTGTGAAAATAATTTAGGGCTCCATCAATACCTAAAAAATGTTTAAATTTTATTTGATATAAAAATTATAAAAACCAGACTTAATATATGCAAGTATACGTGCTGAATCAAATAATATAGTGCTAGAGTAGAATATCGATCCCATGAGTAAGAATGTTTACATTCAAATACTAATAATGTCTACTATAATTACAATAATTATCCTACTCAATAAAAATAAATTTTGGTGGAGATTCAATCACTTAAATAAATAAATAAATAAATGAAACACTATTTGGATAAAATGTTTTGGGCTGATGGAATGTAAATACAATATGTTTTCTAATGATTCTTTTTTATATCGATGCTATTAAGAGCATATGCATCACGGACTGCTTAGTTGAACGTGAAGAGATAAATGATACGGGCCACTTAGCTTACAGTGCTAGATTGTAAGACCCGCCATTAGGCAACTTCTAAGGAAGCCATAAGACCTACTCAACCAAAATTTTTCGGGCTACCTCTAATAGAGGCCGTAATACCCACTATTAGGGCTACTTTCAAATGAAAGACATAAGTCCCTTCCCAAATCTAATCACACGGGCAACTCTTAATTGGAGTCGTAAGCCCCAAACTAAACAAATTAACGGGCAACTCCTAATTGGAGCTGTAAGCCCCAAACTAAACAAATTAATGGGCAGCTTCTAAGGAAGCCATAAGCCCTAACCCAAACTGAACTAAATAAAAAATTCACACATCTCCACTTCAGTCTACTCGGGATCCCTGAGAGGAGGCAACCCATGACTGCTAATCAGATTCCCTATACACTACAATCAATGATTGTTAGTGTTTGTAGACTGAACCCACGGTAATGCTCGGGATGACGGAACCATGGGATCTTGATCGGGTGTACCTTCATTCCCCCATAACTAAATTTAAATCTCTATTGCACATTCGCACACTCATTGCATGAAGCTAAGTGTATTTCATCCTTAATCGAGAGTGTTCTTCTAATACGTTAGGAGGGGTAATTAACTATGAGGGCTTGCGCTCATAGGAAGTAGAACTCAGATCTAAATAAACCCTGATATCACTTTCAGGGGAAATCTGGTTAAATATCAAACTCAATCTACCTTCGAAAAAAAATAAAGAGAACCATAAAATCGTGAGAGCGAGGTCCACATATCTTTATTGCAAATAATTTTTATTTTTTCGGAGCGAACAATATCGAATTAAAGATATCACCGGATGGGTTCATAGATCTCCTCTGCACTCCTTGAACTTATATAATTGCTTCCACAAATATTGACCAAACACTCTTATGAAATGGATCTAGTGCTCCATGAATTCCCTTAGTTGTCACTCATAAGGAATTTATAGAGAAGTAGTATGAAGATTGAAATTAGCTAAATGACTGAACTCCTTTACTTGTATTACAAACAGACTATTTATAGAAACCCACAAAAAATGGACTCTTGTGCCGTGATGCTCTTGTCACTTGCGTCGCGGCGCCCTTAAAATGAACTAATGCCGCATCACTGAAGAATTTCCTCCTCCGCGGCGCTTGCTGATGTGGACCTTCTGTTTAGTGAATATACGCATCACTTCACTGACATATCGTGTCTTGGTCGGTTATAACTGTAGCTCTGTGGCCCTGCTGATAGTTGAGTACTGTTTCATCCACGTGGCACTCCCATCGGCTTGGCGGCCTTTAAAATTGGTGTTGCGTCATATAGAGACTAGACTTTGCAGCACTGAGTCCTCGGACACCGTGACGCTATCAAACAGAGACTGGGTGCCGCCATATCCATGTTGGGTGCCCAAACGATGTCAATGATGGCGTCGCGGTGGTATAGTGTCCGACGCTGCGACGCTGTATAATACTTGGAATTTCATGCCTTTCATATATTTTTCTTGCACAACACAATTAAAACAATACAGTTTCACTGGTAATTTAATATATAACATATAACATTATTTATTCTTGTCATTGAGTTCCAAGGAATGAGGGGAGAGTTCGTAGGGACGAATGTTAGATCCCTTGGAGTTCCTTGGGCCATAATAGCTGTGGGCCTGTGATGATTTCGGCCAGCTAACTTGTAGTTACAAGCTTTATGTCACACCTCAGGATCTAATTGAATAATTTAAACCTAATCCTAGTCATCTCATCCTCAACATATGAGCTGCTAAACATATAAAGTGAAAATAAATAAAATCAATATCATATTAAGTATACTTATATGATCATTACTAAAAAATTTCATTTCATATAAATAAGGATGTTGCATGTGTCTCTTGATTAGTTGGTTAGCTCAATAATGAAAATCCCATCATATTATGCCTATGAGGCGTGAACATAAAACAGAATTAGGGTATGAAGCGCTATGTTAGCTAAGATTGGCTAAAATTGCCCCCTTGGCATACTCTCACTCCCAATCTACAAGATCTTCTTTGATGGCACAATATGTAGTTGCTAACAAGAATTTTTCAATTCGGGTTGTGTCAAATATGTACCCTAATTGTGTAGACTATGGTCCTTGATAACTTAGGATAACATAATTTACAGGATCTTAATTGAGATCATTATCTTTGATGCCACAATTTGCTCTAAGTTCATAGCGATATCTTATTTTTCCAATCGAAATTGTTGCTGCTAAAAGCAAAACATCACAGAGCTTATAGAAAAACCTTGATCAAAAGTGACAGATTATGATTGAGAGAATAATTAACTATTGTGGCTTGCTCCTATGAGACACTTTGAACGAAATCATATAGTCCTAGTTAGAGGGTGAAATCTATAGGCAGCGTCTTATCTAATATTCAATGTCTTTTGAAAAGTTTATGTAAAACTTTTTGAATGAGTAGAATCTGTGGGCTCCGAAAATTCGTGCCCCGGCCTCCCCTGCGTAGGAGAGTTTTAACGGTGTTCCGGGTCAAATTTTCAGAACGCAGATGAACTTTGGGATAAAACACTACCCAAAGATTTCGCCCTCATTTTGTGAGGACTTTAAAATCTGGTTCCATATAGTCCTAGTTAGAGGGTGAAATCTATAGGCAGCGTCTTATCTAATATTCAATGTCTTTTGAAAAGTCTATGTAAAACTTTTTGAATGTGTAGAATCATATGGAAAATTTTCATCACGCTATCATCTTTATCTTTTGGTCTACAAATTCCTTCTAAATCCATAATTTTTTTCAATAACTCAAGAAGGAATCCAAAACTGTGAGAAGAAATTAAGACGAACGGAAGTGAGCACGAAATTGATAAGTGCTATTCCTGAATTCCATGCCCTTTAAATGGAAGTTTACTCTTTCAGGAAAATAATTTGGCTTGGATGTTTTGAATGAGAGGATTTCAAAAAGCCTTCTGAAGGCTTTTTGAAACCTAAAGGAATGCCCAAGTATTTGAGGGAAAGGAAACAAGAGCTTTGCTTTAGCGTTTTGGGGCATGTCAAATGTCGATTTTAGAGCGCTCAACTAACTTACATTGATTTATAGCCCGTCTATTTCGTTGCTATTTTAGGAGGTGCATGCATTGCTCTTGGAACATTATTTTTAATTCTTCTTATAAATGGTAACTGCATTGGAAACAAATTTTATTTCTCCCATCTCTACTAACTGTCCCAGACCATATGCTTGTGTGTGATGATCAATATCAAACAAACCAATTCCATCATTTTGTCCGACCAATCTGATCTATGTGCCAATGTTAAATTGGTTGAATATTGAAACAAATTACTGTTACTCGAAAATTTTGAGGTGCTGGTCCTGCTGTGATGCATCTTCAGTTCATGGGCTTTGCTTTTGTGCTACCATTTGGCACCTGATTTGATTTGAAACATCATAGCTTAAGTTTTCCTTAGGACTAGCTTACTATAGTTTGTTACAATACTTCTAGAATCTTCTTAGTAGCTTATATAAACAAGATATTGTAAGGAGAGGATCATTGATGATTATTATCTCTTTTTAAAACTTTTGAAGCTTAATGTTTATCTTTGTTCCCTGGATTGAGATTTACTTTTTGTTAGTCCGATTCTTCCAACGATCCAACCATAGTCGTCCACCTCATGATTTCTGTTGGCATACAGGGCATTTAGTTTCTGTCAAGGAATTGTGGAGTGTGGACGGCAGTTGGCTGCTGTATATTTACTGGTTTGGGTTAGAAATACTTGAGAACTCAAGTATTTCCTATCACAATACTTCTAGAATCTTCTTAGTAGCTTATATAAACAAGATATTGTAAGGAGAGGATTATTGATGAATATTATCTCTTTTTAAAACTTTTGAAGCTTAGTGTTTATCTTTGTTCCATGGATTGAGATTTACTTTTTGTTAGTCCGATTCTTCCAACGATCCAACGATAGTCGCCCACCTCATGATTTCTGTTGGCATACAGGGCATTTAGTTTCTGTCAAGGAATTGTGGAGTGTGGACGGCTCATGTTTTCCTTGACATAGATATTTATCTTCTACCTCTAATCGTAATGAAGCATAGTTGCGAATCAATATTATGATTTTGTTTGTAATATTGCTGCTCCATATACACATGATGATGATTAATATCTGTTGTAGTGGGCTTCAGCTATTGAAAGACTGGAGCATGGAGCTCCGGGTTCAGATAAGAACTTTGGTATGCAGCAAAGACCTGACGGAGACATTGAAATCGATGAGAAGTTTTGGGAGCAGGATTTTATTATTCCTGACTGCCATCAATGTGGTGGCATGCTAAAACCTGATGTAAGCATCATATTCTAGACCGAGAGGAAGGGTTAACATTTAGTCTTTTGTTATGATTATTTGGTATATCTTAATTCAAGTATAATTGACTAGCATGCACGATAAATCAATTATATCCTTTGCAAGGACGAAGCAGTATATCTAAATACTAATACAAAATGATTTCGCAAAGAGATGTTTGCTTTCTATCTTTAATTGAGAAAGAAAATAATGAATTACCTGGTTGATATTTGCTTTAAGCTTTGTAGCTTCTAGTTGATAATGATTAGCCATTGCACGTTGTCTGTGCTATAATTGCTAATTTTGAATTCAATAATTTTCTTTCTTTTTGAGCTCTACAAGGTGGTGTTTTTTGGCGATAATGTCCCTAAAGACACAGCTGACAAAGCAATGGAAGCTGCAAAATCATCAGATGCTTTTCTTGTTCTGGGTTCATCGCTAATGACAATGTCAGCATTTAGACTCGTAAGGTAGATTTATTAAACTTTTGCTATTAGTTATGAAAATCATCATCATCACACATTCGAGCTTTTTCTTTTGTACACATATTCCTCTCTTTCATTCATTTTACTTTTCAGAAGATTTACTCTAAAATTTAATTCAATAGTTTGAGTTTACATATTAGACTTAGTGGATAATCACACTTGCAGCATATCAATTGTACATACATAAAATAATTATATTCCTTTAACTTTCTTTTGCAGTTAACATAGATATACATATCTATATATCATTTCCATTTCATATGACATAATCCTTTTTATATATTTATCAAATAACATATTCCTCTTCAAATAATATTTATTCATTTTTCCTTTTTCATTTAGTATAGAAGCAATGTCTAAAATTTTCCACCAATAAATGTATAATCTTTTTCTTTTTTATTTTTATTTCCTTTTTCATTTAACGTGCACGAGTACGTTGCGTTCCTAGTTAGTATCATAAGGGGGTGAACTCCTGTAAACTGCATGCATGTATCTTTTCCTTTTCATTTATGCTTTCATTTACATAAGATAAGTTAATTCATTCATTTCATTGTTCTTTAAATATACCTTTACAAATATTTTAAATAATATATACACTTTTGCATGTATTGATATGTACCTTTCACATATACATAAACATTCATACTACATAATAATTTTAATGTCTATTTTTCATCATCACATATACATTTTAAATTGACATCATCTTGCACGTAATAAATAAATAACAAAATATACAAAGTATTACATTTAGAATTTAAATGAAAATAAAATAATACAATTGCCATAAACAACTGTAATTTACCCTCTTTAATTTTCTTTCGTGTGTTTAAATCCTTCCAAGTCTTCAATTATCTGCAATTCACTTCTAATACTCATCTCCATTCAGGTTTTTATTACCCCCTTTGTTTCAAAATAATATTAATTGACATTAAATATTATTAGCCAAATTTTAAAGGAATCCTCAAAACAATAATAAATGTCAAATTCCACTAATCTAACAACTTATTTTTCTACCATTTATAAGCTACATGTATGATATTTTCACTATAATTGGACGTGTTGTTTGTGCCATTAAAACTTATATGTTCATGAGATTATTCATGCATGCAGAAAAGTGAACAAGCACAACTTTATTTGTGTAACTTTCCTGCAAATATCTGTTCATCTTGATGTAATTAGAAAGCACTCAAAATTTGCACAAATAATAATTTAATGAGCACGTATAAGAAATTTCACATGTAAAATCATAATTAGGAAAAGTGAAACGCAATAATTAGGAAAAAAAATATGTCACAATAAAAAATTCCAGATTGTATGAATTTTGAGCAAATCCAACCACATGAGTGAACAAATTATAAAGAAATATAGAATAAAAAGAACAATGATAAAATATTAAAATAATAAAAATAGCTATTCAGACTCCTATCAATACAAGTGAATAGGCTCTCATGGAACTTGGTATGAGATAAATTAAATAAATCAACTAATTCCTTATTTTTGGTTTCCTTTCATGTAGTCTATGTATTAAATTGACATTTAGTAAGGGTGTTAATTCACTTTCCTTTTGATTTCCTTTTATTTAGTATTCACTATACACATTAAATTAAAATTTATTTCTTCAATATTTTACATCAATAAATATTGTACAAAGCTTGTAATACAAAATTAAGGAGAATAATTCTTTCTCTTCAAATTATATTTCTCTATATGATATCAGAACAGGCTGATCTAATCAAGTTTCCTCTCCCATGGCTGGTTCCCCCTCAACTATCTCCTTGAACACTAATGCTCATATTATTTTTAACTCATTTGATAAATCTCAAGCCCTTATCAAAATCAACACCAACACTCGAATCAAGCTTACCACCTCTAACTACTCAACATGGTGATTTCAATTTCATACAACTCTCATTAGATATGACCTCATGAGGTTTATTAATGGGTTCTATCCATGCCCGCCACAACTCCTAAACACCGGTGACAACTCTACTCCAAATCCTGCCTACTCACTATGGATTCATAAAAACCAACCCTCAGAGTAGTGTTACAGCCATGGTTTCAAAACCCAAAAGTGAATTAGCAAACCTATTCTCTGAAGGGATTATCATATTCAGACTTACCCAAAAGGCCAAAACAAAAACGCTGAACTACCTGAAAGATGAACTAATAAAATGAGATTTTTGAACCATAATTGTTATGATTGTTGAATGTAATTCCGCAGAGCCGCTTATGAAGCGAAGGCAGATGTTGCAATTGTCAACATTGGTGAAACTCGAGCTGATGATTTTGTACCTTTAAAAATAAATGCCCGAGTAGGGGAGGTAGGTTAATTGTTCCCTGCCATGAATAAATCTTCATTTGCTAATCTTAGTATAGCTTCCATTTTCCCTAAGATTTGTTTCTTTTTGTTTGGATTTGACAGATACTTCCCAGATTACTTCAGATGGGTTGCCTTAGCATTCCCTGTATCAGTTGAATATAAATTCTTCTAGTCATTCAATGTGTACTCCAATTATACAAGCCAGAGATATGCAGCATCAAGAGGTCTGCTATTCTATGTTCCTTGTTTATGTGTGTATATTTCATCTGATCTTTCATTCTTTGTAAAAGTTCATGCCAAATACTTACCAAGAGAAACAAATGTGCATCATCTTTGTTTTTCTTATCTATAAATGTTTCGTTGTCAATGATATTAATTGTTCTTTTCTTGAGATTTAGGTAAGATCTAATTCAGGCTTCATTTGGGATGGCTTTCTTAATGCTTCTTAAAGCAGTTTTTTAGTACAAAAATTTAATTTTTTGTACTAAAAAGTTACTTTAAAAAATAGTAAAAAACTGTCTCAAACAAAGCCTCAATCACCGAGAGTGAATAAAAGAGAGAGAATATTAACACAAGGAACACAGCAAATGATAAAATGTATGTAGATCACACAAGAGAATATGGATATTTATTCATATAATGCTCGTTTAGGGTCATTCATTTTCAAAATTGAAAGAATTCAAATAAAATTTTAGAAGCTCGACATATAAATGAGCAATTTGGAGAGCTGACATTTTTGTTTATATATGTTTGTGTACATGCATGTCTATTTGTTCTTTAACAGGTAGTTTATTGAGGTACGATTAAATGCTCATTTAATATGACTTAATTTTTTATTTGATAATTTATTCTATATTATTGAATCAATTTTTCTGCAATTTATATGTGTTAAATTTTATTTATATAATCAGATGTATTTGTATAGTTAAAATATCACAAGTAATTTGATGGTTTTATTTAAATATTTTCTTATTCATTAAATAAGTTAAATAATACCTAATGAATTATGTTAACTTTTATTAAAATTTATAAATCCAATTATGTCTAATAACTAGCTTATATATTTAAAAGTTAATATTAGTTATATAATTAGTTAGGATTGATTAAAATTAGGTCTGACTCAGCTCAATCTCCATAAGTAAATTAAAAAACAAACTTGAACAAGATTCTTAAACTTGATTTTTTTTAACATAGTACCGTTACTTTTTTATAATTGTGAATGATCATAAATTTTGTATTAAAAAGTTATTTTAAGAATATGTTAGAATGTCATATCAAATAAGCCTAAATGATGAGGACATCGACAGACGCTACTGACAGGTTTATCTACGGCGGAATCGTAGATCGATGGCCACGATTCAACGCCTCTACTTTTGATTCAATTGTCATGATGCATTATTTAGTATTTACTATTTTTTTTTCGTTTTTACCCATGTGGGGAGCTACTTTGTTATTGTAGCCCAGAGGGCAATGTTGTACTTTTCTTTTTCATGAGTTGAGACCTATATATAGTGGTCTTATATATTGTATTGGGGTTAATGAATATTTTGAATGAAACTTGTTTTGTTATCTTTTTCTTCTTCTTCTTGTGGTGAGCTAGAGAGGAGAACGAGAGCCCGATGTGAGGGAGAAAAGCAATACCCGCCAGTTATTGAAAGAGTCCATGACTCGTGGTGTATCCCAATCATCCCGAACCCCGTCGTCTAACCCAACCCGCCGGCCCTAAGCCACCCTGGGCCGCCGACCACCCCACCTCCTCCACCCGTCCCAAGCACTTCCACCATCGGCCTTCTCCCACTCTCCCCCTCTTGTTCGAATTTTGAAATTCAAAATTTCCAAATTTGACAAAGCCAAATATGAAAAGTTTTCAAATTCAAAATTCGAATGAAACCTAATTGGATGAGTCATTAATTTCCCTCCAATTTTTCGTTCCCAATTGGAAAGAGTGTGGTAAATCAAATTTCAAATTAATCTCCCCCCATTTTTATTCAAAATCCTGAAATTAATTTCAGGTTTGGAATTAAAACCCTTCTCCCTCCTCTAATGAAACCATCGGCCCCCCTCTTCATGGACTCCATTAAATGTCCATTAACCCCCCTAAATTCTCTTTGAGATTTGAAATTATTTTCAAATTGCTTCCCTCCAAATTTACTATAAATCTGAAATTAGTTTCAGATTTGAGCAAATCTCTTCCTTCCCCCATCTAACATAGAACCCCTCTCCCAACTCACCGCCCCCTCTCTCCCCACCTTGGCCGACCCCTCTCCTTTTCCTCCCATGTTGAATTTCAGAGGCTCACAACACTTGAAGCCAAGAGAAGAAGACGACGCCCTTCAACCCTCACTTCAATGTTGAATGGCGGATCCCGAACTTGAGTGGGGCCTTGTATTCAACACCGACGGAAGCCTCAACATCCTAAGATCTCCGTTTTTCGACATGGGATTTGAAGACGACGCTTCCGTTGGAGATTATTTGGAGTGAGTTGTCCCTACTCTTGCAAGCGTCATCGACCGCCAACTTTCAAACTACGATTGGAGCATCGTCGGCCACCCACTACCTCCATCTCCCCCGGCTACCTCTCCCCCAACGAAGTTCTTCGACGCCTTCTCTCAAGTAGTAATATCCTTCATCATATGGGTCATCTTTCTCCGCTAAAAGCCTTCAAATAATTGAGTGAAATGGCCCTTGAGGTGAACCTCTCATTGTTAAGCGTTGGATTTTTGTTAATTGTACTTTGCATTTAAATTACCTTAAACTTTGAAAGAATTATCTCGATTATGTTCTATTGCACGCCTTTGGCCTAAGCAAGTTAAAAATTTCAAAATTCTTAACTCACTTTTATGTGCTAGTATTAAATTTAAATGAGCAATACTTTAACCAACTTTCTTTCTAATTTCTAATCGTAACTCTTAGTAGTTTCACATCACTAAAAGTATTTAGGACTAAGAAAATTTTATATCATACATTTATTAAAAAAATAAAACTCTCGAGCCTTCCAATCATATGATCATAACTCATATGGAAATGAAAAACTTAGTAAGCATATTTGTTGCGGATTAGAATATACGCGGCGATAGAGTTAGAAAACTTCCGTCTCAGCGTTGTACGGATATCTAGCACATAAACCTGTGAGAAATAGAAGCACCAGGATTTTTTACGTGGAAACCCTGGAAAGGGAAAAAACAATGGGGCCACACCCATTTTGAAAAAGTTCTTCCAGTGTTTGCTTGAGATACAACAGGTTGACTTGTCCTTAAAATTTAGGGCGATCATATTACAATGCTTCACTTCCAGATTGAAACCCGATTACAAACAAGTTGCGTATTAGAGCTGAATGCAGAGTCTCATAGAATTCCGACATCACTGGGAAATCAGGCAGAGTTCTTGCGTTACTTGGGCATCAGACAAAATTCTTGTGTTACTTGGGCGTTGGACAGAATTCCAGTGTCACTTGGGCAGAATTCCAACGTCACTGGGGCGTTGGACAGAATTTCGACGTCACTCGGGCGTCGGGCATAATTCCGGCATCACTCGGGTGTCGGACAGAATTCTGACGTTGGTGATCGAGGAGGAGTTTCTTTCCTCTTAATCTTCTTCTCTTCTCTTCTTCTTCTTGCTTGGGCCCCCTCTCATGAGAAATGAGGGGTCTATTTATAGGTATTCTGGAGTGACATGACTTGTAAATAAGGGAGAGCTCAGAAGTAAATATGGAGTGGTTGGATGGACGACCGATATTGAATCCCTTGATCGTGTACCGTTCGTCAGACATTTGAAGGTCTTAATGATGTCCGAATTTGGCGATATTGGGCTCGTTGGATTCGTTTTGTTGAGCCGCTCGATTTGACTATAAGAACGTCATATTTGGAAACTCAATTTGTGGTTTGAACTTTTCAATAGCGCATCGGGTGCTTGATTTGGACTCATTTGGGCTCGGATTGAGTCAATTTGAACTTTCCACTAATAATAAAATAATTTTTTCTTACTTGACTTTTTAATTTATTTTAAGTACTCAATGTTATGATAATTGAATTTGTATAAAGCACGATTGTTTTTTTAGAATAGGATTTTCTTATGGAAGACTTGGTGGTCAATTTGGTTGTTGAAAATAATTAATTATTTTTCTTTCAATTGATAGGAAAAATAAGATTTTTTTTTTTTTAATTTTTATAATTGATTGATTCTCATTAGATTATTTGAAGATAAAAAAAATGTTTAAGTAGTAAAATAAACACATATCTCAACAAAGGTTGTCCCACTAATATTAGTAAAGCTTTATTTGAGACGACTTTCTTACTGCTTCTCAAAGCGACTTTGTAGTATAAGAATTAACTTTTTTGTACCAAAAAACTGTTTTAAGAAGTAATAAGAAAGCCGCCCCAAATGAAGCTTAAAACTGTTAAAAAAGAATAATAAGTCCCTTCTTAAATTAAATATATTTTAGTAATTTTATTTATATTAATTATGCCGAAATTGATGATTAAAAGAAGGATATCTCTATCAAATTTTTTGTTATAATATATTTTTGCATTACAAATTATTATTTAGGCATTTCATTAATTTAAAGAATTTATCAATTTAAAGCTCATAATAATTATTTTTTATTAAAATCCCAACAATAATTTTTTTCCTCATGCAAAAGAAATATTCGAAGACTATGTTTACATGAGGGATTATGTGTAATAATGCAATAATACATATTTTTATCCCAAATTAATTTTAAGGTTATTTCTGTAATAAAAAAATGACCTTAATAAATTATTGGCCGTAATTAAAAAAGAAAAGATTTCATCCGAACGGTAACGGATGCAGATAAAATCAGCACTGTCCGTCCAAAATTATTATTGAATATTTTTTTTTATTTTTACCCACCAAAAAAATAGAACTAAATTACTTGACGCCGACCACGCAAACTCGCAAAGAATTGCAAACCCTCTGGCGGTCCGAAGGGAGACGAGGAAGACGCGAGTGGCGAAGAGCTGCACCCACGATTGTTTCCGGCATTGGTGGTGAAGCGGTTCCGGCGATCCGTCGCCCGCTTCAAGGTTATCTGCCTTTTCCTAAATCATCATTCTTCTTCGAGGTGTCGACTTGATCTTGATCGTATTGGTGGACTGTCGGTTACTCGGTTCTTGTTCTATGGAGTTGTATTTTTATGTATGTTTTTTGCTTAATTTTTATCCTGTTCTGCTGCTCGCGTTCTTCCCGGTGAGACGATTACGTCTTTTAATTCTTATTGAACATTGATGTTTTTTTTTTTTTTTTTGGGATTATTTTGCATGTTTCTGGTTGCAAGGTAAATATTAGGTTTTGAGCTGATATGCATTGGTTTACTTTTCTATGTTTTATTTTTCAGATGTTTTTGTTTTTGTTTTTTTTAGGTTTATTCAAGGGAAGGTGAATCTCTCCGATTATCTGGAGGTCGGATGCGAATCCCTTCGGGGATTACTCCATCCGGCGAGAGGAGGTAGGGCGGGAATTTGGGAAGCCGTACCTTGTCTAGGGGGTAAGAAGGGGACGGTGCCTTCTCAATGGACATTGGAGATAGCAAGGATAGCATCGCCTTGCCATCTTCAGACAATGACTGCTATTTGATGGGTTATGAGAACTATTTCAGTGATTCTCAAACAGAGTCTGCTGTAAATTTGGGGATGCCATCCTCTCATCACAGTGATAACCATGTAAATGTGGTATCGGATTTGGAGGAGAGCAGAATTAATGCTTTAGAGCTTGCAAAGGTTGTTGAGGCAGAAGAGTTATTTGCCAAGGAAGAGTACAAGAACGTGGAAGAAGAAGCACCGGGTATAGCTGTGGAGGAAGAGCAGGATGTCTTCCCTGGGCTGTCTCCCTTGAGAGGAGATTGTGTGATGAGTTCTTCCAATATTGGCACTGGAGTTGAAGTTGAGTACATATCCAGGATGTTTGAGGATGGTAGAGGCTGCATTGGTTGTGAAAACTGTCTCTTTTCTTCAAGAACGGTTGTTGATGGCCCTTTGGTGGATGTTAATGTAGATCTGGCTAAACAAAGAAATGGATTTTGCTGTCTGTCTCCTTCTAGCGAGTGTGCAGTAGCTTCAGAAATCTCACATGGTAGTTCAATGGAAGGGAATAATGGAAGCTCGTCTAATGTAGAGTCTTATAAGACGAACATTGATAGTAGCAGTGGCAATGTAGTTTTCTTGGTTGACAGGACCAAAGATGACAAGCAATCTTGCAGCTTACAGAATGGTCGGGGTTTGCGTCTACAGTATGCTAGAAAGCTGAAAGAGACCCATCAATTTAATAACTTTGCCTGTTCACATGAAGAAAAATTTGCTGAGGAAGAGATATTAGGTGTTCCACGGGCTGATCATGAAGCTAGCTGTTCAGCACAAGGGTCAACCAGTGAACCAACATATTATTCTGCAGTAGAAAGATCTATTTATGAGAAGCTATCTCATACCTCCTCTTCTTTTGCTTGTGGTTCAATAGGCACCACCGAGCCTGATTTCAAGAGAAGTTCTTTTGGTTCTGTCAAAATGACGTCAACTTTCTGTACCAATGATAAGGAGTTTTGCACGGACGCAGAGAAACTAACTGGTGCTATTCTATCTTCTAGTTCCATCACTTTTGTTAGACGCACCAATCCCAAACGTGCTGTTTCATTTAGGAGCAATTTGGCTGATGGAAAATCTAATCAGCTAATCACGTTCCAAAGTGATAGGAGAAAATGCAGGAGAAAGTTCAGTGCAAGCACTTCTCGGGCACCAGTTACGCTTAACATGTTTGGAGAAGTAAAAAGGAAGTTAAGAAATTCTCGTAGGCAGGCACGTCTTTCTGTTTGGGGAACAGTTGAAAATTTCACCCCCATTATCAGTCAAAGAGATGAGCTTATAAAGCTTGACTCGGAGCCAAATGCTGTTAGGAAAAGAAGATCAAAGAATGCAGTATCTGCTGCCAATAGAAGAAAAAGAACAGCTGCCCTAAAAAATAAACTGTCCCGATCGGCCTCAAATAAAATATCTTCTGCATCTTGTCAATCTATTCCACTAGTTAAGCGTGATAGACAAACATCCTTCAAAAATGGTATAGATCATTTCATAGGAACTTGTGATGGCCATAGTACTTCTGAAACTTCTAGCACGAAGGTTGAATTAGAGCAAAACTACTTAGAAAAATGGTATTCTGTAGTCAGCTCTAACACAAGAGTGGGACAACTGGGAGAAAAGGACTTGGAGAGCACTTTGACACAAGAAACATCTGCTGACAACTTGCCATCAGAAGGCCATGGAGTTTTATCTCCAGTAGATTTTGAGTTTGTTGCAGAAACTGTTGATGATAAGCAAACATCAAAACCCGGTGATTCTCCTGATTCTGATGTTTATAATCCTGTCGGAGATGTTGAAATATTGGCAGGTGCGGGTTCTGCTATTATTAAGCTAGAGTCTGTTTCAAATCAGAACAGTGAAATTCAAGAACCAAAGGAAGAAAATGGCTTGCCGTCTACCGAGCTAAATTTTATTGAACCGTTTGTACCTCATTTACCTTTACTGGCAAAACAAGTGCAAGCAGGTGAGAATCCGAGAAGTAATCCCAGGAAAAGTCAGGGGGGAAAGAAAAAACTGAAAGAAAAGAAAGGAAAGAGTGTAAAGAAAGGGAATAAAGATAATCAAGAGAAGACAGGTCAGGTCAGTGAGTGTCCATTTTTATTATCTGATACTGCTTGCGTTGAGGAGAGGTTGGGTTGTCTGGAAAAGTCAAATGCGGTTAAGAAGGCCTCACTAAGCAGTAACTGCTGTCCCAAGAGCAAGGGGGCACGTGATAAAGGTGGCAAATGTTCAAAATCTATTAGAAAGCACTGTAAAAGAGGATCAAAATCAGGGAGTTTACTTTTAAATTCTTCAGTTTCTGGTTTGGCTGACTTGGCTAACTTCAATCATCATCTGGAAATACAAAACAGAACAGAAACCACTGACAACCCTTTGCAGCACGATTATAATGGACTTTTTGAGGCATTAGTGCCTTCTGATTATGTTGAGTGCCAAGTTAGGAAAAGAACCAAAAAAAGGTTGTGTAAAAAGAAATCAAGCCGCACATGTTCAATAAGGCAAAGAAGAAAATTTATTTATGGTGAACCGAAGGGAAATAAGGGGAAATCTGACCAAGTTAGGATGGATAATCTTTTTCCAAAAGAAATTGATAGCTTGGGATTTTCTCCGGGAACAGACAACAAGTTGTCACTGGTTGGGGGTCAAATGCACGGTGAACTTTTTTATTGATAATATGATTCTTTCCTTTTTTATTTTTGTAATCACGTGTACTGTTGTCATTGATATCCTTTCTATTCAGTTGAGCTGCATCTTGTGATTTTTCATGGTCCTGTTTTCTGCTTATGCTTCATGCGGATGCAGGTGAAGCAGCTGCAATTGATACTTCGCTAAAGGATGCGTCAAACGATGTTGCATCACCAGCATTTGATGAGCAATCAGCGAGAGAGCTATATAATATTTTTTTGGGCCAGTCTTCACTCTCAGGTAAAAAAGCATGGGCTCTTTGCGATGACTGCCAGAAATGGCGTTGCGTGCCAGATGAGCTTGTGCATGTTATTGAGAAAAACAAATGGTAAGAAGTTTTTGATAACAGCGTTTATTAATTCATTCATGGTTGTTTTTCTTTTCAATATATTTCGTAAAAGTTTAATTTGCTTAGTTAAGCATTGTTGCTTATATAATGTTATTTGAGGTCAAGTCCAACATATAGTCTACACATCTTTCGAACATGTAGTCTACACATTTTTTGAACAATTACGCTTATCTTCTTCTCAAAGCCATTGATGGAAATGAAGGGTTTGTTTGGGGCAGCTGCACCTTTATTATAAAGGTGGTTGTTGAGAAAGTAATTTTTTTGAAAACTACTTTAAGTAATTATGTTCTTTTTTTAAAAGTCTAAAAACAATTTTCTTACAACTCCCACACATGAGTAGGTCTGGTTGCAAAAAGCAGCTTTTCAACATAATTCTGAAAAGCAATTACAAAAAGCAATTATAAAATATTAACCAAATGAAATTGTGTTTGCAATTTGAAAAGCAATGCAGTTAGAAAGCTGTCCCAAACTGTTCTGAATTCACATTCACTTCTGCTGGTTGATGGCAAACATAATAAAATGGACAAATAGATCTACTTATGATGATTTATGAATTTCTATTTAGTTTGTTAAACAATTAATCCCGTACTAGGTTGAGGAATCTCAATTGAATAGTTGTTCGATATCAAATTTATTTGAGGTAAATAAAACTGATGCAAAGCCCTCCTTTTTGTGCAAACATCCTGATTTTAGTGGTATCTTTGTTATTCTCTTCTTATGATACTTTCTCAGGCTTCTCTATTCAATTGATTCTCTGTTGGTTGTGGTGTTATGTTGTTTTGTTCTAGATTTGCAGCCCTTCTGCAATCTTTAATTGTATCCATTATGATTGCTGGCTTTTTGTTGCGATATTTGTGGAAGGGCATAGGCATCTTCTGTTCAATAACTGTTTGGATGTTGTAATATTTTATTATTGCTCTTATCTTAATTTTTCTTTTGTTATCAAAATGTTGCAATCTCCTCCCCCTTTTGTTGGGCTTTTGTCGATGGATTCTTTAAAAGATATTTATTTCTTTTGGAACTGATTGAGTGGGAATTCTATTAGGCTATTGTAGCTATACGTATAGGTGTTAGGCATGTGCATAAGTCATTTAATTTATTTGAAATAAAGTTATGTTTGAATGTGCTATTCTTTCTTCTTTACAGTGTGAACTCCTTAATCAAGTGGTAGACTTGAAAATTTTTCGAGAGGTTAACTCTTTGTACAATTGTACAAGTAGGAGCTTTGATTTTTTTATTTTGGTGACCTTTTTCTTTCTATTTTTTTTTTCTTGCACAATGTTTTGTTATGGTATTTATCGTGTAATTTACTTTACTGTTTTGATACAGTATGATGTTCAATGAATGCATGAATTTCAACTCATTTTATGTCTTTCTTGATTATGAATTTCTATCCCTTTTTCCTAGGGAAAGACATTTGAATTTTCTTCTAAATTAATTTAATTATTATTTTTAATTTTCTTTGAATGTAATGAGTAGTTGTTTAAAGATTAAAATATTGTATTGAGAATTAGGAATAACTCTGCATGCACAACTTACATCAAGAGCTCAGAGTATCAAGGCAAGAATAGATGGTCAAACTGAAGTTTGGATTTTGTGATTTATAAAATTTTGTGTTCATATGACTTGCTTTTTTTAAGATTTTATTATATAATAGACATACATTTGTAAACTTAAGATCCTAAAACATTTAACGACAAAAATATTTGTTTGTATTCTTATATTCGGACAAATTATTATTAAGTCTTTCCTCTAGTACAACAATTATAGTAATTCTTTATTTTTTTGGTATATTTATGGTGTCAAAATAAATAGCCTCATGTTTCTACCTGGTATGTGGTACAACATTTAGTATGAAAGTCTCAGCTTTAAGAGTAGTTAAAGTACATTTAGATTTTATCTTTTGGCTTTGTGACTATTTAGAGTTCTCTCAAATATAGAAGTGAAAAAAAAAATCAGTGTTTTCATTGTACGACTTAATGGATCTTTGAACTGATTTCTGAGTTTAATTGAACATTTGCTAGGACTTGTAAAGACAATGTTGATGAAGCATTTGCTGACTGTACAATACCACAAGAGAAAACGGATGATGAAATTAATAATGATCTTGGGATCTCAGTTGGGGGCTTCTGCTCTACAGAACTGCATGGTTGCGGGGAGCTTGTACCACTGAGACTATCTGGTATACTGTTTATTTTTGTGTCCAATTGCTATAATTGTATGCTGAGACTTAATGTGTTAAGGATTTTAAATGTTTCCGTGTAATAGGAGTGGTTTTGTATTCTTTTTGGATATACCATATGCTGAGCATACTCATCAATTTCAATATTTTAATGCATTCCTATTTGCAGATACGGCTCGACCTACATGGACTCGTATTAAATCCAATTTGTTTCTTCATCGTAATCGTAGATCTTTGACTATTGATGAGGTTTGGGCTGATTTATCATTTATTTACTTAATTCTCTTTGTAGGTCTACTCCATTTCATATGTAAATAGAAAATGCCTTCTCCATTTGCAAAATCACAGTGAGGCCGCCAGATGGTCATTTGGGCATGTTATCAGATCATTCAAAATATGCTTTTCACATTTCATGTACTTTGTTCATGTATATTTTGCTGATCTTCATATTCTTCATTTAAATTTGTTTTTATTTCACTTATTTATTATGGTAAGCAGCATTTTGTCTAGCATAAATCACACCTGTTGATGAGCTATTGATATATGATTATTGCTACAGCTTTTACTAATCATCTCAACATTTATCTGATTCTATTGGGAATTATGTGATTATTCATAACGATTTAAACGAAAGTGGCTTGCCCGACAAGGGAATCAGCTTTGTATTATTTGCACTGCTCTTAACACCTTACATTTCTAGCTTTATTAAAACGTCAATGGTGACATGGATATTATTCTATTGATTTGGCTTCAAGCCACTGATTTCATTATATAATTCTACTCCCTTGCCTAGATTAACTTCTTTATAATGGGAGTAATTTTCCTTTCTTTCTCAACGTACCTTCTGGTGTGCCTCCTCATCATTAACATTTTGTTTCTTGAAAAAAAAAATAGTATTGGTTATTTCAATTATTCTATTCATTAAATTGAGCATTCTGTTGTTTTACTGTTACTATTTGAGCTGTTCTTTCGGTGATAATTGTAGATTCATGCAGCTCTACCCAGTACTCTTTTTTTTCCCTGTATTTTTGATTTTTTTTTTTATCATTTTCCATTATGTCTGCAAATCAGATCATGGTCTGCCATTGTAAACCGCCTCCAGATGGCAGTTTGGGCTGTGGAGAGGAATGTTTGAACCGTATTCTTAATATTGAGTGTGTCAAGGGAACCTGCCCATGTGGGAATCTATGTTCAAATCAACAGGTATTGTGGTACACGCGTTCACTTTAGGATGTTTTTGTCTGTGAGGTGCTTCTGATTTCTTGAAGGAATTCTCTACACAGTTCCAAAAGCGCAAATATTCCAAATTCAAGTGGATCAAATGTGGAAAGAAAGGCTATGGGCTGCAGTTGGAAGAGGTTGCTTCGAGAGGACAGTTTCTCATTGAATATGTTGGGGAGGTGAGGTTTCAAACGAGATCATGCTTGGAATAACAATTTGCTCTACATATGACTTCTCATAAATTTTCTAGTAAAGCTATTCCACTATGAATTTTGACTTCTTTGTAAGCAAGATTCATAGGGATCCATGTTAACATGTAGTTTTTCTACTTTTTAAAATGACTTGCATATTAGTTTTTGTTGCATGTGTTTACCGGCATGCTTTGTTATTTCAGGTGCTTGATTTAGCTGCTTATGAAGAACGGCTAAGATATTATGCTTGCAGAGGTCATAAGCATTTCTACTTTATGACGTTGAATGGTGGTGAGGTTTGGCCTATTTCATTCTACCCATACTTAATTTTGCAACATTTCTTTCGTTTATGTACTTCGTTTTTCCTATCTTTTCAACAGTGCTATTAAAATGAATTTTGCTTACAGCGGCAAGATGGTGTTTGCTGCTAACTTTTCTAGCTTTTAACTGTTCTAAACTTCTAATTCTGTTTTGAATATAGAATGTTCTGTTATTTGGGATGGTTAGATTTTTGTTACTTAATGAATTCACTAGCACCAAAAATTCAGTCATTAACAAAATTAGTCAGAATAGCTATGTTAGCTTCTTGCACAATTATTGCATCTTATTTGTAGTACCATTAAAAAGCATAAGTTTTATTTGGCAAAGAAAACTTGATATTGAACTTATATAATCTTTGTATGGATCAATGGCATGAAATCTCAAATTTGTAATTGTTGTTGTGTGATTGTTTTAAGGGTAATTTTATTGGCAAAGTAAGTTGAGAGTACACATCAGAAAAGGTTGTAATGCTTGTTAGACTCTTGATTGAGGATTGGTCTATTAGAGTTAACCTAATTATTATTTTAGTACCACCTCTTAAAAATAAGAAGTTCATTGCAAGAATTTGAACCTAGGTGGCTACTTAATTGGACTAGAAGATGACAAGAATTGAAGAGAATTAATTGAGACTTTCATTCCAACATTTATGTAGTTTGTATAGTATCCTAGGAGAGCTTTTGATGGGAAACATATAAAACTAATGAATTATAATTATAGTAGTTCATGAATTGATGAGTGGCCAAAATAATAATTATAGAATAATTATAATAGTCTATGAAATGATGAGTAGGTTGTAGGGATCCCAAGGATTAATGAGATGGCAATAAAAGAGGAAGGAAAGATGCTAGAAGCCATGGTGGCTGTGGGTTCCAATTGGTAGAAACTATGCAAGTGTTTCATACTCCCTCAAGAAAAATCAATATATGTTAGCTATGCCAAGCATGTCAAATAATTTTGAATGATTGTTCCCGATAATCTTTTGATGATCTTTTGATGAGAATGTTAACAAATTATTTATCCTGATTATGTATAGAGTATAAATTAAATCACTGTTAAGCTTCTTTATATAAACTATCTATCAAGTTTAATATGCTTTGTAGAGTCATGTTGCACAAGATTCTTCTTTTTGAAGTATCCATCAATTTTAACACGCTTTATACCATCATGCTGTACGAGATTATGTGCAATATTGATCGCTGATTTGTTACTACAGTAGAGCCTTATGGGCGATTTGCCCATTCAACCTTTAAGTCTTGCATGATAAATTTCAGCCATATTAATTTAAAGTTTCCTAGTGACATGGATCTAAATTCGTCGTCTGTGTTAGATTTTGCTACAACATTTTATTTTTTGCTTTTCCTCCAAGTCGCGAGGTCACCTTCTTAGAATATGAAATATCATGAAGTTGACTCTTGTTGACCCTAAACCTGCACAATTTGCATTTGTTTATGATTAAGGGTCATGCCTTCTTCCTTTTTTAATCAAAGGGTTACTTTTACATATTGTAGAATTTTATAGGCTGCAATAAGGTGTGATTATCAAGTATGATGCCTGTATTCTCACTGCACTAATTAAATATACAATATCAGATCTAGTATGTGATAAGCAGACAAGTCCTCCCACCTATCTCTCCAATAGGAAGGTTATTCTACAGCTGTCACTTCTGGAGCATCTCAATGTTTATGATTAAATACTATGGGGTTTTTTGTCCTAACTTGTTTCTTTCAGTAAGTTTGTTATATATATTTGTTGTGATATGAAGATTTCATATTGAGAGTTTGCAACTTCAATACTAAGGAAATACCTTACTTACCTAAAATTTCAACTTCAAATTTATTTCTTTAAATTATCCATTTCTTTCAGGGCACTACTTATCATGATAATGTTGTTAGCATAAACTAGTACTGTGGAAGCTCCCTCTAAAATTGTTTGTTTCACAAATAATGTATGCTTGAATGGTCTCTTTGATTTTATTTATATCCCATTTTGAATATTATCTAGATGAATATTTTGAACTATTCCATTGGAGATTGCTTCAATCCATATGATGCCTTTTCTAGCTTGCCTTTTGTTTTATATTTGTGTTGAATCTTGCTGGACTTCCATTTATACGTAGACTTCATCCTCTAGGTCACCATGTAAGAGGCATTCATCACATCATTTTGTTGTATTTTTCAGTCTCTGTTGGTTGCTATATATAAGAGAACTCTAGCAATGTTCATTTAGCAGCAAGAACAAATGTTTTAAAATAATCAATTGCATATGTTTAAGTAAAGCCTTTTGCCACTTATCATGCTCTATACCTTTATAGTGAACTATCAAATTTATATTTTACATGAAACTCCTATCTACATCCCATTAATTTTTTTCCTCTTGAAAATTTTGTCAATTTCCATATTTAATTTTTTAAGGGCTTCAATTTCTTCTCTTATTGCATTATTCCAATTCACTTCATTTAAGCCTCAAAGATTATTTTAGGGATTTAATTAGTATGCAATCATAGTATGAAATGATTGTTGATTATGAGAAAGATTGTTATATGATAAAAACAAGTGTACCGGGAATTGTCATAACTTCATTTGTGGGCTCCATGGTTTCCTTAGCAAATTCAGTGACATTGATTTATTTGGTTGATTTGACTTGAGTAGATTGAGATTCTTTCTTCTTTAGTAAACATGTAATGGTTGACTAGGAAGTGGTTTTGGTATATTCACAAATTGGTTTTGGTATATTCTCGATTTGTGGTGATTGATTTTGAAATATAATTCTTTGTTGGCATAAGTGGTTATGAAGGACAATTTATAAGGGAAAAACTAATTTGTGAATATTTTTTTAGTATAAATATTGACAAAGTAACAATCTTGTTTAGTGAAAGTGACATTAGTGGACATATACATCTTTCTCATTGGGGATGGTAGCATTTGTAGCATTTTATGTGGGCGACTAGCAAATGAAAACTCATGTAATTGCTTGAGGATCAAGCTTTCCTCTATATTTCATAAATGTACATGAACAAAGGCGGTACTTCCAAATATTATAGGAATAAGATTATTTGAGGTATTGAAATGGGGAAAGAATTTGTTTAGGACTTGTGTAGGACTTTCGAACTCAAGGATGTGTAGGCAATCAATTTATGATGTTGGTGGTTTTTAAAAGAACTTCTCTCCCAATATTATTTGGGATTTTTTGGGGAAAATATAGCCTTATGTTAGTAAGTAGTTGAACATTCTTTCATTCGGCTAATACATTTTGTTGGTTTGTACACACATAAGAACTTATATATTTTACCTTTTATATGTAGATATGAGTAGAGAGAATGGTTAAAGTAGCGTTTGTTATTGTTGGATGTAACTATTCTAATGCTAACACTAAATTGATTTTTAATCATGTTGAAAAAGATGGGTAAGATGGTGAATGTATCACTTTTGGTTTTTTTTTTCAAAGAGTCATGACACATGAGTATAATTATCAATAAAGTATACAAACCATGGAGCTGAAGATATATTAAGTATAGAGGGTTATTGTGGTATGCTTGTGTTTTACTAGTTCATAAACATTGCAAAAGTTTTTCAATATTGATTTTCTTGAATAAGGAAGCATGGTTTTGAGAACAATAAAGCTTGGATGGTTAAGGTGTAAGTGTTGAAGCCATATTTTTTTCTTTATTGAATTTAAGGGTTCATGAGATAAGATAATTTTGAAGGTTTTATGGATTTTTTTTTTATTGTTGGATTTCTCATGGTGCTAGAGACCATTTGATGGGGACATCAGATCGTGGAAGGTTTATCAGAGGCGTGGCCGCCGATCTACGGCCACGATCGAGTCATTGTACTTTTGATTCATGTTATGTTTGTTTATGTATTTGTTTTATTTTATTTCCGGTTGTACCCTTCTAGTAAAGGGATGTCGTATGGAAGCCCCGAGGGCATGTTCGTCTTTTATTTTGAGTCTCTTGTACTAGGCTATTTATAGCCCATTGCTTATTGTTTTTGATTAATGAATGATTGATTACAAATTTTCTTCCATGCATGAGTTCTTGTGTGAGCTTGAGAGTGAGATTTGAGAGAAATCCCTAGGAGAGGGAAATCGGATCACCCACCAACCTTGGAGACGGTCGGGTTCGTGGTATCCTTCTTTGTCCTTTGTCTTGCCCCTTCCACCTCCCCTACCGGACAACCTTGCATCCCAACCACCTCCATCTCCAAGCCATTGTCTCCTCCTAACCAAGCTCCACAAATTTTCCCCCACACAAACCACCGGCCACCATACCCGAAATTCCCCCCCCCCCCCCCCCCCAATGTCGATGGCCCTAGCTCCCTAGCTGCAGTCCATCCCCCACTTCCCTCCTCTCTTGAGTTTCCTAATTGGGTTGAGGATTAATTTAGGATAATTTTGAAATTAAATTCATTGGAATTTGAATTCAAAATCCTTCCTAATTTAACTCCTCTATTTTAGGAAAGTTTCTAAATTTATCCTATTTCAATTTTAAATTTGAATAGGAGTTAATTTAAATCTTTCCTAATTCCTAAATCCAAAATAGGAACCCCAATCAATTGCTCCCCCAATCCCTTCTCACCCCCATGATGCCGCCGGCCCCCCCTCACTCCCTATTCCATTAACGCTCTATTAATTGTTTCCTAAACTCACTCCTTCCTTTAGGAAATAATTTCAAACTCCTAAACCCCTTTGGCCGAAATTTTCAAAGCCCTCATACCTTTTTATTTCTTTCCAAACCTAACATTGGGTTTTTGGAAATAAATCCCCAACCTCCCCCCTTGCCGCCGACCCTTATCCCTCTCCCTTTCCCTTTTGAGTTTAGTTCAAATTCAAATCTCCTTAGTTCTAAAATCTAAAATTACTTTCAGACTCTTACTTCTTGGCTCCCTCATTAACTCTCCACCGGAATTGAGGAGTTGAGAATTTCTCTCCTAGGTCCCTCCTCTCCCCTTCCAAAAATCTGAAATTTATTTCAGAT